ACAACTTAATTATTTACCACAATTTTTTTTTTTTATAAATATAAGATATTTTAATTCAAGGGGTGTTATATTTTATAAGGGTTATTAATAACCCCTATAAAAATTTATACAATAAATTCATAACTAATTATTAATTTAAAAAAATTATAAAAATATTTAAGAAATTAAAAGTTAATAATAACTAAATATTAAAAATTAAACATTTAGAAAAAGTAATATATAAAAATATTTTTTTCTCTAAAAAGTTAGAGTAACTAACAAAACCAAAGCCATATTATAAATAAACGCCTAAATCGGGTAAAAAAAGATACTAGCTTTTCAAATCAAATCCTCTTATTTTGAAACTTAAAAATAATATTAGATAATATAATTATAATATTTAAAAATAAAAGAGAAAATAATTATAAAAATAATAATTATAATTTAGTGATTAAGGTAAATAATAAAATTTTTTATAAAAATAAAAAAAAATATCTTTAAATTAAAGAAACATTTTATTACAATTATATAAAAAACAATAGTAAAAAAAAAATTTAAAATAAAAAATTAATTTTTATATTTAAAATATTGATTTGATGTGTTTTATAATACTTAGAGGTTAAAATAAATTAACATATTAAATTACTATATAACTATATAAATATTTTTATTTTTAGTAAGTCTATAAAACTTTATAATAGTTTTTAAATAAACTTAAAATTTTTTCAAAAACCACATAAAATAGTTTATCAATATTTTCAAGTTTATTAAAATTATATGAAACAATTTATTAATATTTTAAAGTCTATCAAAACTGCAATAAAGTGGTTTGGATTTAAAATTCTAAATCCATAAGTCTATACAGAATAATTTAACGAAACTATTAAACTGCTCCAAACCGCTCCATCCTCACACTATATTTGAATGTTTAGTTTAGATTTAACTCTTATTTAATTTACTTTATTTCCTTTATTAATTATTTATTTAAACTGCCATGTTTGCTGTTATGTATTTAGAAACCAAGCAATAATTTAAGTATTAATTTGTATGTATATTAGTATATTACTCTTGTTTTGTGACATTTGTGTATTACCTTGATATCTCGACTAGTCTCTATACGATTTCTTACATAAATAATAAAAAATTAAAAAATTATAAATTATAAATTTATTTATAAAATTAAAAGTTTACGAGATAATAAATTTAAATTTATTTATAAGATTAAAAGTTTATTAAATAATTATTTTAAGTTTATTATGGACTTTGTGGTTTATTAAAAAAAAAAAAATTTGTTTATTTTTATGATAAAATTGTTTTGTTTTATTAAATTGTAGAATTTTAAAAATTAAGTTTAAATTGTTTTATCGATGGACTTAAGTTTATTTAAAATTTTAAAAAATTGTTTTGCTCCGCGGTTGCGGATTAGCCGCTCTATGGTAACATGCTATACTCTATAAAATATAATACTACATCAGGAAAAAAACACAATTCTATCGTGCTTTATCCTGCCATTCTAGCAGGGGAGTTTCTATTGTGCTCCATCTTGTTCTATTTTGTTCCATTTTGCGTTTTTAAGCTATATAATTGGTTAAAAATTAACTAAAAACTTGCTTAATTTTGTTGTGGTTTTTGATGAACCAATTATATAGTAGAAAAAGGTGAGATGGAGTGTGATGGAAACTCCCTTGTCAGGATGGTAGGATGGAGTGTGATGGAGAATTGTATTTTTTCCTGATGTAGGTTTATATATACTGCTCTATAAATACATAAAATAAGCAAACCTACAATGTGTTGAAATCTGAACGATCGATCATCAATTATACATACACAGACCTATATACAATCCAGCATACTTATAGAGCTGTAGAACCATTAACAGATTTATATATAATCCAGCGTACTTACAGAGCTGTAGAACTATTAACAATTAATTAATTATAAATTAATTACTACAGTTTTTATTATATAAAAGTATAATAGATTTATCTATATAAATTTTATTTTTAACTATCAACTCACATAGTTATAAATTAATATATTTTCTAACTATAAACCTTCTTTGTTCTATTTTCTACCCCTATACATAGATAGTGGATTGCGATCTCGTAGTTCCCGCCCAGCCATTATAACATATTCTATTTTTTAATTGTTAATTCCTGTATGTAGCTATAAATTAATAATTTTTCTACTTAAAAGCTTTTTCTGTTCTATTCCCTGTACATATAGTTGGTGGGTTGTGATCTCGTAGCTATTGTAACATTTGCTCTAGAGCACTATCAACAAAACCCAACCCGAAGCTGGTTGTCATGCATTTTTAGTCGAACCCAGTATAAATTATTATTTATGTGCGTTGCCAAGAGCTATACAACCCAACCTAACCCAAGGCTGATAATGATGTGCAAAATTGCATTTTGGTTTCTGGGAGTCGCGAAAGCATCTATTGCGTCAGAGCTTTGAGAACCATCACGCTCTCATTATCAGAACCCCCACCATAACGATGTTAACTCCACAATTTTAGAACTAGATCAACGCATACACCTATTTCGATATTTCGCCAAAATCGCCGACAATGTTCATGATCAGGAATGTTTCGAAACTTCTCTTTGGAGAGACCTCAAAGCAGGATCTTCTGCAGATTGACAGCGGCCAGTTGTATCTTATTCGGCCTAGAAGCCCCAAAGGGTATTCCGAGTGCATGTAAGATCAGATATTAGCTGGTTCACAAAAGTAATCAAATTTGACATGTGCCGTACAGATTTAAAGAATCAACAGCATTCATTCGCAGAACTTCCACCCCACATCACTATCAACTTGTAATCCAGCGTGTTTTCGAAGAAGGTGAAGAGACGCTCCAAGAAGAGAGCGAAGATGAAGATGCGGACATGAATGACAGGGTGTTCCTCCTCGACGAAAGTCTCCATTTCCGCTCCGTATTTAGAGATGGACAGGCTGTTTTTGCCTGGAACGACCTTTTAGGAGTGGGTTCATGCACTTTATGCGAGTATTGTATCGCATACTGATTGTGTGGAACTATGAGTAGGACCCCGACGACACATTTGAATTTGTCTGTGATACAGCGACACAACCTGGTCAAGTCAATACTTTCGAGATCGTTGCCATGCAATGTCAGTTCGAACGGAAATATAAGCGATCCTACGAGAATGCTACCGATGCAGACCTCGAACAATTCTCCTTCTCGTGAGTCTATCTTAAATCAGGAACACCGCCAATCTCTAAACTAATACATAGATAGTACACCAACGATTCCACCAATCGTTCGGCCAACATCTCCTAAGGCAGCGCAAGAGCAAACCCCAACCTCCCATAACAAAAACGATGTATCGCTCCCCAAGGAGTCACTTCATACTCCGCGCATTGTACGAACGGAAACCAATGAACAGGAACGCGATGAAACTAAGCACCAAAGGGATTTGCCTATCCTAACAAAGGAACTTGTCGAGCTTCACTTGTATGATACGGATTCAGGAACATTTATCTTGCAAGATAGTGAACTGGAAGCATGCGTTTTTGATAATGGCGGATGGAAATGTGAGTGAATGGAGTTTATCCTACTCGAGCTACAGTTTTCACATGCTAATTTTAGGTTGACCGCACCAATATAGATACCCTAGAAGTTGCAAACCCAGGAAAGGATGTTTGGGTGACCCAAGTTATTGTACCGGATATTTCTCCGGTGTTCAATTTTGATTACCTTTCTTTCATATTCAATGCTTACCAGGACGAGCATGCGCCATTTTCTTGGTTGCTACGTTTCCGTGACATGCCATCTCTGGAACGGTTTCAAGAAGGGCTGATGCGCGGCTTATGGGAACACTTGAATGAAACTAGTTGGCTCAAAGCGAAATCCGATGACCGGGACTACATTGTCGAGGCCTTCCAGGATATAACGATGTCAGATGTTTCAGAGGAGGAGGAGGAAGTTGGATTCGAAGCTGAAAATGTTGAGGAAGAAGACAATCCAGACGACGTGTCATTTGATGAAACCACACAATTCCCTGACGACGGGACACACGAAGAAAATAGCCAGCTAGCTGTCGGCACTCAATCTGACCGCTCGTTTGTAATAAGGGGAAGTCGAATAGGGGTGTTCAAGCATACTCCCTCGAACCACCTGGAATTCTCGACCACAATAAATAAGGTCCAAACCCCGAAGGGAAAGGCCTTTCAACCGAAGAAGGTTTGAACCCTTTTTCCATGCCTCCGAATTCCTGGAACAAACTAACCGTTAGTGAGGTTAGGTGATGTTACATGCCGGGGATTCTTCCATGATATTGCAAAATCCGTCAAATGCGCATAGTGTCTTCAAGATGGATATTGAAACGGGTAAAATCGTTGACGAATGGAAGGTCCACGATGACATACCCATCATCAATTATGTCCCGGAAAATGTAAGTGGGGCACCGGGAAAAGGTACATCAATACAAGCTAACGCTAGAGCCTTAGAAATTTGCGCAATTGACAAATGAGCAAACCTTCATTGGCCACTCCAAAAATGCGATCTTCCGGGTGGACCCTAGAATCAGCGGGAATAAAATGGTGGACTCAGAGCTAAAACAATATTTATCGAAGAATGAATTCTCAGCAGCTGCTACGACGGAAAAGGGATATATCGCGGTGGCTTCGAATAAAGGCGATATACGTTTATTCGACAGACTTGGAATTAATGCAAAATCGCACCTCCCAGCTTTAGGCGACCCTATAGTTGGAATCGATGTATCGGCTGATGGCCGCTGGATTCTGGCCACCTGCAGGACCTATCTTCTTCTAGTCGACGCAAAACAAGAGACTGGAAAAAATGCAGGGAAATTAGGTTTCGAGAAAGGGTTTGGGAAGGATGCGAAGCCAAAACCTCGAAGGCTGGCTCTATCGCCCAGTCATGTTGCCCAGTTTCAACATGAGACAAAAATGCCACTCAGCTTTACGATCGCTAAATTCAACACCGGTTTAAATACTGAGGAAACGTCTGTTGTGGCCTCCACCGGCCCTTTTATTATTACATGGGACCTAAAGAAGGTCCTGAAGGGCTCGAAAGAGCCGTATTCCATTCGACGTTACTCAGAAGAGGTCAAGGCAGATAATTTTAGATTCGGGAGTGACAAGAGTGTTATTGTTGCCTTGCCGCAGCAAGTTGACATGGTAGCAAAAGGATCTTTCAAAAAGGCTACTCGGCAATCTATTGCAACACCGGTGAAGCAGCTAAGGTCCAGAAGTTCGATTGTCAATTCTCCCTATTAGCCTGTCAAGACACTTATTCTCGGACGCCAGGATGCGCTAGAATTACTTATGCAAGTGACTACCGACGCGATTTTTCTGTTGCTTTTAGGGATGTCCTAGTTTTGTGCCTCTGTGCGGGCTCTGCTGGCTCAGTACTTACCTTCTACTTGAGCGTAGATTGTCTGTGGGTTGAGACTTGCTGAGTGGTTGAAGGTACCCTCAAAAGATCTCAAGTTTTATTCACATGTACTAGCCACTACGGTCTGGTTTTCGACCCTTCAAAGGAGTGTGGGGAGGCCCATGCTCGAGGGCGGAATAGAGGAATCTTCTACTGAAAATTTTTTAATCAGCACTTGCAATTGGTGAAAAGGTGAAAAACATAATCATGAAAAGGCCTTTTGACTGTACTTTAAAATGTAATTCAAAGGTATACAAAATTTTTTTTCTGGTATTGGTTTAAATTTCATGTTTAAATCGAGTACTTGATCGGTTTAACTTTAGCTAGCTAGGCTGTGCCGGTAAAGTCGCCTTTTATCACCTTAGCTACTGGGAGAGAATCAAGCGGAAAGAAAAACAGGAGAATCCAAAGTTTAATATTTGTGATTTTATTGTTTGTAAAGTTTATGTAGTCTCGAGCAATATATTAATATATATACAGGTACCTATACATATTAAGGAAAGGCTAGAATATAGTTAAGAATAGCAACTACCAAACTGATTTCTAGGAACTAGATCACTGACTATATGGTATGCATGCATGCATTAACCATTGCGAAACTCTGCTGAGTACTTCTAGGCCTGACCAAACCAACACAATTTTTGACACCGTATGAATCCTTACTTTTCTTAGAGCACGTGAGGATGTGAACGCGAATGATCATGAAGAAGTAGGACCGATTACATCAAAACCCCGAAAGACAACGTCATCTTCTGAGCTGCCAACTTATCCGCCCCATCGATTATGTATGGATTATATGACAATTGGCAATGTCGGACCTCAGTGATTACCAAAATCTAAGGCGGAACCACCCAGGGTGGTGTACTATCGAATCTGAACCGGTGACTATAAAACCTCACGAATGGCACATTTTCCTGTAAGGTACTGTGCTGACTTATTTACTAAAGGCGATATTCAATCAAATACTGCGCGATGCCGGTGTTACAAACACCCGTGTTATTGAACTCTACTCGCTCGATGAGAGTATTCTGGATGAGCCTGAGTACGCGCTTCTTCCTGTTTCCAATTTTCCCGGGGCTTATATCGATCTAGCCCAATAATTGGATTGATATTTCTTTGTCGCTGGAGACAAGACACGAGTGAAGTCCGACAAACCCCCGGGAAGAACAAAAGTTTATATTGTTACTACTATTGACAAAGCCATTAGGTCCAGGAAGCAGAAATCAGTTGTCCCGACAGCGTTTGGTTTGCCAACCAGGTCTATATTCCTGGCCTTCTCTGAATCCAAGGACTCACTAACCCTAGAAAGATAACCTGCTAATCATAGGGTACCCGGGTACTTACTTATCTAGATTTCAGAGAATAGCTGTGGATCTCTTGCGATGATAAACATTTTATTCAATGCGGAATCTGTAGTCCTTGGGGAAGAGCTGGCCCAGCTAAAATCTTTTACTGCGGGCCTCACCCCTCCTCTAAGAGGCCTTTGCCTACGGAATTCCGAGTTCTTGCGCAAGAATCATAACTCATTTGCAAGGTATATGCCTCCCGGATTCGTGTGTGGGTAGAAACTAAGGGGCGCCGTAGACGGTCCGAGATAATGCAAAATAACTTAGACGTCATTGATTTATGCAAGAATACTAAGGGGTTGGCGAACGACAACGGTCCAAACGCAGAGTCAGCGTATCATTTTATTGCCTACGTCCCTTCTGGTGGTTCTGTCTGGGAGTTGGATGGTCTCAAGAGACAACCGGTTGAAATTGGAGGTAGGCAACCGGTAACTGAAATGTTTCCCCAAAAATGGATTGCTAACCGAGGATTTTTTTTATTAATCAAGAAACCGATAACACAAGTCGTTGGCTTCTCACTGCAATGCCAAGAGTCCAGCTCCAGATATCAAAATATTCCGAGAACGAACTGATGTTCACCCTTCTCGCACTGACACAATGCACACCAACTTCCCATGAGCGCCCAGCTATGCGAATGACGTCCCTAGAAAAAGGTGTGATACCCGTGTCGGTGCCTTTTTAAAACTTCGGTAACTGACGTGGCTGATCGAAAAAGACACCTTATTTCCATATGCAACCCGTGTGAGACATCCTTATGCCGCATTTATGCGCCATTACATCAAAGTCTTAGCAGGAAAGGGTATCCAGGTTGGGTATTCTTGAATCATCAACACACAACCCTTCATACCGGAGGGTTCTGCAGGTTCGCCTATTCTGTGCCTGGTGAAAGCGTGACAAAAATCTGATTAATTGGGGTTCTGGTGTTTTTAATGATCCCAGAAACTCCGCTCAATTCATCTTTCTTTTTTTTTTTTTTTGGGAGGGGGCCGTCGGCCAAAGCCTAGTCAATTCAGTTACTTCATTCGTCCAGTTTGTGTTTATTCAGTCGTCTGGATACTCCTCTTTCATGTTAGATACGAAGCGGCCGTCTTGGGAGTTGAACCGCTGAAAGTATTTTCCAGCCAGAATATTGCACAGTCGACCTGCGGACACGGGGTGCTGTTCTAAGATATTTTCTTGCGCGACGTATCGGATGGAAAGGTCGTCTACCATAACTCGATAAAAAGGTTGCATCAGGCCCTTCTGGAGCTCACCCTCCTCTATATCCAAGCCTTCGTACGCCATGTTGATTGTCCACCCCGTTATAACTGCCTGGTAGTTGTATCTTCTATGTTTGAATATAGTGCCAATGCGGAACTATAGCGGCTTTAGTATACAGGCCGCTTGATCGACTAGATGGTTCCGAACTTACAAGGACCCCACGATTCTCTGCCAAAGATCGCAATTTTGGTTTTCGGAGCATCCCGTCTTCGTTCCGCAAAGCAATGCAAATTGTTTGAAGGAGGCGTGCTGGTCGCGAACTAGGGCTAGCTAATGGCACAATATATTTTTCGATCAGGCCAACGTCAAGGGGAAAGGACTCCTGAAGGCAGCGGCACAACGGCTCCAATATACGGGTCGTCCATGTGTTTGATAGCAGCGCAATGGCAAATAAAGCCGCGTATTCTGCAGCATCTATGTTGATACTTAGTTCTAGCTGGTCATCGACGAGTTGACGCCGCGCGCGGGGTGTATTTCTGAGAATGTTTCTGGCATTTCGCAAAACCAATTCTTTTGTCGTCGCAGGATGCAAGTACTTGCTAATGGTTTCTGATGTTATAGTGACACCAATTTCCTCGAGCCTCCTTTCTAGTTCTGGCTGGAGTACTATGTCTACACTGTCGTGGGGGTTAACATAAAAATGTGAGGATTCGGTCTCGCGGACGAGTGCGTAAACATGGTAGGGGTATGCGCAAGGGCGAGCTTCTAACCCGAGTCGATTTGCTAGTGAGCAGAAGATGCTGCAGGATGTTATTGGCAGAGTTCTTTTCGTAGTTCTCATAGAAACGCCAATGAAGCAATTTACAAGGTCGTGAAAATTTTCCTGGGGACACCCAAGAAACCCTTGGGATCGCATGTAGCTGACGATCCCGATAGCCTTTTCCTGGATAGACCGGCCGGGAAAGTCTCTCTGTGAGTGAATAATATCATCGCACGTAGCTGTGAGTAAGTTTTGGATCTATTCAGCTGAATTAGGCACATGGAAAGATACTGTCCCGAATCTGTTTGCTATTTTGATAGATGAACATATACTGGCTGGGCGGGGAAACGTACTTGTTCGTTGTCGAAGGCGAAGTTGTCTATAACAAAGAGATCAAAACTAGATATCGCAATCTCTAGGGATGCCTCATGAGTCGTCAATAACGTAGACCAGCAGCGGATGGCCCGCTGCCTATGAATATAGGATAGAGTCGAGCTGGCGTGGAATCTTCAAATAGTATTTAATTAAAATTAGCATTCGAAGTCAGCAAGGCTGCAGGGTTAAAACCATACCGCCTTGCCAACCAATCATTTGCCGACTCTGGTGTCTCCAATTGCTTGATGAGATAATCCTTCACGTCGTATCCGTAAGCCGCTATTTTCTCGGTATATCTGATGCGTTTCGATGGGCTAATGACGATCTTCTCTAACAGTCTCCGAGCCTCTCGATCAAGCTTTATTCTTCGGAAGAAGACCCTTTTCCAACTTTGTAAGGCTTGATATTGACCGCTAGGGCCTGTTGGATATTGGTGCCAGCTGCTTTCCCAGTATTTAAAACGGCGACACCGCCCTCGCCACAGCAAGGGATCATTGGTGAGCCTATTTAGTTCTCGGGATACACCTTCGAGAGCTGCCAAGTCATCGTCAGGGACAAACTCAATAATGTGCTGTGTGATTTCTAAATGTATTACACATTATAAACGGGCTATATTAGTTTTTGAACATTGAACCCCACTGTGATGTAGGATGGAGGATATACCAAGGTGGGGTTGTCGTACCTTGGGGAAGATTTAGAAACTGCATGGTGGTTCCGAGTGGGCCGCCGTGATCGAGTACGCAACATATTCCCAGTAAACGAACTGTGGGATTAAATAACCACCTATAAGGTTTGTCGACTTCAGGCACAGGTTGGATTTTAAGATGTCTAGGCTAGGAAGCGGGTTGATTAGGTAAGCCCAACAAGCACTAAGAACGGGCTGCTATGCAATCAGGTAATTCATGCTGCAAAATCTTGGCTGTCGCGTGTTGCCAGGCTTCAAACCATCTATAAACATTCGCTCTGCACCTGAGAAAAGAAAGTACCTAGGTACCTGCTTAAGTGCTAATGTCAACAGTAACCAGTTTTACACCATCTAACCCTCCTCCCTCAATTAACACCTAAAAATCTCAACATACTTAGTTTCCCATCATACTAATACACTGAAATTTCACGAATTTTCGAACCCACCGTCTCGTTTCCTCCCAACTCTCGGATACCGAGATCGAAAACTTCAGATGAATCCGTAATTCCCACCAAATACTTACGCGTTTCTCCTCATACTATCGATAAAATCAACATCTAGATATTGAAATGGATACACCCCGAATACCAGCCTCGTTCCCAAAGACACCTACATCGGTCCGTCCTCGAGGATTCCGGGACCACAGTGACCAACGTTCGCGAAGTTTGTCAAATCTAAAACCAAACACGCAGGACATACCAGTGCGCGTACCACAGGATACGTTAAAGCCGAATACCTCGTCTGTGCCTTACATACCTGTTAGCGTGATAGATGCTCCTACGCAGAGACTCTATGCCTGTTCAATCTTTCTCTTGATACAAGCATATAAAATCTACGAGATCGGGAGGTTATATTCAACGGATGATGACTCGGTGTCGGAGCTATGGCTGATCCTCAAATGGGTGGCTGTAGATGGGGTATTCTTACGTTTATTGCCCTTGCTTCGGGTCCCTTGGCTCACTTTCAGCACGTACGCCACGGTTATGCAAATTGTTTTTATGTCGATGATTAATATATTCTTTTGCTTGCGGTACCAGGTACGGACTCCATCTCTTGTTATAAAATTTCGGCTATTGACTTTAGTAGGATGCTCTGGCTCTCTTTGCCTTGTCAATTTGGAAACGTTAGTACCTGATTGAATCACTTGCTTGAGATTTCCTTGGACGCGGCCTTAATTTTTAATTTTTTGCAGATTTCTTCAGCCACGAAATCAGTCTTTCTGAGGGACGTGTAAGGGCCAAAAGCGTTCTTGCCAAATCCCCCATCCTAGGGAAGCACACAGTGCATTATCTTCCAGAAGGGTACAACCCATTTCCATGTTGAATTTGGCTCAAGCTAATATGTTTGACATGTGTCTAATCAAGGTCAGCTATGCTGAACCCTTCGAACTTCGAACTCTGTTATAACGGCCTCAAGAAAGATGGAACGACCCTGCCAATAATGGTAAACTCTTCGACACCAGCCTTGATCCAGCTAACTGTCCGAAATTTTGAGAATATCGAGCCTATTACTATCAACATAACGCAAAAAGAAATCAAAAAACTTCTCAAATCAACAGCGACCAAACCTGGAGATCCAAAAATCCACCATATTCACTATCCAATCAAGTATCCGGGGTTATATCGGCTTGAGAAGGTGATTGACGTAACACAATTGGTAGTAAGGGTCCGGAAGGCCGAGCTTCTCGTCGCAGCTTGCCCTTCTGCGTCTTTTGCTGGTGCGCAAAGTGCCACACCCTCCTTGGACAGGTGTAAGGGAGAGCTATCAGACCTTACTCTGGAGGTTGTAGGACTTCCTCCCCTGCAGGTCCGATACGGCCGCTCCATAAACAAAGATGAAAAGGATGTTACAATACAGAGCATCAGTCCAATCGGGTACAATTCTCCTCTTCTTCGCTTTCAGGGTGGGAATTTGGGGCAAAGGTCCCTTTTAGACCAAGACCTAAGATGGGCAAGTCCTCAGAAAGTTTCGATACCACTCAATGAATCATTGGCCTCACAAGGCGCGTGGAGTTATGTGATCGAAGAAGTAACAGACGGAGTCGGCAACACCATCAAGTATGACGTTCGCGGGCCAGGGCCGGAATCTCTACTCCACAGAAGCTTCGATGTACACGAACGTCCCCTGGTCAAATACCTTGGCTGTTCACCCCAACAACCGCTTATGGTGGCACGTGGACAAAAAGGGGCTCTCCCAATTGAAATCAGCAGAGCTGCGGAGTCCGCACCGTATGAAGTGAGCTACTCGTTTCAGCCGCACATTGCTCCCAACGGAGAAGCAAGCCCTGAGCAAAATGCAGAGCTAAGGAGCGCTATATTGAAAACCTCCGGCCAGCTCGTAACTGTCTCGGCCCCCGGGCTTTACACTTTAAAATCGATATCGAGCCGCTTCTGTATGGGTGAAGTCCTAGAGCCTTCAAACTGTCTATTTTTAACACCACCTGATCCGGGTTTATCTATATCCTTCGACAAAATCGTGGACAGGTGTGCGGGGTCTTCAATCGGACTAACCGTTGACATGGATCTTACGGGCACGCCGCCGTTCACTGTTTACTACCGAACATTGAAGGATAAACATGACGTAACCGTCAATACAATTCGAGTTACAGGGACTCGACATCAATTGCGGCTTACTCCTTCCGCGGCTGGGCACTATACCTATGAATTCTATTCCATGAATGACGAAGTTTATAAGGATGTCAAACTAGATTTCAAAAAGCTTAGTGTTAACCAAAGGATCATTCCGATGGCCGGTGCAAAATTCTCACCATCATCGACTAGCCGACGGTGCTGCATTGGAGAAGCCGCCACGTTTACTGTTGACATGCAAGGATCCGGGCCCTGGAATCTTGAGTATGAGCTCATTCACGGTGGTAAAAGGACGAAGTTCCAAAGCTCCAATATTACAACGAGTCCGCATCTCATAACGACGCCAAAACTCGTTTCGGGGGGTGATTATTCTCTTGTGTTAACTACTATACAGGATTCGCATGGTTGTAAAGTTTTTTTGGGAAGCGAGGCACAGATCGATGTTCGACGACAACGCCCCTCCGCATCGTTCGCGGAGATAGATGGAAGTCGCGTGGTAAATACCTTGGAGGCCGAGAGTGTATCGCTGCCTCTTCGTCTAGTCGGGGAGAAGGTATGTTTACTCCTGCAAACCCGAAGGTACTTGAGCATTCTAATGGTTGCAGCCTTTCCGGATTAAATATCGCTTCACAGATGAGAGCGGGAGGGAGTCAGAATATGACATCATCGCCAAGGATTTCAATAGCCATCTCCCGGCAACTAAGCGTGGCCACTATCAATTGCTTGCTATCAATGATGCCATCTGCCCTGGATCCGTCGTTGAAGCCGCAAGTATCTTCAATATTGACTGGATTCCGAGACCATTCGCGCGGGTTGTTCAGAGCACGTCCACCAAGATGAAAGACGACATATACCTTAGAAATTCTATCTGCGAAGGGGATGAAGATGCCATAGAATTAAGTCTTGATGGTAAGCTATGCTGCAATAATTTAAATATATGATTTACTAAGCTGGTGATATAGGACTTCCTCCTTTTGTTGCTTCTTTTGAACAATATTGGGCAAGTGAAAAAGGAGAGCCGAAGCCCACCAAGCTAATTGATATCAAAGCTGGAACGATCCGCTCCAGCATTCGGATGGATACTTCTAAGCCGGGGAAATATAAGTACGTGCTCAAGAATATCTCTGACCGCTCGTATGTGCAACCTGCGCCACCATCATCGCCCTTGTCTATAGAACAAACGGTTCACGCACGTCCATCGGCTAAGTTTCGGGCCCCAGGCAAAGTGCACAAGTATTGCCTAGAGACCGGGACTGGAGACGACACAATTCCGGTTATCCTCGAAGGCGTGGCTCCGTTCTTCCTCTCTATTGGAGTCAAGCACTATTCAACGGGGAAAGAGGAGATTGTCAATATCCCAAACATTGACTCAACGAATTATGTATTTCGTGTTCCTCGTCATGCCTTGACACTAGGCGGACATGTTGTCCGAATACATAAAATACGCGACTCTAGGGGATGCTCACAAAAATACGGCTCTGACCTCCCTTACGTTAGCGTTTCGGTTGCCGAACCCCCTTCCATAACATCATTAGACTCTAAGCCCTACTATTGTGTCGGTGACAGGATTAACTACTCCTTGGCTGGGTCGCCGCCGTTTACCCTAGAATATACTTTTTCCGGGAAAAAAGAAAAAATAACAACATCCTCAATATTCCAAAGAATTGCGGAACGCCCCGGGACCCTCACCTTCGATAAGATTAAGGACTCCGCGAGCGATTGTCAGGTTGACGTCAACATAACTAAAGTTGTCCATGGTATACCTAGCGTCCGCGTTAGTGAGGGCTCACAAGTTACTGAAGGTATTCATGAAGGAGAACATGTCGAGATCCATTTCCAGCTCGATGGCTCGCCGCCTTTTACGTTCACGTAAGTTTTATTCATTTCTACTTCCTAGTTGACATGGCTGACATTGTGTCGATTCATAGTTACATCAGAAGCGAAATTCCTAAGAAAGGTGCTAAGCCGAAAATCCTCGAAATGCACACTCAGACCACCGAGGAATATAAGCATACTATCATAGCCTCGTTAGAGGGCACATACGAGGTGGTGTCGATACACGATCGCTACTGTGGGTATGCTTCTCCAAAAGCCCACGAGCACACGAAGCAACCCGACTACAAAGTTTAGAAGCAAATTGCCAGCCCCTCGTAGTATAAAATTCTCGATTTCAGGACTTTTAAAAGTTTAGCGTGTAATATATTGCATTTTTTGTTATTATTATAATACTTTCCTTGCCAAGGCATGCATTTTGAGAACTGGGCCTAGTCGGAGATCTTTATGTGTATTCTCTCCACTAGGCCAAGACCAAGTTCCATTATTAAACCCAATACAGCCGTTTTGTTGAGCGTCTAAACACAGTTAGCTTTGTCAGAATTCTATAACAATCCGCCCTATATCTCGGGTGAACATACCCCGCATTTAATTGTCAGGCTGGCCGAATCTTGCAGATGCGATACAACTAATTCCTTCCTAGTTTTCCACAGTCCTCCAATGGTCAAGCTGTCTTCTGATGGGAATAAAAGAATGTATTCTTCAGTTTGAACCTATTCAACTCTAGTTATTTGAATGATCTCCAATGGGTGCTTTCTCTCAATAATACCTTGAGCTCTCCTATAAATTCTTGACAAAGGAGTAATGGTCCATATTTTTTCGGGAGTGCAGACACATTGCTATAACACTCAACGGGTTCGTGTGGATTTAACTTCCGCTTTAATATTATCACAAAATCGAAAAATGACATATCTGGTTCGAACACAGCCTTCGAAAGCGGGAATATTAGGGGCTTTCCTAACGGGTACGGGGTAGACTAAGGAAACTCACCTGAAACGGCGTTGAGGGGCTCAAAAGTCTGTTATGCGTTTCCCGCGCAAGTTGCGTCATTCGAGTTGCGACTAAAAGTGGGATAGGGTAACGTATCCAATCAACCTTTCCGCCTTCGCTGGGTAGAACAATCGACAAGCAGGCTTCACTATTTTGGTTAGTGTGTTGATATGCCCCAAACTCCTTTAGGATGCATGCTCTTTCATCATCAGCAAAATGGCGCAAGACCTCAACCTCTAGCGGCGCTCTCCGCCAATCCCAATGAGAAATTCGAGCCATAACTCGTCTAAAGCTACAGTATGTACTGCCCGGAATTGACGCTGGTGTGTATTGGCTAAAAACAACTGTGGTGAACAGTTCCAAGATGTCTTCGCTGAAAAAGAAGGCTAGATGATGTGATTGAAACCACTTTTTAAGAACCCTAACACTTGAAGAGAAATATTGGTGCTGGGAGCATCTTTGAATGGTCCTTGCTCGTGAGTGTAAGGTGTTGTTCTGGTGGATAGGGCCTTGGCTTAGTATACCTAGGCTCGGATCGGGCGGTAGGTTCAGACTGACACCCCTCGGGGGGTTTTCCAAGGCATGTATTAATCGAAATCGGAAAAGATATTGGCGTTTTGTGAGAATATCCAAGAAACATATGTTATGTAACCTGTTTGTAGTAGCGATACCAACACGAACTGTGAGAACGTTTTTGGTCGCTTCAAGCTCAGCCCTGAGCTTAAGAAGGAGCCCAAACTCACTCCGACTCCTCTGTTCCGGGTCTGTTGGCCACATAGAAGAGCCCTCGAGTTCTAACTCCCCTTCTAATGGCGGCCCAAGATGCCTGGAACACGGGAAGGGTGGCTTGACCGAGGTGGAACTAAGGGATGGTGAAACTCCTGATATCTTCTTAAACCCTAACGGGAAATCTTTGATCTGGCGTATGGTATTTGCGACCATTTGAAACTCGGAAGCTGCTGTCTCATAACTGTCGCTAGCGGGCCAAACCAAAGGCGGGGATGTCAGGTATATATCGGACTCAAGTCCCTGTAATATAGGCGGCTGAGTTGTTGGGAAGGAAGCAGTCAATTTTCGATGCAAAAAGCTCAGTATTTGCTCAGTGGGCGGTAGGCTCGGATCCCATCTAACTGTTTCCATCACTCGCCCATCCTTGAACCGCCTAAGTTCTGCTTTATCTTCCCAAAACTCGCGAAAGTCGACAGTTTTAGCCGCATCTTGTACCTCGGGTCCATAGTCCAAAACACGTGTGCACCTCTTTTCATCGAGCGTGATAAACATAGTTAATACATATTTGTCGTGGTATTGCCGTTCTCGATCCGATGCGTCCTCTAGCTGCCTAGGGTGTGGCTTCGGGGTTGAGAAGGTGATCATCCTAAATCTATCGGTAAGACCTTTTGAGAATAGGTCGTAACAATAATCGTTTATATAATGCTTGAGATTCCATCGCTTGACGGTTTCGGGGAGTATTTCTCCAAACTGGATCAAATCTATTGGGAGGCTATAATCACATCGAGTAAGTAACGAAAGGATGAGCAATAGGATCTAGTGGAATACCTCATCGTAATGTCTGCAATATTATAGAGGGAGTTCTCAAATACCCTTTGAAGCTGAGCCCGTGGGGAAATTCCTAGCTTGTCGAGGGATATCACGGCGAGGGAGTGTTTTACAAGCTGAAGAAAATTGCTCCGAATTATTAGTACATCAGTATGTCTGAGTTCGAGGAGGAGGATTGCACACCGCCAGGGAGGACCAACGGCTCATTTTAGAGAATATATTATAGTCAGTCTGCTCTCGATGGAGAACTGGAATGTTCAATTCAGGGTGAATTTTTCTAGTCGCGATAAGGTTTAAGACTGATTTGAACATTTGAAACGCATCAGAAGATGCAGAGTATCGAGAAGCAGTCTGTGGGGTCGTCGTTGTTTCCACGAGGTGGCATTGTAACATTGCCCATTCTTTCTCGCCGAATCCACCATCAAGCAAGTGGCTTGAAAAGCCTAGGCGGGAAAGCCACACCCCACCAAGAATGAGTGATTCTTTGAATCCTTCGTTGGAAGCAGTGTATTGTTGTATTATGTCCAACGCCACTAGATGATATGCATCGGCTATTATGGAGGAGTTGTACATCGGGGTTGGCACGCCGCTTTGCCTATCGGCCCTACAAGTGTCGGGCAAAAGTTTATCCAATGGGAATAAATTAAGCGATATCGCCGGTATTAAACGAATTTTGCACCTTGCTTTAAATGTTTTGGTGATTAGAAGGATCCCAATCCGAGGGCCACAATTACGGGAAGAGAAGCTTACAGGAGAAACAATCTATTAGGATGATGGGACGAAGTTCATCCCCATCCAAGAAGTCTGAGAGAAACGAGTAGCCTGAGGTCCGTTGAGCAGTCTTCAAGGCTAGTAAGAGATATGAGAGGTATATGACTCGTTTTCGATGGTATCGGTACTCGAGGTAGTCCCTTGGGTGAAATGTTGCCTTGTAAATGGATAGTGGATTAGCCCAGCTGAAGAAGTTATAGTGCAATCCGAGTGTTAGTATACCGAAGGCACCTGGATGATTAAATCAACCGAAATATCACCATGTTCCGACTTGCGAAGCATTTTATGGCCCACGCCCCATTCTACTTCAACCCGGTCTGGAGGGGAGAGGCAAATTCCAAGGTCGCGTATGCAATCGCCGCATTCTGGGTAGGGAATATGTACCCCTCTGCTATGAAACTTAGTATCGGCGTCCCGTATCTAGAGCGGGAGCACAATTAGTCTAACTTGGCGAAATATTTTTTCTGTTGGGTTCAGGAAACTGATTACCGAAACAAATCTAGCCTCTTTGATGTCGATCAAAACCTGCTTAACATCCTCGACGACTCGAGTGATTTGAGAGATTTCCTCAGCGTTGCATTTTTGAAGCCTTATGAGGTCGGCTACTTCCTTCTGAGAGCTTCGTTGTAGTGGAGACAAGGGTAGTTTGGGCGCGTCTTTAGAACCGAGAGAATCGAAAAGTTTCCGCTTTTTGGGATTGTTAGATTGTAAGTTAGGTGGCATATTTGACTCGAGACCGGTTTTTTAATCCGTTGATACTGATATATTGATGGAGTCCACGTGGTGTTAAAATTTTAGAAAAAAAAACGAATACGATACGTATTCTGCTACGCTATGCTGCGATGACAAAACTCGGTGCAAAGGGACAGGAAGAGAAAATTGGGTAGAAAAATTACAACATGCTGTTTCAGTCAACACTGAGGTCCCGAATTTCCTTTTTGGGCCATTGCTTGCCAAGTCTGCGACAGCCTGACTAGATTTGTTTCTTTTGCCGAAATCGCAGTGCTGTTCTCCGATTTTAACTAATGCTTGATCCCTGAACCTTGTTGCAAGGACTCTGCCTATACAGAGCTGCAGAGTAAAGGCACCCACTTATTATGTAAGCCCCTAACTCAAGATTGTTTGTATGTACTTATTTTTGGTTGGGCCTAGGTAAGTAAGCATTTCTATTTTATAAATTTTAAAATTGAAGGAAATTATATTGAGTTACGACACCCCAGAACCTTTCCGAAGTTTTGCGAGAAATTTAGACCCTACGTCTCGGCTGGGCTATAGCTATAGGCTTCATGGTTTTTGACGGTAAATGGGAGCCTGAGATGAATTCCGTCCCAGGTGCTGAGCTAGGGGAAGCCATCCCCAGCAATACTGAGCATGTATGTTATTGAAGCTCCTCCGTTCTATTATAGTACCTCGAGTTCCTGACGTTTTTGGTCCATTTTAGGCAATTAGTGTTTCTCTCCCTACATGGCGATCAAATGTTGGCTATGAGGAGAATGAGAACTGGGTCGTTAGCAAAATGCAGAGCGGATACCCTCGGTACGACCCCCGTTCTTTTCCTTTGCACTCAATTGCGGGACAGTCTTGCAGTTGGTGTTCCCAGCACTTAACATAGTTGTGGAAATTTATTGTATTCCTGAACTTAGGTTCTTCATACACCCGGAAATAATCGCCCTCGAGAAGTCTATTTCCGATACCCATAGCAAAGCCAAGGAGCGATGCATATTGTTCCCCTCAGCGGTTGTTGCCTCGGCTTGTAGGAGCTTCGTGATTTCACGGCTTCGACAATCTGAGAATAGCGTTCAAGTATCCGATCAAGAAATTCGCATTATTTTCTTATCGTCTTCTCAAGTGCAAAATACACTTCATCCTCAGGCCGACGTATGGGCCATTTTCTTGCCAGAATCATTCTATCCCACTGCAAGGGAATTCTGGCAACATACGGGAGAGGGCATCTCGAGTCGGCGAGCAGTGTACATCCATAAAGCACTTCGAGAAGGAAATTTGTCAGTAATAAAACAGTCAATTGACTCTCCGTGTGACAACAATCCACTACATCGCGGCCCATCGCGATACTCAAAGCATTGTGGGGGGAATGCTTCTATTGGAACCAACTCACGAAAACAACGTAATGCCTCCGGTTCCGACGGAATATCGACTAATGATTTTGTAGAAATGCGCTACGGCCGTAATCTCGAGGCTGACGCAGTTCAGCAAGCCAAGCTCGCAATAAAACAGCGGATCTCGGGGAGCATGGTCACAGATTGTGATTCAACTGGTCGAACCTCCACTCAGGGCAGAGTTCAAAAAATCTCACCTGAAGATGTCTTCCTTTTCCCGACCGGGATGAGCGCTATATACAATGCACACCGACTTCTTCGCACTTTGTTCGGCCCGAGCACGATGGTTGAATTCGGGTAGGTCAATACTCTAGTGAAATCACGAACCTCTGTCTAACTAAGAGTTTATTAATAGATTCCCTTACTTGGATACCCTTAAAGTCCTGGAGAAGTTCGGTGATGGCTGTTTGTTCTTAGGCAATGGGAACGATTCTGACCTAGACGAATTGGAGCGGGTTATCGACGACGGCAAACAGATATCGGCTTTGTTCTGCGAGTTTCCATCCAACCCTCTGCTAAGATCACCGAATTTGAAACGCCTTCGCGCCCTAGCTTCTCGACATCGATTTGTCATTGTTGTAGACGAAACAATCGGCAATTTTGTTAATGTTGATGTTCTTCCTTATGCCGACATACTTGTTAGCAGCCTCACCAAGGTTTTTAGTGGCGACAGCAATGTCATGGGTGGGAGGTACGTTCGTAATTAAGGATGTAGCCCCTATAAGAGTGCCTTAACTAATGAATATATGTTCTAGCTGTGTGATCAACCCGGAGATGCCGTTCTATCAAGATATCTCACTATTAGCTGCAAAGATGTTTGAGGATAATTATTGGGGTGAGGATGCGATATTTATGGAGCGGAACAGTCGAGATTTCGCCTCTCGAGTTTTGAGGATCAACCAAAATGCAGAGGCATTGGCCGAGCTGTTTCTTAAATGGCCTACAATTAGTGAAGCGCCCATACTCGTACAAAACAGAGCCCTAGAGACTAACATGGAAAACAACACCAGTAAAACGCGTCTATTACCCTAAACATGACGAGTCCCGGGCTTATTATGACGATTGTAAGTACACAGATGGTGGTTATGGAGGCCTTCTCTCTATTACTTTTCATTCCACGGAGCTTGCGATTAGATTTTACGACACAATAAAAACGGCAAAGGGGCCGAGCCTTGGGACAAATTTTACCTTGACATCGCCGTACGCTCTCCTTGCGCACTACAAGGAACTTAATTGGGTGAATACCTAGTTCTTAGCCCGCACCTGCGCACAAGCCTGGCTGCTAATGACCTTTCAATAGATTGCTCAATACGGCGTCGAAAGCCACCTTATCCGCATCAGTGTTGGTTTGGAGGGAAAAACTACTCTCTTATACATGTTCGAACAAGCGCTTTTAGATGTAGCATCATTTAAGAATTCGAATTAGTATAAATTGCAATAGGTCCCACCTTGTATTCGAATGATTTATTCTTTTATATGCTAAAATAATGATGTTGGTCAACGAGCGCTTGTGGCATTGATGCGTGCTCGGCGCTGTAGCAGATCCTTACGCCGGTGTATCATAGTAAATACAGTATCATTGCGGTGTAAGTAGATACCAAAGGTATTTGCGAACTGCGCAAGAAAGGGGTGGTTGTACCAGAGTATTGCAGCGACGGGTAGTACTGGCTAACGGTAGTCCCGCAAGAGTACAATGCATCCCATCTAGCTATACCAGCCTTCCTTCCTTTCTTTATTTTTATTATCTTGAATTGATTAATCATTGAGGATTGGATTGGAAATGGTATGGGAGGATATTAGGCGTTATGGGAGCTTGGGAGGATGCTTTCTGTCCCATGCCCATTGTCATTACGGCGTCCATAGCTTTGATGGTGGCCATAGCCCCTCTGTGACCCTCTACCCCCCCGGAAGCTTTGCCCCGTAGAATGGTTTCCTCGTGTCTTGTTGTGTCTTACGGCTTGAGGCTGCGCGGGGTGGGGGCCACTACGTGCATCTGGACGGTTTGTGTTTTGAGAGATCGGATTAGTAGTAGCGGGTGATGGCGCTGAACGTATTGAGCTTTGGGCTGCTGGTGGACGAGGGATACTCTCTGGTGAATCATAGACATACAATTTTTTGTCTATCTGAGCTGGTATAGGCTGGATTTCGGTCCCGAGTTCCTGTTCTATCTTGTAGAGATTAAATCTAGGGGGAAACAGAAGGGCATAATTAAGTCAGCCTCAGAAATTTTAACATAATTCCAAAAAATTAAAATTGACATAGTTTCGGAACCAAAGTCAACAAATTAGCCACGGGTGGATCTTACCTGTCGTCCCAATTGATGAGGTTTATGGCAAGACCGAGGTGACCGAAGCGGCCCGAACGACCAATTCGATGGAGGTATGTTTCCGCATTCTTCGGGAAATCAAAGTTGATAACAACATTGACAGCTTGGATATCGATGCCTCGGGTTAGGAGATCTGAACAGACTAGATTGCGACAGACCCCGTTTCGAAAATCGTGAAATACGCGGTTCCTGTGGTTTTGGAGCATTTTCGCATGGCTATAGAAGCAGGAGTACCCGAGCTCTGTGATCTTCTTGGCGAGCAGCTCGACTCGGTTTGTAGAATTACAGAATATTATTGATTGATTGATTTGGAGCTATGCGAGAATGTTAGGACTGAAGGATATGTCACGATTCTAGAATGCTCTTAGATGATACCTTCGAAAACAAGGTGTTCAGGCAGTGGACCTTTTGCTTCTCCTCGACAAATGCATAGTATTGAGTAACTCCGCGAAGAGTCAACTCATCCATGAGATTGATCTCGTAGGGTTGTTTCAGGTGTTTGTCCTACAATACGATTAGTTGTGTCCTTCACAGCCTTTTGAATTTAGTGCTAGCGATGTTCGAATCTAAACTGGCTTTGAAGGCGAAAAAAAGAAGGAAAAAAGAAAGAATCCAAGACTGACCATGAAACTTTTGACGACCAAGGGGAAAGTAGCGGAGAAGAGCATTATTTGGCGATCGCTTGGGAAATATGCCAAGAGCTGTTCGATTATGGGGGTGAACTCAGGGCTGAGTAGTTTGTCCGCCTCATCCATGATGAAGGTTGGGCATTCGCTGAAGTCTGCAACGCCTTTCCCAGCCAAATCTAAAATTCTTCCAGGGGTACCGACGAGGACGTGAACAGCCTCGTTTAAACGTATGATGTCATCCTTCAACACTGTTCCACCTGTCGTAACCATCACGTTGATTCCGAGATGTTTACCCAAAGTCTTGCAGACTTGCGATGTTTGTAGAGCAAGCTCCCGGGTTGGCACTAAGATGAGGGCTTGTGTCTTAGGACTCTTTGAGTTTACCCTTTCCAGGGCTGGAATAACGAACGCCGCCGTTTTCCCTGTACCATTTTTAGCGCGGGCGAGAATATCCCGTCCCGTCAATGCGACCGGTATGGTTTCTTCCTGGATTGGAGAGGGTTTCTCAAAGCCTGCTTCGAATATGCCCATGAGGAGTTCTCGCTTGATGTAAAGTTCTTCAAAGTCAAGTCCCTTCGTCGCTGTCACATCCTGTTGATGCATTAGAATTTAGGTTTCCCAGGCTTATGGGGATAGCCGATTTTTATCGAGGAGTGGGCTGCCAACGTACTTCAGTTTGAGGACGAAGATCCTTGACAGGTGCCGTTAGCTGAGCTCGCCAATCGGCATCACTAGAAGGGAAATTAGCAAACGATATACATGGTGACATAGAGACTCAATAGTGTAATTCCCACCTTAAAGTTGTAGATTCGAGTTTTTCTGATAACGAAGACGCCATTTCTAAATTACGGGATGTGTCGGGAGGGAGAAAGGGGGAAGAGGAGGAGGGGTTTGTAATAGGTTGATGGACCAAGAAGGGAGATATTCAGGAAAATGAGGGATCGCTAAACGCCAAAAAAGAAAAGGGCTACGGGCAGCTAGTCCTCTAGATAGGTGTAAAGGCTGTCTTTTGTAATAAGGGACTAGAAAGTTTTGGATGTGAAACCAAGGTCTGGAGGCGATTTTCAGGAAAATCAAGGGATGATGTTGGTATTGCGGTTACTTTAGTAAGTATGCAAGCACTTTTGTACGGCTCCGTTCAACTTTCCGGGTCCTATACAAAGCGTAGGCTCCAGTAAGAAGGGGGAAGAATACGGAGATTGAGTGAAGGGGCGACTGCGTAGTAGACAGCCTGAATTGATATTTTATTGTTGAATTGCGCGTGTCCTGCGAGGAGGAATGATGGTTTGATACGAAGTCTGGGCGGATATCGTTTCAGTATACAAGTGTAGAGATCCTAAGTAAAGCTTGTTGTGGGCAAGTTTGCAGAGGAAGTACAGTAATAGAAGAATTTGATAGTGTGCTTGAAGCAGTGTAAACGTGATGGCAGGTTGTTGGTTCTCGATGGAGGGGATGAAGGTGGATGATGGAGAGAAAGGGGAAGAAGAGGAGGGGAGTGGGAGATGGAAACTAGGATTTGAAAATTAAGCCAACAGCGAAACGGGAGGAGGAGGAGGATGATGATGAGGATGAGGAGGAAGACGAGGAGAGTAGTGGTAGTCGATAAATGTGGGGGAGCTGAAGCAACGATTGGAGATTTTGATTAGTGGAGGTCGTTGATGTTGGCGAATGTTTTGTTGGTGATGTTGGTGATGTGATGTTGGCGATGTTGGCGATGTTGGCGGGTGGATGGACGGTATTATGATATTTCTAGGTGTTGAGTTGGAAGGGGTGATGATGTGTGGTGTGTGGCGTACATGTGGAGCGGTGTGTGGTGTGTGGTGTGTGGTGTGTGTGATGGTTTGACGGTGAAGCGTCAGAGATTGGCCTTTTTTGTGGGGGATATATAGGTATACTGTACCAGTAGTAGGTACTTAGATATATAAAGGTCCTTCCAATAAATTGATCCTTATCTGAACACCTAGTAGGTACCTAGGTACTAATCATCTTTCAGCTACTAAGTACTTAGGTAGCTATAGGTACTCAGCTACTAGTAATTAACAAATGTCATTGCCATTGTCATTAGCTAGTATGTATTACTAGCCCACGAGTACGGCACAAGACGTGGTTCGTGTGCATTTTTTTATTCTCCAACACTTTTTTATGCCTCGAAAATTTCTGAATCGGAAAAAACTCATCCCACTGCACTGCACTGCACTCTTCCCAACCGGTATATCACACGAAATTTAAGATACCTACAAAGATTGAAGTGTTTAGTATTTAACGGTATTGTTTTTTCTGACTGCATGATGCTTATTCTTTCTCTCATCCAGTGCTAATTAATGCTTTTCTAGATCTACTATCGGTTTTACGAATTTTCCTACAGCCCATCATGATCACGATGACCCGGCCTTATCTCGCCCTTGGTCGTGCTATGCGATTGGCCACCATTAGTAGAGGTACTAGCATCGCCGCACGACCATTCTCAGTTCTACGCCAAATCCCCCGAAGACATCTCGCACCAGTTTTCCTAGCGAACCGGGTCCCCGCGCGATTGTTCTCGTCTACTTCCATATCTTCAAGGCCCTCGGGCACAGGTAACTTGGCCCGGTTAATATAGCCCTATTCTTTAACTAAACACGGATGATACCATAGTGGATGAAGAGCTGTTCGCAAAACTTCAACATGAGATAAATGTTGAAACCGAACTGGGTGAACACGAACAGATCCCCGAAAACCTCAAGGAGTTCTTAGAGACTTCCCAATTTAAGGTCCGTAAGCCATCGGTATCTCTTAGAGACAATCCATGCTGTTCTTGTAATTTCATCTTGGTGACTTGGACTAACACCAGTAAATAGTTAAATGATAAGGATGGTATGGAAGAGGTTGAGTTGATTCGGAGGTTTGGTGACGAAACGTAAGGAAGAAACCCCCCCACCTTACTTTGATTGAATCTTGGGAGCCAGAGTTAAAATCCAGGCATCAGCGTTCGTGTCATTTTCTCAATTGCAGACCTAAATGCCATTGATGAAAAACTCGATGACCCTTCTTTGTATGACCAAGAAGACCTCCCTGAGACAGGTGAACTAGAGGCTTCTGCGAAGCGAGGTGCCAGCACAGAGACAAGACCTACAGACGAAGATGAACCGGAATATGAGGAGGCAAGCGAGCCGGCTTACCCTGCTCGCTTGAACATTACCATTGAGAAGGTATGTTTTTCGGTCCACGGGAGTTCAAATTCTGCGAGCTCCTTTTTGTTTGATGTGCGAGGCCTTGTATAGCGCCATTCTAATCATCTCACGGTTTTAAGTCTACCTCTGGGGCCTTGCAAGTTGAAGCTATTGCACAAGACGGGATGATCATTGTTGAAAATGTTCATTACCACCCTTCTGTAGAGTTAGCAACAGCTCAAACAGCAGAAGCTGATTGGGAGAGAAGAGGTCGTTATGTTGGGCCCCCCTTCGGAAATTTGGATGAAGATCTACAGGTTCTACTTGAACGTTATTTGGACGAAAGGGGTATCAATACTGCCCTTGCTCTGTTTGTCCCAGACTATATTGACTACAAAGAGCAGAAAGAATATGTCTCTTGGCTGAAAAGTATGTACCCTTTTTTCAACACCCCGTAGCTTTCAGATAAATTAACAGGTCACACGTAGATGTGAAAACATTCGTCCAGGCATAGGTGTTGCTAGCGTAGTTGCAAATACGGGTTGCATTGTTTAAATATTCGGTTTTTTCTCAGTCTCTCCTCAGGATAGAGCTACGTATAGGGGAAAGGTCTTGCGGGTTGGTATCTCAGTAATGGTTTCGGAGACCTCGGCTTGGTACATCTTGTTCCGATGCTTCATCGCTTCAGGCCACGGTGATTTCAAATATCAAGGGAAACTCAGCTGGTGGATTTTGTGTATATATAGGGCGCTGGGCTTCAAACACCAACGCTGTCAACTGTAACTGTAAACCAAGAAAAAAATAAGAAGAGGAGAAGAGAAGAAGAATAAGAAGAAGAGAGATCTCCTGTCTTAAATTATAGTAGCTAGCGCAATTTTATCTGCCTCTAAGCCTCAAGATCCGAGCTAGCTTAACATCAAAGTACTAGATGCGGTCCAGTCCTCAATCTCAAATCTGGTGTTGAGTTCGTGTTGTCCATGTTGGAAGGGCTGAACATCGGAAGTACTTCCGCCTCTACATGTTTTCGGGGGTTTAAGCACGAATCCCCTGTTTTATTGTCCAGCCGCTTCTTCCGGCACATTTCTATACCTCAGTAGGTATTTCTGAGCACAAGTTGTTTAGTGCCGAGACTGTAGGTATTTATCCATCCCGAAAATCTTCCAAATATCAACAATGTGAGGTCAAATGCGATTCCTGTTGAGCGATGACTATACCCAGCTGATTAACTCCCGAACACTTGAGTTTAGCTCCTACAATAAACCCACGCAGGATGTTGGTCTCTCTTACTGTTGGCAAGGTCGACGCCGGTCTAGCTATACTTCTCACAAAAGACAAGCGACTTATTGAGTTTCCTTCTGTTCTTCTTCCACCTGGTGTCTCGAGCGGCAGCATAATCGATATTCAAGTTTCCCGCAATAATCGAGCTGAAGACGCGGCACGTCAAGCATTCGAGACCCTGCAAAACGAAATATTCTCGCTGTTTGGACAGAGGTCCCCTTCAAAGCCTGTCTTAAGAATCCGAAATGCCACACAGACATCCGTGGTTTTGGAATGGGATCCTATCGATCTTGCAACAGCATCTCTAAGATCTCTGTCGCTCTACAGGAACAATTCCAAAGCTGGCAACATACCAAATCCAACTACACACCACTCTACTAAGATATCAGGACTTGCGGTGGATACTGAATATTCCTTTCACTTGGTATTGCGGACTTCAGCAGGCACATACGCAAGCGAGAAAGTCACAACAAGAACGCATAAAATGACCGATTTGTCCGGTATCACAATATGCCCAGGAGTTATGTCTCCTTCTGAGAAGGAAAGGCTTAAAATAGTTATTGAACGGATAGGAGCTAAACCACTCCAGGATCATGTGAGAATTGATACGACTCATTTTGTTTGCACCGAGGGTCGTGGGCACGGTTGGGAGAGGGCGCAAGAAATGAATATTCCTATCGTTCGACCGGAGTGGCTTGAGGCTTGTGAGCATGAAGGGCGGATAGTAGGTGTGCGAACATATTATCTTGGTGCAGATTCCGCCCTTAGAACCCAAAGAGCCCGACCAGTATCACATGCCCTGCCGCAAAGCGGAGCGGGACAGGGCCCACCTGGTGATAGGCGTGATTCAGTCACTGATACAAACACGAGCAAGTCTGCACACCAAGTGACCAACCCCACTGGATCCCCGCCAGAAGTTGAAGGTGCTACCACAGCAGTTGAGAAAGAGCCGTCGCCGCCTCAAGACAGCGAGCAACTCCCGATGGAGGACGGCCGCAGTGACGCACCCCCCGTGACGCCCCCGGGAACGGCGTGTGAAGCTATAGCAGCGGACCGAGATGGAAATAATGGCCACCACCCACAAGATGATGCAGATTTTACATCCGTTCCATTGTGATTGTGGGGGCATTGGATGCGGTATATACAATCGAGCCAAACGTTTAGAATCTAGACCAAATTGAAAACACCATGATCCCTTCACCCGGATCTCAAAATTTTGCTAATCGAGCTTGAAAAAAAAAAAAAAAACACCTGATGCATATTGATCTAAACAGCGCTTCCAAACAATTTATTTTGTCTCACATGTAATTTGGCTTTCGTGAAACTTTTAAGAAGCAGGATAGGAGTACAAAACAAAAGATGGAGAATGGAGTTACGAGACTAGGACCTAGCGCCGAACTTGGATCCGCGTTTGGTTACGCTGAGGATCAGGCATTCTACACAAATACAGGGTGTTAGCTGAGTTATAGCCATTGCTAATTGTGGATAAATACATACCTCACTATTCGAACATCTGCAGTTTCATCTATCCCCTTAGTACTAACGTCCTAAATCCGATGTTAAACGTACTTCTCTATACAGACGGGAACTGATAAGACCAACCTGGGGCGTGATGAGAATAAACTGCTTCCCGACTGAGTTGCGAGCCGCCTTGATCTAGTAAAATGTTAGAAATAGGGGAATCAAGAAGGGAAAGGAAAAACCGAAAGGCAATTCCTCCGGGGAGGTTTCAAACTGACAATTAAGCCCATTGATACCCCTCTATTTACCGCATCCATAAAAACATCACTGAATATGTATTAGAAATGTAAATTATTTTGTAATAGGGTACACTTACAACTCGTCCAGGCAACGGAACGGCGAACCCATAGCTTCCCATAGCGCCAAGAGTAAACATATTTGTGAGAAGGACTTTTCTCCACCGGAGAGTGTCTTGGTATTACGTTGGGTATCTGTCGCCTGCTGGCTGGGTTGGACCTATCAAAATTGTCAGTATACCAAAAGGATAACTGAAACGTGAGGGGCAGATCATACTCTTAGCTGAAGGATACCTTTCTTATGGTCGAATGCGAGTTTCCCATCGAATTCTCTTTCGCTCATCAGGAAGCGAAACTGATACCTTGATTGAACACTGATGTATTTTCGGAAATAGCCCCATCGTTCCATACGTTCCTCAAATGTTTGTTGCAAAGCTTGGTGGACCTTCTCCAAGTCGGTCACTTCTTCCCTTGCCGCCTTATATTTTTCAGTCTTCTTCCTGTAATCCTTCGCGATACTTTCAGTTGAAGCCCCGATCCTGGCGTCCTTTTTTCGAATTTCTGCCTCTAATTGGTTCAGTCGAGTCTCAATTTTTTTGGTCGTATCATCTGCGCCAAGTCTAACTTCAGCTCCAACTTTTTGCGCTTCCACTATTTGGCCTCCTAGGTGTTCTTCCGCTTTCTCCGCTGAGTTCGACAGCTCTGATATTTCTGCGTCTTGAATTTCAATTTTTCGAAGTATCTCAGCGCTTTTAAGAACTGACACCTCTTTTCGCTGGATAGCACGGGTATGAATGTTTTGGAGGCTATCAGCATGAGTTTCAAACTCATCAATCTTTGCGCTAAGATCTTTCATCTCGACGTCAAGCCCAGTTTGTATTCTAGAAAGTCGTTGTTTTTCGGCTAAGTTGTCATTGTGCTGTCCTATGGAAATCCCGTAGGCGTGTTTTTGAGTCTGTTGACAAAGTGTCAGCGAGTGATTCCTCGTGCCGCGCAGTCTAGTTTGTTAATACCTCGACAGCCGCTTCCAGACGAATAAGTTCTGTATTGCTGTTGTCCTGCTCTAGTTTTTGTGTTATATCCTCAATCTGGTCGTCGATTCTCTGGATTTCGGTTTTGTTTCTTTGCTTGTGATTCTAGGAAAGCCATTCTGGTTAGTCACTTGCTCCACCAGTGTAGAAGGACTGTACGCACTCTACGCTCAATAAAGCTATCCTGATAAGCAGATATCGCATCTTTTAGCTCCGTATATTTGCTACGGGCTTCAACTAGTTCCGAATCTTTCACAGCAATGCTTGCTTCTGCAAACCTATTGCATCGAGTCAGATCAGCCTTTCTTTGAGTTATCACAATTGCTTACTTGATTTGTTCCTCAACGCTGGTTGCCATCCGAGGTGCCTGGGTCCATCCAATGATGGGATCTACCCCTCCAGAACCTTGACTATTCGTAAAAGTTAGTCTTGGAATAGTAAATGCAGAAGGGCTGAAGCACCTACCCCATTTTGATATTGAAGCCATTCCCTCGTTTATTCTTGTTGATTGAATAGCAGAACCTAACATTTTCGGGAGATTTTTCCATAATCCTCCTCCCTTCCATGTGATCCTCAACAAGAATAGTTTGCTCAACCTGGTTAATCATTACGAGGGTTTTTTTTACCTCCTCATTGTCGATCTAGTCAGTGTTAGCTAAGTAGGGACCGAACATAAGTCAAGCGCGGGTTTACCACCTCTAATGCCCTTAGGACTGTAAGGTATTCGGATGAAGGTTCCTTTAACTGGAAAGAAGCCCGGCTTGTATAATATACGGTGTTGGCACTAGAACGCAGGGAACATTAGCATCTAAATTAAACAGGAGGATGGAGTCACTTACCACTTATATTCCCGCGTAAGACCCATCAGGCGGTCTTTATCTTCAAGGCTTGAGGTGATAAAGCCAGTCAACACCCGCCCTAATTGGCGTTCAACTATAGACGACCATCTTTTATCTTTTAGTTTAACAAACAGCCCAATCGGGCCAATAGGCTTCTCAGCTCTCCATGAAGTGCTACCAATAGCCTCAAGGAGCTTAGGTATGTTTTGTCCGTATAGATTGAGGTTTCCAGAGTGACTGGATGTCAGCTGCTTCAATGCATCTTTAGCGCCGCTAACGCTAGCCTCCTTTTTCTGGACCTTATCACGAAGTTCATCGAGCTTCGCTTTGTTTTCACGGTTGGTATTCTGCTCAACAGTGATATTCTCATTTAGGTCATTAATTTCAAGTTCAAGCCTCCCCCTTTCCTCCAAAAGACGTCCCTTCTCCTCGACTAGACTGGTCAGTTTGCCGTTATCTGCGTCAGCTAATCTTTGTTTTTCTGTGTCGACATCATGCTGCGCCTTCTCTAAATTTCTTTTGGCTGTTTTCAGTTGATCGTAAATAGATCGTTCCTCCAACTATATTGATATTAGAATACTGTACGAATGATAGAAACGACATGGTTGTGAACCTGAATTTGCTCAAAACTTTTGCGATTACTTAGCAGGCGGCCTTCCAACTCCTTCTTCTCGTCTTTGAGGGGATTTATTGAATCGGATGAGTTCTCCACCGCTTCAAGCGCTTGCGAAACCTTTTGATCCCAGGTCTTAACGGTAATGTTCGCATTCTCAAGCTCCATGTTTAATTCCTCTTTCGTGCGTTGGCTATCGGAGAGCTTCTTATTTGCTGTCTCGAGACACTATTGCTCCACACGGCTGAGTTAGTAACTTAGGACCATTCCCATTTCATGGCATGCAGGTCTAACCAATTTTGATTCAGAAACCTGTGCCCATGCATGCGTTAATAGCAATTTGTTAACATTATTACGCAGGTCGTCTGTTTGTTGCACAAGCTTGAACTTCTTCTCGGCCGCTTCTTTATCTTCCTTTAACTCCCTTATATCCTCAGCCTTACTTTCTAAGACACCATCGATTTGTGCTTGCTGTGACTTAAGGGCTTGGTAAAGAGCATAGAGATCATCGAGTTGGACGCCTTTCATGAAGAATTTATATTTGTCTTCGTCGGTAGAATTGCTCAAGAACTGCCTTGCGAGATCTTGGGATAGAACAGTCATTGGGTTATCGACCTGCAAAGACATATAGTCGATGATGTCCGAGAGCTCCTTCTTGGCTGTGGATACGACCTTACCAGACTTTGCCTTGATTTTGTAGGAAGTAACGCCATCACGATTAAATGTACGTTGTATAATGATAGTTTCACCATAAACGTCTTTTCTAAACCCGTCTCCACGGTTCCGAAGGTGAACCTCGACAACAGCCATGTGTTCACCCTCTTTGATAAAGCTCTTGACATTGCCCCCCCGGTTAGTTACGGCCGCTTTCGCCCCAAGGCAGAGAGTAAGAGCCGTGAGAACGGCACTTTTCCCACTTCCGTTCTGACCCACGACAAAGTTCATGAAGGGTCCAAATTTCATCTCCAAGCAGGGATGACACTTAGAAGAGGGGGTTTGACGTTAGTGGTTGTTAATACTGGATGTGAAAGCCGCAAGACACGAACCATAAAGTTTTCGAGTCGTATCAATTCGATCGTTCCGTAGTCTGCGGGCTCATTCCCCCTCGGGACTGTATTGTTTGCAGCCATAAGCTGGGATTGTTCAAAGTACAAAGCTTCTTCATCGGAATCTATATCAGCATTATCTTCTTCGAGATTTGCGTTAGACCCTGTGGTTTTGCGTTTCTTGTTGAACTATTCACCTGGTTTCAGCATTTCAGTTCTACAAAATTTATGTAGGAATAGTGGACAAACCTGGATACCATCACCTGTGAAACCTTGTAGGTCTAACGCTGTCTCCGATTGGGTTTTCGATCTCGGTCGTTTAGCGAACATATTTTTTCTTGTTATTTGAAATGTATTTTGTCTATTGGCTCTTAAAATTATCCAAATTGTTAGTTAGTAGTGTTGGGTTGTTGATTGAAAAGCCTAGAAAAGGTTTGTGAGGAGCCCTTGATAACAATATATAGGTTGAGGGCTGAAGGTCAGGGTTGTTATATCCTTAAGCTTTCAGACAAGGCGTGGACTCCGTGTTGTCTAGTCTACGAGACCGGACAAGGCTAGGTTAGATGAAATTGACTGATGATAGTGTGAAATTCGGTGTATTGGCCTGGGCTAGAGGGTTTTTTGTTTCTTGGGTAGGCATATAATATAAGGTGTAGTATATATAGCAGGTGGGTACCTCTTAGTTACCAGGTAAGTAAGTAGGTACCTAGGTAAGTGCTCAGGTAATATACCTCTAGCTATATGCATATACACAGATACATATAAGTAAGTACTTAGATATCTATACTTATATATATGGTATATTTAAGCTCATATACTTACGTTAAAGGGGCCCGAAGAAAGTTGTGGGCAATTTGGAGTTGGGGAGTTCAGATGCTGCTTAAATATACTTTGAGCATGGCAGATGATGATGGATGATGATGATGATCAAAGATCTAGATCTTGTGCAGCTGTGTGACATTTAAATGGATTCTTTGCTTGTCCTTAGGTTTGTTTTAGTAGGAAGTAATGCAATATCACGTGATTACCAGATATAGCAATTCTTGTGTTGTTTCACTGGTGAGAACGCGTTAGCCTCGCAGCCGAAAGTAGGAGGGTTGTGCGGTATTCTATCAACGCGACGACGCGACAACACTTCTACTCTAACACGAGGTGCTTGATCGGTCTTGTAACCAGTGCCTAATAGGAGTGCCAGTATTATCCCTACACCACATCGGATTCAACTTCCCACCTGCACTAGCTCCCCGATATTTACCTGCCTACCCAGGTACTTAGTAGCTATATACCTATCTCAGGACCTAATTTGTTATTCGGATGGGGAGAATGTTGGTCCCATCTACGCACATGCAACGAGAGACCATTGCCATATAGCTTCGAGCCCAAGAAGGGGAGAAAAAAAACCCCCCAAGGACCAAAATACTGACAATTTCCTACATCATGGGGATCAGTGGCCTTCTTCCCTTCCTTAAATCTATCCAACAGCCTACACATATAAAAAAGTGGAAGGGCAAAAGGGTCGCCGTAGATGCTTATGGATGGCTCCATCGTGGAATTATATCGTGCGCCGTTGATCTCGCCCTTGACAAACCAACTACAAGGTACGTGCTTAAGTAGCCCCGTCAACATATCGCCAATGCTATTCTCATTCTAACTACCTATATACTTAAATCATTTTTAGATATGTCGACTACGCCATGCATAGGGTGCGAATGCTTCAACATTATGGAGTTACCCCTTACCTTGTGTTCGATGGTGACTATTTACCGGGCAAAAAAGGGACAGAGCTTGATCGTGAAAAGTAAGAACGCTGTAAACATGAGCATCTCGGACTTTAAGATACTAAACTCCCTTGGTACCTAGGCGGCGGAAGTCTTCTCGAGAAACAGGACTAGAATTACTTCGTCTCGGGCGAGCATCACAGGCCCAGTCAGAGTTACAGAAATCGATCGATGTCACACCTCTTATGGCACGGCGCCTTATCGATGAGCTTAAGAAGGCGAATATACCATACATCGTTGCACCCTACGAAGCTGACGCACAGATGGCTTACCTCGAACGTATCGGCGAAGTTTCTGCAATACTTTCCGAAGACTCGGACCTGCTCGTCTTCGGGGCGAAATGTCTGCTCACAAAACTAGGCCAATACGGCGAGTGCATTGCCATACATCGGTCAGATTTCCCCGGAGTATCCGGGGCTAGTATGGCTGGTTGGTCGGATTCAGAGTTCTGCAGGATGGCCGTCCTGAGCGGCTGTGACTATCTTGGGAATATACCCAAAATGGGCATAAAAACTGCCTACAAATTTGTTCGGAGGTACAAGTCAGCCGATAAGGTATAGTTTTTGCCATCTATTCCTTACGGATTCCTCAAACTAAATTAAAACGGGGCTTTAGATCGTTAGGGCAATCCGTATGGACGGTTCCTTCGCCGTTCCTGCCTCCTACGAAAAGGACTTCATCGCTGCAGAAATGACCTTCAAGTACCAGCGAGTCTATTGTCCACTTTCGTGTCAATTAATATCTTGCAATGGTGACATGACCCTACCAGATGATGTAGGGGCCGAGCAAGAGCGGAATTTTGGGGGGTGCGTCCTAGGAGTTCGAATACGACAAAAAACCATGTGCTGATAAAGTTCGTGTCAACATTAGCATATACGACGCAGAAACCGCATGTAAAGTTGCATCTGGAGAACTTGACCCCATCACTAAACTTGAGCTTGAGCTTGGGCCGGCTCTAATGTCTATCCCTCCTCCTCCTCCCTCCAAGGCACGTATATCTCTCTAAAGTAATGGTAATCATATCGCGCTAATGCCGAATTAAACAGCAAAAGCCGCGCATCACGAGCTTTTTCGGTAGGTTCACTCTGCCCCTGATTTTAAGGAGGGCAATTAATTAATACTTATCTTTCTATCGCTATAGCTCCGCGTGCAGCCTTAGCGGAAATCACCAGTTCCCGTAACAACCTCGCTTCGTCTCGGGAACCCACCAGCGCAAACACCCACAAAACGAGTCTAAAGCAAGCCGTAACGCCAAAAGTTCTCCTGGGAGCGGAGAAAAAGAAACGTAGGTTTTGTACGGAGGTCGAGAACGACAATACCCAGGATATAGATTATAGCCCATTCTTCACAAAACCATCAAAGTCCGTTAAGACACTCGCGAAAGATACCATCTCCAAACCAACAAACCTTTTCAGTCTTAAGAAGAATAGGACTGAAAGTCTCTTGAAATCGCCAGATTCTAGCTTTCAATCTATGTTACGAACCAGGAGCGCAAATAGAGTAGTCCGTCTTCGAACCAAAGCTCCAGTCGGAGCGCCACCCGAGCCAAAATCTGATGGAAGCCCCCCCTTCAAGATGATTTCTCTCGCGTCCTTCCGCTTTGGAGCAGACACCTCAAGTGGTAGTTTGGGTGCGCATCCGTCTACTGCTAACCCGGAGGACAAAGAAAACCGGTATCTTGTCCACTGAGACCGAATTGAGTATCTCGTCAGATTACCAACGGAGGCGGTTCTTCTTAGTAGACGAATATAGACCCGAACCCAGAACTTTGATGACACGATGGCATGTGGAGGCGACATTATCCAAGACGTTCAGCACCCGTCTAACAACTAGACTATCCAAGACGTAGCGCTAAGAATCTGGGGAGCTTTTAGTAAAACTAGTTTTACATTCAGCCTAATTTTCTCTACAACTCGGGTTTACATTAGCAGGCGTTATCTTACCTTCTTTTCTGTTGCGTAAAAATAATAATAATAGTATTAGGTACATCGTTGTCTCGTACCCAGACCTAGAAGGGGAAATCACAAGGATCTACAGGCTCATTGTCTCTAACTACCTTGATTCTAAGCTAACTAAGCTGCCATATACATCTATCATTGCAAATTTTGTAATTTAATTCCTCGGAAGCTCTGCAGGTGCTAGCTATGGAACTATATGTACTTTTTTTCTGGGTCTGCCCAATGAAAAAAATCCATCGATTTTTCATATCTGTCAAAAATACTATAATTAGCAACGTACCTACTAAGAAAGGAAATGATTTGAAAGGGCTTACAGGGTAAAGACGATTCCTCCACTCATCTGTAATTACGGAGCACCTTTGTTAGAAGAACCCTCTTTAGATCCTCATTCAAGGTTATCTACGAACCATTAATCTTGCAAGCCTTGGCAGTGCCCCGGACCACAGTGCCCGTACTCCCTCCTCAGTCGCAATTCGATAAAAGCACTCTATCGAGTTCCTGTACTGACTAGCGTGTAGAGACTGCATTCTATAGAAATATCTTAGTATGAAAAGAAATAGGCAGGGGCGACGATGATATATACCTTGATTTGACTACATCAATTGGCATAGTCACGTACACCTATCCAGGAGAAGTTAGACTTTCATGTTTTGAGAAATTGGGAGCAAAAAAGTGTTTTATTAGGTTTATAGAAGTGAAGTGCTTCATACGGTGATAGTTCCGGCCATAGCACCGATGCCAAAGGTTGCAGCGGAGCCGAGCTTTTCTCCTGGGGGTATATAACTCTGAGCTAGCTGCTTCATCGTCATGTATGACCCAAATCGTACTGCCGAACTAGACGCTTGTCGTACGGTCGTCGGAAGAAGACCATTGAAAAGGGCTCGAGGGCCCTGCTCCCGTATTATGACACCAGTGCCATGTATGAGACCTCTCATCCTAGGATTTGGACTTTTTTTGTCGTCAATCCTAAACAAAACATTAATTTACGCCCGCTACCCCGTCATCTGATTGTCCGTTACCAGAGAATTCGATAGAAGGTCTTACAATTTAACCTTAACGCTCTCAGAGGGCGTCACGGCGAGCACGGACTCGGAAATACCTAGGGAAATAAATGAACAGGACCCAAACACAATGACAATTATGAACCAGATACCTAACGGACTTACCAGCTCCGAGTCCGGCAAGGACAGTTCGAGGTCCTGATATATTGCCATTTTCATCTGACAGCAGGCTTTTAAAGGTATCAAATGCCAAAAATCCTAATGAGCCACGGTTTAAAACCCCTTCAATGTGTGGTACTGATCATTGATATTGGCTAAGAACTCACGAACAGCAGCCTTAAATGAGTTGCCAGCAATATTCGTTGTGCATCCCGTATACCACTGACGTCCGAACGGTGGCCAGGGAAGCTTTTGCCCGTCGGGGAGCCGCTTATTTAGCTGTGTGCGAACCTTTGCAACTTGCTTGATTTCAGCAAATTATTCGAGAAGGAAGGGCCGGTCGCATCAGATGAAAATTTCTAGCTGCCCAAATATTTAGATACCTACATTCTGCAGGATAGGTGACGGCTACGCGAAGGCCATAAGTTAGCAAACAAAGACTTCGAGGAAGGATTTGAATTTGTGCCTGGCTAGAGAAAGGAATGGAACCTTGCCGAACGACTCATACCAATTTCAATGGCTCCAGCTGTTGCCCCAGCGATGATAGATCTTAGAGCACTAGGCTAAAGTCCGGATGAAACGCACTGATCAATTGCCATCTGATACTGTTTGCATTAGATAGTACATTGGATAATACCTTCTCTTTCATTGTAGCTGCTGACATTATTCTAGGGTTGGTATTTGTGAGTTTAATTATCGCCAGCTGAGTGGTGATTTCGATCGGCAACGTTTGATTGGGGTAGCTTTCGGTGGTTAAAAGGTATATAAGAAGTATGATAATAACATGCGCATCTAGCTGCAGCTCATTTCTCGTGATCGGTGTAACCTCGAATCTAGGCGCTTCTGATGTGGGTCAATGATAGATAGATTTGCGAACTAATGTTTGCATACGCAGCGACGTTCAAGAAGCAGGCATCACAGGTTAGGTTTGAGCGGACTTGACTTGGGTTAATATATCGCGTCGAGACATTAATCCAAATAGAGCACTGGTATGTTGCCTAAGCCTAGCGCTGTGCCAGGGTGTTGCAACACAATCGGGAAGGAAAACTTTGTGGTATATTAAGTACTTACTTCAGTGTGTGGCGGCTGTGATCCGATGTCGGCCAACAAGTACCTACTGGTACTTACCTACCTACTTCGGTACCGATTGGTACTTACATGCCTAATCCGTGTACAGGTCCCGGCTAACTAGCGCCATTTCCTCTATTCGCGAATTTTTATTTTACCTTCATGCAAACTCGCGTGCGCACCCTAATGTAATATTTAATATCATATCAGACTGCCGACGCACATGAGTACTGACATCCGACTTAAGTACCTACATAAGTCTCGAGTTATTTAGCCCATATAGTATACCATATACCATACCATACCTACTTATATACCTACCTGATCCCGCACCCGCTTTTACCGACCCTCGTCTATAACTTCGTCCAAGATGCCGAGATCCCTACGCAAAATACAGTCTCAGATTAAGAAGAAGCGGGGAGCATCATCCACGGCTCTCGTTGAAGACAGTCGTGACGCCCAACGACTACGCAGAGGGATGTTGAGGCACGAAAAACTGGTGCGGTCGGAAGCTCTTAGACAAAAAGCACTTCTACCGAAAGGTAAGGCCGGTCAACTTACGGCTTGCTCACTTACCTTAACGCCATGGTTTCAGCTCAAAGCCTTTAAGCTCCGGTGCTTCCACAAAAAATCCCAGTTAACAGCTCTATCTAGTAACTCGATATCGACATTTTCAGGAACTAGCGACTGTCGAAGAATTTTCAGTAGCGGATATCCTTCAGTACATAGAAAGGTACGCCTAGCGTTGCGTATATATTGGCTGAATAATCGCAAGCTATATCGTTATTAATATAACCCCAATTGATGAAAATATACGCTAGTTTTCTTTCCCGTCTGGACGAGGAAATCAAGGTATTTTCAGGGGAGCGAAGGCCCGGCCGACCGCGATCATCGCAGGAAGACCGATTACGAAACTCTCTTGAGAAAGAGATGGCAGAGTTTCACGTTGGATACGGTTGGTTTCAAACCCTTTCTTTGGTTTGTCGTAGCATATATAGCATTAAATCGCTCATCTAGACGTCGGGGTTGCTAAACAAACTGTTGTATGGATTTAATAGAAGTACCTGATCTCTTTGATCCGGAGACCCGGAGACTCATGTCGGGTTGGAAAGGAGATGCGCAAGGGTTGGCACAAATGAGGACGATAAGGATCACCAAGGAAGGGAAGATACTTCCGATAGCGTGATGGCGAGCCTGCATCCCAATGCACCCGTTGGACGTCAAATTTTCGATATTGAGTTGATGTCGATGGCGGTATGCAATGGTAATACCACGGCGAGGTAGCTAGCTATAATGCTAGAGGATATCTTAATCTCGTAAAAAGAATCGACCCAAGTACCTACTACCTATCTCCCGTGGAGTTTTGTTTTTTTTAGATATCGATATCCATATAGGTACCTACCCCGATAATTAACCTTAAGTAATATGATGTTATATTACAACTTTATGGCATACGTACTATATCTTAGCATTGGTATTTACTCGTATTGAGCTTTGTAGGCTGTTTGTGTATACACCTTTCGACTCTGGGTGAATACCTACGCTAGGAAGTAGGTAGATAAAGGAAGTAGGTACTGGTTACTATACCGAAGTATCAACATACCTCTGTACCTCTGCTGCATGCTGGGTGAGGAAGTATTTAAGCACGGAATTCTGCATCACGTGACAAATGTATGGAGGCTTCCGCCAAGATTGATTGTGTCCATGTCAACTTGCGTTGCCGTGCCAACTCATCAGCCCCACGATCCCAGCTACGCAACACCACTGTTTACTCTGATATCAATCAAACCGTTCAAGCTTTAAACCCCATGTTTCTTCACTGAAATGGACAATAACCCACCTTTGGTACATCCTCTTTCAGTTGGCTCAACTAACCTCCGAAATACGAAATTTAGCAGCTGTTTCCCACGAAGTTACGCCATTTCTCAGCTGTCGCAGTCGTTCGTTAGAATCGTCTCAAATCCTTTTGGGCTGAGGTCGGAACTGTGTTCAAACATTCGATACCGCTGACGCTAGCACTCCTGGGGCCTCATCACGAACTGGCAAATAACGACACTTCCGCGCATCAACATTGGAGAAAGTGTAGTCTTATTGTGCTGGAAGGCTTTATTTACTACCCGTAAAACCGGCAGTGAACCTTCGAGATATCTTAGTAGATATGCCTTTAATAGAAGTTCGCCGAATAATCCGGCTACGGCTGACGTTCGAAAGTATGTTGAAAGCTGGTCGGTGATCGCACTGGAAACAAATCAACTGCTAACATCTGTGTTTCTAGGGCTGGTTCCCCTACTTGGCTACCATGTATGTGTGGAACACCCTTCACCAAAACGTCGAATCTGAAAAAACACCCAAATCGGGCTTTATACCCTGACAATCTTTTCCACAGCGACTAACATACACCACCTAACCCCAGCATATTTTGATGATATTCATTATCCTTGCAATCATTTTACTATGTTAGTCCGCCCCAGAAAACGTTTGCTTGTGATATGGAAACAGAAAGCTAACAACTAAAATAGCACTATTACTTGCAGGATGCTCATCATCGAGCCCTCTGATACCTTCAATATTTCTGATAAATCTTTTCTACAATCATTATGCCCCAGTATATTCGACAGCTCAGGTCGACCCCGAAGCAGCTCGGGCGATAGGAAACATAGTTGCAAACGCCATGCTCGAAGCTCGAGTCGGGTTAGTACCCGACCTCCTCTACGACACCAACTGTTGCATATTTCCCTCTCTATTTCTATACCTTATAACTAATATAAAACGCCTCTATAGATATTTCGGAATCTGTATCAACCCGGATGGTGGTTCTTGGCTTTGTAGTGGCAATGCGTCCTCCCTTGCAGCCCAAGTAAGTGTTGACCAAGACCCCCTTAACCTCATTTGGGTGTCAGATACTTTCCGGGACAGTATCGTCTTCCCGTATCTGCTGTAAGTCCCCCTATACAATATATGAACCGTTCATATGGCTCACGTCTCCCAATAGTATCGTGGCAATACTCCTTGCTACGATTGTTTTGGTTATGCTCGCAACATTTCCGACCTATAATAGTGAAGAAGAGAGAATGCCAAGCCGATTCGTTTCGCAAATCGCACTGGCAATCATCTTCATATCTGCGATATTTGTCCTAGTTTCTGTCTTGTGGCAGGTTCGTATTTCACAACATAATTCCTGTATATGCCAAGCTAATATCCTGTTTAACTAGCATACTGCATCGATTGCTGCAGCCACAATTGCAGAAAATCTTGGAAATGGGTCGATACAGACTGGCGTTGGCGTAAGATTTCCAAGCTAATACAGTTACTTGTTGGGCGTTTTAAAGCTGACGAAGGGGAATATTAGGTCACAGCACTTGTTCTGGGTTGGTTCGGCTTTGCTTTACTTATTCTAGTGACAATTGGATTGCTAGTAATGTAAGTATTTCTCATATAGTTCACGAATTTGGGCACAGTTGATACTAAACTTCACGGTGATTCAGGATACTCTCAAGAAACCTGGTTGACAAACAAATAGTCGATGACGATGAATAGAGCTCCAAAACGGCCTGCGAGTTTTATAGCTCGCCTCCAGGGGTATAAGTCTTATTCATTGGAGGAGTTACTTGCTACTTGCAAATTGATGATATGTGGGTAACAGGCATTCTGGCGCTCTGGGTTCTTTTGTGTTTTATAAATGATCATTTAATGCATTCGTATAGGGCTGTGTCGCGGGATAAGAGGTTAAACCCTTTATCCCTTCGTTTCCATTTTATATTGTTTTCTGTTATACCTACTTTTCTTTTTTTGAGAGCTGTGGTGGGGTTATGAATCTGATGTCAGATATCTCCTTTGTTTTTCATACAAGCTGTTAACGCATGCAGAATCCTTTCGCTTGTGGTCAATTTAATTGGGATTCGAATTTCTTAGTCTTTGGACTTTGTACATACAACGTACTTACATACTTTATATGTATGACATGTACTCTGCTACATCTGAAATTTCCACCTACAACATTTTATATTCACCTGATCACGATCTTAGCCTTTGGAAGCCTTGATCCTTAATACACGTATGCACATTGAACGGATGGAAAGGCTTGGTATAGAAGGGTTTTAAAAATCCATGTACTGGGGAGATTATCTCTTCTATTCGCTTGACAGTGACTGTATTATTACCTTGTTTTCTAGAAAATCTATACTATCTTTATAAACTAACTATCCTATTGAGGCCCTAACTTACTCGAAATCCTTTGATTGAACAAAGGTTGTCCGTGGCCGACCAATGGTCTCCACTTTGAAACCGATCTCTGAAACCTTCTTTGCGTCTAGGATAAGCCGGCCATCGAAAATGAAAGCAGGTTTCTTCATACTCGCGTATATTCGCTCGTAGTCGAGAACTGTTTCCCTGAAGTCGTTCCACTCGGTGCAGATTACAATGGCATCTGCGCCAGCGGCAGCTTCATAGGGGTCCGCAGCAATCGATACTTGCTTCTTAATGACTTCCGTCTCGTCCACCACGCCTGGCTCTGCAAGATCCATCCAGACCTGTGACTCTTCAACCTTCGGATCATATATCGAGATGTATGCTTTTTCTTCTCGAAAGTAATTGACTAGTGTGATAGCGGGGGATTCACGAGTGTCGCCTGTATCCTTTTTAAACGCAAACCCGAAAACGGCGATCTTTTTTCCAGTCAGTGTGTTAAAAAGGCAAGATATCACACGATTAGTAAACCTGCGTTTCTGGTATTCGTTCATCTCGACGACCTATACAAGGATTAGAACAAATATTCACCTCTTCTACTCCGCAGGAATGGGGGGGGGGGGGGAGTAGACTTCACGCTTACCTGCTTCCAGTAAGTAGCGACTTCCGGTAGGTGCAAGCTTTCGCTAAGGTAGACCAAGTTCAATATATCCTTTTGGAAGCAGCTCCCGCCGAATCCCACACTAGCCTTCAAAAATTTGGGTCCGATCCTAGTATCCAGTCCACAAGCATAGCTGACTTCATCAATGTCTGCGCCAGTTGCTTCACATATAGCACTGAGAGCGTTGATACTTGAGATACGTTGGGCGAGAAGGGCATTTGCAGCCAATTTTGAAAGCTCTGAAGACCAGAGGTTCATGGTGATGATTTGGTCTCGGGCAACCCATCCTGCATAAACATCCGCTAGGGATGCAGCAGCAGAACGGCCTCTTTCCGTATCCAACGATCCAATCAAAACACGGTCCGGATAGAATAGATCTGATATAGCAGTTCCTTCGGCAAGAAACTCTGGGTTTGACAGGATGTCAAAGTGAATATCTGGCTTCGCATTTGCTTCGAGCTGGGAACCCCGGGTGGGGAGGGCGTCAGTGTTTGTCGAGAAAGACCCTAGGTGGGTTAGAAATAGATTAGGAGTGCTTACGATGTATCTCATGGACTGGGCAGTTCTGCATGGAACGGTGCTCTTTTCGACGACGATCTTGTCGGATTTCGCAACTTCGGCGATTTTCCGCGTGGCACTCTCGACATAGCCCAAGTCCGCTGCAAACCCAGCGCCTATTCCCTTGATCTTTGTGGGGGTGTTGACAGAGACAAAGATGAGGTCAGCTTCTAGGATACCTGCATCGACATCGGTCGAAAAGAAAAGGTTTTTCCCTCTGGTCGACTTGACAACTTCATCGAGGCCGGGTTCGTAGATTGGAAGCTCATCAGAGTTCCAAGCCGCGATACGAGCCGCGTTCAAGTCAACAATTGTGACTTTGATGTGCGGGTTCTTGTGGGCGATGACGGCGCATGTTGGACCCCCTGGTTATTGGGTATTAGGTATTAGTTTGAGCAAGTAGTAAATGGAAGCATCTGGCTCAAGCTCGTACCAACATATCCGGCACCGATGCAGCATATTGACTTGATGGTTACATGTGGAATATCGATTGCCCCTAGCGGTCGGGAAAGGCGCTTGATTCCAGGGGTGACAGCCCCCGCTCTCGAGGGCTCCTCTCCAGGCGAGAGCTGGTTGGTTACATTGACGGCCAGTGATTCGAGCTTGGGGACAATGGAGGCCATCTTCTTTTAACCTTGGTATAAAAAATATAAGAATAAAAATAAAAATAAAAGAAGAAATAAAGAAATAAAGAATTACACGTCGAAGGGAGGTTAAGGAGAAGGGAAAGAGGGGAAGCAAGACGCGTAGGGGGTCAATATTAATATTTGATAAAATGTCAGAGGGCGAATAGAGCAAAGCTAAAGTTGGCGGGGAGGTTGGGCTGGCAGTGAGGGGAAATGCCTCGTACTTCTTACCAAGTACCAGCAGGTACTTACTTACTTAAGTACTTACTTGCTTACTTACTAAGTTAACTTTGGTAAGTACATCATTACATGTCCAGGTACAGTACCCACTTCCTTAACTTCCGAGATAATACAATATTTGTTAGGATCTTCCTACTTAATTACCTCTCACCCGAGTATTAATTTAGCTTGGGCAGACATGGTACAGCTCTCCCACACCGCGGCCTCACGCAGGGCCGTCCGTGCCTACGGTGCTATCACGGAAGACGATCCAAATTCGGCATCTATCGACCATGCCAGGCTCGCAAGAATCGCCAGACATTATCGCTCGTGTGAGCCACATTACGCCCTAGACGTTCTTCTTCGCGGAACAGAGATATGTTTCCCCGAAAAGCCCTCGAAGTCGGATCCTGTAAGCGCTTGAAATTTACGTGCACGCCCATCGTCTATCATTGATAGATCAATGCTTCATCTCAGCAGGGATGCATCCAAAAATTTATAACTAATGTGCTGACAATGCCCTTTATCCTACCAGTCTGCTGCGTACCTGGCGCTTATGGAAAAACTGCGACATGAGCAGGCGGAAAAGGCGTATGCTTCAATGCTTAACATCCCTGAGAAAGACGACTCGCCCCATTCGATTGCAAAAGAAATCTCAGATCAGATATCAGTAATCCTCAATGTATTATTTAGTTCCATTTTCACCGGACTAGCTATATGGTATGCGACAGCCAACCTTAGCATGTATAAGCGTAGAGAGCCCCTTCGCGTGGGAGCCTCGATTACTGTTGCTATTATTGTCGCAGTGGCTGAAGTCGCCCTGTTTAATGGCTACCTGCGCAAGATGGACGATGCCAAAACCAAGGCACGGCTACAACGGGAGGTAAAAAGTATCACACCTCTTAAAAACGAACCTGATACCTGAGGCTCGCACCACATATTATGACATTAGCCATGGAGTTTAGTTTACTCCTCTACCCCCATCAAATAGCCACATCCTTTCATTTTAACTAAGCACACTGGCAGCTACGAAGAGGAAAACATAGCTGTTTGCATTAGGACAAATGGGGGTTACTGGTTACCAGTTCCCAAACGCGGCCCATGAAACCTAGATACCTTCAAAGTCACCATCATCATCATCCCGGTCTCCACTTTGTATCTCCTTAACAAGTTCTCGCTCTCGCTCTCGTGCCTCTTGCGCATTCTTTAGCTCAAGGCGGTGCTGATTCATCGGGAAACGCATAGCCTGCAAGTAAAACGGGATAGTTAGAAATAGTGTTGGGAATGGCTATCACTAGGCCAACTTACCGTAACACACTCATTGTGTAGCTGCATACAAAACTTGATGCGCTCGTGGAATTGGTCTTGAGGCTCTTTTGTGGCGTATACATCCGTCAATTCCTTGCTCTGCATGTAGCCTTTCTCGTTATTCAGGCCCGCTTCGATAACACCATCTCGAATTGCTTTTGCGACAATGTATTCTGCGCTTTCTTCGGAGTCTAGTCGGAGACGGACACAGATATCGCGAAGTGAAATTTTAGAATAGGCGATACTCATCATTCGAATCCCTGTTTTGATGACGTTTTGACGTAAGCGCGATATAAGTGTGTATGTCCCATCCCGTTTGAATGTTTCTGCATGTAGGTTCACAGTAGTCTGGAAGGCATCCAACTCGCCGACCCTCACCGCCCGGACCAGAGCTAGGTATGGGCGTAGAGGTTTTTCAAGCATGGGTTGTCGGAAGATGCTCCTCTCCGGGATGTCTCCCATGAGGAGCTCAACAATGATATTCAATTTATTGGCGGCTTGTACGAATCCCGCAGCCACGGCAACCTGCGGAGCTTTTCGAGTCGCACTGATAAGGTACTCATGTGCGCTGGAGTAGTCGAGTTGTATAGCGCGGATCCGGCCAAGATAATATGAATAGCGTGCGAAAAGATTATTTGCAGCGGTCTCGGGAAACGCTGCATGAGTAACCAATAAGTCGGCCTGACTGATATGGGAGGTTGATAGGTAGTTTCGAAGAAGTAGGACAATGATAGTTGCCTGGGTATCGATATCCTTTCTTAGCGTTGCGGTGCGAAGGGAAGCTAGGAGCTGGGCACGTATAGCTATGGAAGCCTCGGATCCAGGTAAAGATTCGTTAAAAATTGAATAATAGAAGTAAACTTTAGCAGCTAATGAGTCTAGAGTCCTCCTGTTCATTCCGTGCATGCGCTTGACGAGGTCATCGGAGAACCTTGCTCCCTTTTCGAATTGTCCCTGGTCAAGGAGGTAGACCTGAACGGCAAGGTGGAGATATATGTCAACCTCGGGGAGTATAACCTCAGCGGGTTTGATATCAGTATCGACATCCATTGCCGTGTCATCATGGTTAGTATTGTTGCCGATAGGTGAATCATCTATGAGTATTGATTCTAAAGAAGCCAGAGCTGGATGGGAGGGTGGGAAGGTCTTCTTTATGATGTCAACCAATATCGAAGCAGTAAATCGTTTCCGAAGGGTGTTTAGGGACCGCAGAACCCTCAGGGTATACCTGGCATCGAAATTAGCAACTGCTCGTTCTAGGAGAGCGAAGCTTGCCGTTATATCTGTACGGAAAACCAACAAAAACGAAGATCAGTATGCATTAACTTCGGTGATCGATCATCACGAGAATCTGGAGGTTTCTACCGGCAATGACCGCGCTTCTCTCTTTCAGCGATTTATCCCCGTCATCTGGCTGGACAGAAGGCTCCGCGGTAATACCTTCCATCGGGTCTTCATCCCCGACAGCCTTACGGATAACGTTGATAATCTGCTCCCCAACCATGGTGCAGGGCGCGTGTTGATATTATGGAACAGGTCCGGAGACAACCAGAGAGGTTATGAGAATGGGGAGGCCTAGGTGTGATATTCCGATGTGAAGCTAAGCTGTGTTTCGCAAAATATATCCCCTCGTAAGGTACGTGATAGCGGTGGTGGATGGATTAAAGTAGTGATGTGGGGTGGTTGTAGTTAGGAGGTTACGCGGTCGGGGAAGCTTTGAACGTTCCCAACGCACTGTGACAGATGGGTGGATCTGTGTAGGTAGCTTTGACTACGCCAAGCGACACAGCTCGAAATTATATCTACGGGTTTACGACGAATTGGAACGACCTACTCGACCTTAAATCAACTCGAATAGTATCGAAAAACTGCGTATTACGAGTAATAAAATATATACTGAGGTTGGTTGACCTAAAGGCCCAGGTATTCACTTGGGCAAGTAGGTAGGTGGGCACTTGGGTTAGGATGAAAGATCTCGACATTTTAGACTATATACTAACAGGCACCTTCACAAGTACCAATGATATGGGCGTGAAGCCTGCGCCTGCCATGATATTACACAAGGTTTTCCCGATTATCGCCCCAATAATCATGTGTGGGTGGCCTGTTCGTCCTCCTTGATTGATTTGCATGGGATTTTCTTTCAGTCCCATGTTTCCCTGTAGACTTTCTGTCCGGCATGGTTGACATCTCTTGGTCTAGGGTCGCAATCCGAATATTCCTCAGGCGCAGCAATTCCTGATCCTCGTTTGGCTCTTTCCAACCGGAATACAAGATGACCGAGATGGCCAGAATCACGGGTAGATAACCAAGACAGTATATATATGCCGGTGTTGCTTGGTATCTAAGTTGACTAATCGAATAGTTGAAAGAGCTTCCGATGTTGAAGGCGATACGTATAAGAATTATCAAAAGGGAAATCGTAATTTTCCAGGGAGCTTTCCGGGTTTTATAATAGTGTCGAGCAATCAAATGGGCTACAACAGTGGTTATCCACGCAAGGAGTGAGAATATCGAAGAGGCTTGGAACCGTCCATCTGTTATAACGTTGACATTCGATCGGGCAATAGGGTTCCAGGCTCTCAATATCGATAAAAAGAAGCTCTAATCCAAATCATCAGTGTTCTGGGTCAATAGATGTTCGATTCAGTTGGCTTACCAGGAAATTGAAGAGATAGAAAAGAAGAGGCTCGTAAAATTCGATTTTGGATCTCAGGTCATCTTGTCTGTACCTGGCGAAGTCCTCATCCACACCTTTTCGTTCTTCAAAAGACGCCCTAGATGACCACGACAGAATTCCGAGTTTGCGGTTAGGAATTTGGGGCAAAATCTAACTTGACTTTCCGGGGGGAATTCGGATGGCGGGCTTACCAATTACGGGTCATCTCCCAGATCGCAGATAGACAAGCAGGCAGGGTAACGAGATAAAATATAAAGTGGAAGATCGCAGCGGTTCCTAAAACCCAAACCCTGTCCACATCCACAGCCGTAAAACCACTGATCATACCGACACTGGCCGTGATGATGCACCAGTACCAGGGCCATCTCCGCCCAACCAGACGAAATCGCTTTTCCGCAGGGAGGAAAGACTTTCCATGTTTGTTCAAGGCGACCAAGGAGAGGACAAGCAAAACTCCAAAAATGATGGCAGCTACTATTCCTACAATGCCTCGCGTGCGGATTGGCCGCACTGGTGTGTCACATCCAGTTGAATTGTACCAGGACCCATTACCGATTACCGTGGGAATATAACCCCCAAAGGCGAGAACACAGCTGGAATAGTTCGAGATAGTATTGTTCGGGTAGATGACATAATCGTACTGTTTGAGGGTTGTCGCATTGAAGCGTTGACGACCTACACGTGGGCCACACACGCATTAGATATTAGATATTAGTGGAAAAGACCATGAACGGGGGTTACCAACCACCATCCGAGTAGAGCCAGCCACCGTCGGCCATCCTGAGTTAGTTTGTCAAAAAATTTGTTGTTATTCGCAGCGGACGCATGTTGAGTGAAGACTTATGAATTGAAATGGCTTTTCATTCCCGTTTAAATTAATAATTTCCAATAAGAGAAAACAGGACCAGCAGTGGGAAATCTCGGCAAAGGGTGGCAGCTGGACCGGAAGCCTTCGGCAGTGCAGTGCAAGCCAAGGGGCAGAACGGAAATACCTAATGTTATCGTGTTAATTGTCTTACATCTTGCTTGTAATTTCAGGAAGTACTGATACTTAATGAAGTACTCACGGAGTGAAGAAGGATCATGGATAAAGGGTGACCACGCGCAAATGCGAATCTTGCGAAATGCAATACCGATGCGATAGGTATGGCGTACCTAATTACCTACCTACTTAGGTACTTACCTCCTTAAGTACCTACTAGCTTGAGTACTTAGTATATACTAAATCTACCTCAATGCATGCGGTACCCAGTACTTAAGTGCTTACCTAACCTAGGTACTTAGTATATATATTTCATAGACTTCTTCATAGTTTAAATCTGTCAGCTGCAGCAGCCCTGTCCATGACCAGCACCTTCCGGCCTGTTTCTGTGCATATCGTATATTCGAGGCAAGGGTCCAGCTAGACTAGGTCTAGAGCGGCTCCATCCAATTCCAGCTGCAAATGAATTCCTGCAGCTGGCAGCCTCGATATATTATATTTCGAAGAGATGCACAATGCCAATCACCGGTTCTTCCTCACTGGGATTACTCATAGCAACGGTTTCGTCCTTGCTATTCGCATACATTTACATGGTGGTTTGCTTTTCAGGACTACTATTTCCGACAACCTTTGTTTTCATGGCGACCACAACGGCGGATATCGGTGCAGCATGGAGCCAATGGCACCCCCCAACTACGACCTGGATCAATAATCTAACCAGCGTTCTCAGTGACAATGGCGTACACGGGTTTATATTCAATGGCTCGACATTGCCTGATGGTGTGGAATTGGGCCGATATAATTGGTGCAACATGCCCCATGTTCACCCACAAACTTACGTTATTCCATCGACAGCGTTTGAACTTGTGTACGTGGAGGTGGTTAGTCTCTATTTCGTTCCATATATGACTACCCAAATTAATCCATGGTAGTTATCCGTATAAGAAACCATCGATTACTAATATGATAGAGTCGTTTGGCTAGATTCAACGGCACCACAAACGTACACCATATCAAGACAACTCTTTCCCCGTGGAAACCTATTCATGGGACTGCTCAGATCAAGGGCTATACACTTACGGAGAACCACTTAAGGCAGAGAAGAATTCATCTGCACAAGTCTATTGGAGGGTTGAGGAGAATTCTGTGAACCCATTTATCGCGCCTGGATTTCGAGGCAATTGTCAATTCCCGCAGATCACTCATGGAGGTCTTGACGACTCCTGGCAGCACGGAAGGGACTTGTACGAGGTCTATGGAACTATGCTAGGGTTCTTACCCCCGGAATACGATTCAACAGTAGCCTACCGAGTTACAGGTAACCAGATTACGAGCCAAGTTGCGGGCATGCTTGTCGATGGTATGTTCGGACCAAAACATCCTAAACAAGTTCCATTGTCAATTCAGCCAGGATTGGTTGACTCTCTACAACCCAGCTATAGTTGCCCCAAGGCTTCTAGGCTATATCAAGAATATGGCGTGGGCAGCATGGACCCGAAATGGCGACTCCATCTAGATAAAACAAAGGATTTCCTAGGCACGCTCGATCACATATCCGGTGTGACTGCCGATGACAGTGGATTTCACAAATCATTTGATCATTACTATGATAATCTATCAGCACGTCTATGTCACCAAAAGCCGCTTCCCTGCTCAGTAAAAAACTCGAGTCAGTGTGTAACACAGCATCAAGCAGATACAGTTTTCCGTATGGGCCAGTACGAGTACTCTTATATCTACCGGGATTCACCTCAATCTCTGGAAGCAGCCGTTGGTTCGTTCGGTGTCTGGGTCGCAGAGCTGGCCGATAATATTCGGAACAGTGTTTCGAGGAAGAGCAGCGTAAAATACCGGCACAACATTGCGCACGACGGTTCTATTTCTCGCCTTCTTTCTATATTACAGCTAAACATCATGGTATGGCCAGGGATGGGATCCGAGGTCGTCTTTGAAATATACAAAGATAAAAAGACCGGGGGCTTTTTTGTAAGGGCTTTGTGGAGTGGAAAGGTTCTAAAGAGTTCGCATCTAGGTCTCGGGGAAATCAATATGTTAGAGCTTGAAACTTTTCTAGACTATATCGAAGGGTTAGTAGGCCGGAGGGCGGAACAGGTTGCTGCATATTGCGCAGGATAACATAATATACACCAATTTGATAAAATAAATGGTCTGGAGGATCCGGATTGGTGTTTATCTAGTTCTTACATCAATGAAGCTAGCGCTAGTAGGTAGGTACTTACTGCGTACTTACATACTAAGTAAGTAAGTACTTAAGTGTGGTAAGGTATTTATGTACTTGATATAGGTAATTATAACAGAGTAGGAGGAAGCTTAGTACTTAAGTATTGACTTAATCGAGCTCGCGCTCGATCCGAGAGGGAGGAAAAAACCAGCCTTGGCCGCTAGGCTTGGCGCTTACTATGCAACATATGTTAACACCTCAAGTGCAAGAATTTGAAAGTCTCAAAAACCCCAGCTCAGCCCAGCCTGTTAGACCTTAAAATATAATTGATTGCTATCAAATACCCCGACCATCTCCTCAACACGCAGCCTTGGAATTTAATCACCGGTTTCTGAATGCAGCGCAGATAGTAGTGCTATCAAATACGCCGGGTTACGCTCAGGTGATTGCCCTTGTGGCAATTGTTGTGTTACGGGTAGCTATAGCCCTAGGCGCCCTGCTACTCACTTACTAAGTACCTACCTATTAACTGTATATTTGTTTTAACATTTTCAGCGTCCTACATACGAAGTACTTCTTTCGTTTCTGATCTTACTTGAATACTTACTTAAGTAGCTGAGTAGCTAAGTATTTATAAAGAGGAGATCATTGTCCGGCCAGAATTTAAAACACACATGACGTGCATATGACAGTCAAGGTACATTTTCTAAAATATGTATATAAAGCTCCCTAGCCTGTTTACTAGAACCCGGCTTCGCAATGCTTGCGCTTGCCTACCATTTAATAAAATTTCCGGGTGAATCCCACTAGTGCTAACTTTGTTACTTGTTTTAGGATATCAAGACTCTCCCGGGCAAGTGGCCATAGTTCTCTTCGTTTTAGCCGTATCACATCCCTTTGTACCTATGAGACACGAGAGCCCTTGTATCTTCTGACAGCCGGAGACCATCGTGCAAGAATACAAGCCATGGACTCTTCAAGCCCATCGAAAGATGCCGCTGCTGTTTTAGCTTGGTCTATCGCTGCTCCGCCAAAACCTCTCCCCGCTATCAACCAGATCAAACGTATCTGTGTAATCGATTTCGACAATAGTAAGCACCCCTCTGGGAGTGGGGAGCCGCCATACTAGATCTATTAACATATATTCCCCTACAGCCTTGTACCGGTCCCCGGTTCCTAGCAATATATGGGATGGGCCATCGATTGGTATCCTCGGAGACAGGGATCGTCTACTCGGAGGAGGTATGTTTTCAGTCCAATCAGGAATTTATATTCTGGTGCTGTAACAAGAATATAACTGACAAGATGCCAGGTTGGTGGCAAACTCCATCTATACTCGATGCCACGGTGGATCAACGTAGTACGTGCCCGTCCGTAGCTTCTCAGGGCGGTCACGAGCGTCGGTACCCCGATCGTTGGAACAAGCCAATCGTTAGTACCGTGCGCGATGAGACACCCACAAGGTCGGGGGCATTGACTCTGATGAATTGGTTTAGGTTGATATCGCCCGGACAGTCGATCAAAATATCCATACTTTGAACGTCCTCTTGACCGGACGGAGCAGAATATTATTCTCAAAAACAGTGCTACGGATCCTAGGAAACGCTGGCTTTAACTTTGATCTTGTTGTCCTGAAGCAGGATCATCCGCAGCTTGGGCACGAGTTTGCGACAACCATGGACTTCAAAAAATGTTTCATATCAATGATTTTAAACTATTATCACGAGGCAGAGAGGATCAGCATATACGAGGATCGTCCTGGCCACTCAAGACAGTTCAGAGATTTCGGCGACGAATTCAACAAGTCATGTATTCGGGATTCTCTTGTACGGCCGCAGGTAAGATTCGACGTCATTCAAGTCCAACCGGCACATAGGGATCTGGACCCCGTCGAAGAAATCAAGCAAGTTAAGTTCATGCTTCAACGACACAACAGATTAGCGCAAAATATGGATGCTAGTCTGCGCCCACTCCCCGCAAAACTATTCAAGCGGGTTTGCCACACTAGTTACATGCTACACCCTGAAACTACACACAGGCTTTTAGTAAAATTTCGTCTCAGACAAAGATTAAACACTCGCGAAGTAGACTTCTTCGGAAGACACATCCCTATCAAAATGGGTAAATGCGAGCCTGTGGAGATCGAAAACTTGGGTGGAATAGGAGCACAAATCCAATTTGAGACTGTCAGCTTCGGAAGTTACAATGATAGTATATGGGCTGTCAGGGTAAGGCCGGTGGGTTCCAACGTGGTTGTTTCGACGATGAACGCGATCCCAACAATTGTGCTTGCTAAAAAGATCGACGTCGCTGAGACTTTCCTTCGAAGGATTGAAAATTGGGAGGATATACGCCCAGGCGATCCCAGGTATCTCAGGTTTTCCGCGACAGTAGGTGAACAACTGCAGCTACAGATATCAGCCCCAAAACTCCATCTCGGCGGGTAGGATTTCGGCTATCTTACCAGCGAATATTTCCAAACAATTCGCGAGGGTAGTGGGAATAATCTGGTATCTAAGATACGGGATACTTGATCTGGTAATAGAATATTTATGAAAGCGAACCACCAACCTATGAACTTTAACTCTTCGTTAAAGTAATACGCGCGGGGAATAATTCAAAGGTGTATTTAGTTTAGAAGGCCTTGGATATTGGCCCTGTCAATCTGCGGTCTAGTTCCCGGATCTCTGATTCCATTTCAAATTTTCTAACTTCTAGCTGTCTTATTGCTATTTCCTCATCTTGAATTTCGGCCTTTGTCGAAGTATCCCGTGTGGCTTTAGGTGCTTTGGTCTTGTGAACAAAGCCGCTTTTGGTTGTTCCTCTTTGGAGGTCCAGCTGTGCTCTTTGTGCGGCGACAAGCTCCTCGTGCAATGCAACGCTGGAGAAAAGGTCTTGGTATCTGGATCGGAGTTGTTCAATTTTTTCATCTAAACTAGGGATTGGGCTACCGTTTTGTGAGAAGAATATATTCCCTTCCGACGCGTGATCACTACCACTTACTATATTCTCGCCAAATCTTCGGCACCCCGTAACAGCATTTCAACATCGACATCTCCTTTCAACTGGGCCGTTTTAACAGTGCTCTGGACCTGGTGCACAAGATTCCCGTCCAATAGGGAGCCGAGAAGTCCTGATTTGGCTGGTAGTGTTGAAGGCCCCTCTGTAAATTCTTCGTTCAAGGTCGACGAAAAGAGCACACGTTCGTATGGAGAAGTGTCCCTAATGAGAGATGTTATCGGCGGACGGGCGACCTGTGACTGTTTGGATTTCCAATGCTAGTTAGCGATGCGGCCCGATACTATTTGTCGAGGCTAGCCTCCGAGGATTTGAAAGGCTCATACATTTGTAAATATTCCAGGTTTGCTAAAACGCATGGACGAGATATCATTCGCGGCCTCCTCGATTTGGCTGAGATGGCGCTCGAATCTACCGCTAACAGCCATTATGATATTCTCGAATCTGGTTCTGTTGGGTGGTGTGTTACTTATTGTTTAGGATTGACATGATGTTGCAATGCAATGCAATGCGCGGGTGGTTGTTCGGTTCGGGGGTTCTTCTCATGGACCTCCGAACCTCGCGGAAGCCTCGCAGAAACATCAGACTCAGGTTCCGCGCTAATAATTATCACTACCATATTCCGTACCGTCACTGCCATTGTTCTCGCCATCGTCATCATACAAAAACAATCTCGACCACTAACCCATTACATACTCTTATAACCTACATATCAGCACTTATGTAAGGTGTATGCTTGGTAACTACCTACTCAAGTATTTATTTAGGTATAAAGAACAAGGATCCGGATCGAGTCGCGTCCTTCCAAATGCCACTATTTGCTCGTGTATAAATAACTCCGATGCCCGCACCTGTTGCTCACCACAAACGCCCGTATAGCTTCAATGATAAAGCAGAAACGGCCCCGTGAAGACGAAGAACACCAGCAGCACCAAATTTCCAGCCCACCGTATCTGTCGAATCATAGCTCCGTGCCTAGATCGCCTAAGCTTTCGAAACCTGCTTCCATAGCAGACGTCAGTTCTGGCAGTCACGGTCATATACCTTTGCCTATCGCTCCTACTTTGAATAACAATACTATAGTAGCCATGCTTCCAAGCGGACAACCAAATCAACCAACGCCCGGCGTTCCTCAACAGCCGTCGAGCACTATGGAGGAAACGCGGGCCAAATATATACAAATCCAGCAAGGACTCAAAGCTGAAATCCAACAGTTTGGCCAGAATCATCCCCGGGGAATAACTGCGATGAAGAAGCTTGAACAATTTAACCAGCACATGGCAAACCTGAGGAACCAACAAGCAAGCCAGAGGGCCGCCGCAACTGCTGCAAATCAACATCCCCAGGCCCAGGCGTCGGCCATGGTGCCCCTGGTTCCGCAGGTAGCTGCGCAGCCTCGCCCCGCACCATCTGTTGCTGGCCAGAATATAAGTAATCGTCCGGGTTCTAATGTCGGGCCTACTACCCAACTAGCAAACGCACCCTCGGCCGGTGGCAATGGAGCATCCCAACCGATGAAACTTTTAGTCCCAGGCCACATTGACCCTGAGAATGCGGATAACTGGAGAAGAGAAGCAGAGGCAAGGCTTCGAACCGCGTATGCTTCGATGGTATCCTTTCGGACAACAATCCAGTCACTCCAGGCTGCGATCAGTAGTCCCGAGAAGCCGCTCTCTTCAGAGGAGCTGGCCGACAAGCGAGCACAGCTCGAGCAAATTCAAAAACAAAATAAAAAGTGTGAGGATTTTATCAATGCATTCCGTATGCAGCAATCTACTTTAGTTCGTAATGCAGCAGCAACAAATGCGTCAAGTACTGAGCCGGCTGCTGGGAATAACCCAGCGGCTGAGATCCCTACTACTGTTACCACGGCTGCCGACATACCTGCCAGTGCTACAGGGCCTGCCGTACCTCCTTTGGCCAAGGTAAGCTTAATTAAAAGCGTCTTATTGATAGGAAGTCCGATAAACTGAACGGGTTAGGCTGCGGTCCCTGTAAAAGCACCGACGCTCCAACAGGGCTCGTCGAATATAGGATCAGTTGGAAACGCGCTCGCAGCTGCCAGCGCTCAAAATGCCGTGCATAGCAACCCGCAGGCGGGCTCCCAGAAGTCGCCAACATCCGCAACTCCACTTAGAACACCAGCTACCCAGACTGTCTTTCCCCCCGGAGCAAACATCTCGCAGATGCCCGTTCAAACTCCACCACACGCCACCCCCCGGTCCTCCTCGGTGAGTGGGCCAACCGCACCTCATCCGCATACTCTCCAACAAGCCATCTCTCAACCAGGGCCCGACTTATCGTCAAAACCTTCCATTCCAGTAACTGCGAATACCCCCGCTATGCAACGAGAGGGCGCATCAGCACATCGTCTCCCGATCCCCAAAAGCTTGACCATGCCAGCCCCGACCGCCGTTCCCGTGCCTCCGGCTAGGCCCACGTTGCCAGGTGGCACACACGCCCCTTCTGGTAGTCAAGTTGTCGGAGCCCCAGCCATCGCCAAAGCCCCACAGTTTGAGCTAGATGAGGCTAGTGGAGGACTGCTGAGTAAACGCAAGCTCCAGGAGCTCGTTCGGCAAATTGATCCAGATGAAAGCCTAGATCCCGAGGTTGAAGAGGTAGGGACGCAGCTTCTCTCTTGCTTAGTCTGTCTTATCCCACTAACCGCAGATGAAAAAACTCCCAACAGAGTGTTTTAGAGTTAACTGACGATTTTGTCGACACCCTCCTCACCTATGCTTGCCGCATGGCTAAACACCGCGGAAGTGATGCTTTGGATATCCGTGATGTGCAAATGATTCTTGAAAGAAACTGGAACATCCGTATTCCGGGATATTCAATGGACGACATCCGCACAGTTCGAAAATTTAACCCTACGGCATCTTATCAGCAAAAGCTGCAAGCATTGCAAGCTGGAAAAGCTTTGAATCAAAGCGAGATTTCTAAAGACGCCTAAAGAAAAGGAAACAAAGAAAGCTATTGGTTAGGCCGGAGTTTCGTTTCCTTGCGCCGTCCTTGTATCAAAAATTGATAATATTTCTAGCCCTATTGGTGGGACCTTCAACTTAGCTTGGTTTGAGTTCTAGGTTATTAGTCTTGCATTTTTGGTGTTCGGTTTTATGTTGTAATCACATGCAAAGGATTGGAGTTTCAGGCTCGTTTATTCTTGTTTTTAGAAGTCACTACAAGTTCTCTCGTAAACCAGATACAATGCTTCCGCTCTTACGCCTACTATAAGTAGTATTTCATCCAGAGTATCTACACTATCAAATGGATTCCAGGTATAAAAATATTGCAATATACGCCAACACCAAATTTCTAACGGGACCAATAAGCCGAATGGATGCTGAGGTCACAACATATAACAAGGAAATTAAAAATGACTTCTGAGCAGCCAAATTTTTACATCAGAAGTTCTCTTTGCCCCAAACAAACGACATACCAGGTTCAGAATGCTCATTGCATTTAACATGAAGCTGGGACCCGAGTCCTTTGGGGCCACAAAAGAATACACCGACTTCAGCAGGGGAATGAATCGACTTGATGCCCTTGAAAATAGAATTCCAGTTCGGCCTACCGAAGTTGGTTGGCGCACGAAGACCAGTGATTGCATCTCTTTCTGCATTGGCATCGTTGATCATGATGTTGGTGGCATCGTCAACTTTGATTTTAGCAGTAAGATACTAGCGAAGAAAGGAAATGGTGTTAGTCTGGATGCGGAATTTGTCATATATAATCTCAAAGATGCGGGAACTTACTGTGTGAACTTCGATTAAATGAGAAATATCCTGTGCTTCAATCGCCATGAGGAGCGACCTGAACCATTCGAAGGAGCCAAAATCACGACTTCTCGATATTAGAAACTGAAATGCAGGCGAAGGGATCGCAGACAGAACTTACCAGATCCAGAAAAAATAAACTTTGGACAATCTAGTACGCTTCTGGGGATAGTTGACGCGATACCAAATGCTCTTCAAAATGGAGGCAAATGGTGTGACTCCGATACCAGCGCCAACAAGCATGGCAACCTCGTATTTGAATACGTCTTCCGAAGCAGACCCAAAAGGCCCATCAATATAAACTAGTTCAAATTTGAATTCAGCTCTCGGCCTATGCACCTATACGTTCGGTGATTGAGCGCTTTCACAAACCTCGAGGCAAGACCCTTCTCAAAGCAGGGTCTATATCACCAGTGGTAGATTCCTTGTTGACCCCGATAACCCGAGACATCCGTTTATCTGACTTGTCGGGCTTTTCCGAAGCTGGTGCCCTATCTCCGCCTTTCTTATCCAGAGTACACCCGAGTGTTTTTGCGAGCGCTTTAGTGAAGTCTCCAACGCATCTAATATGAACAGAAATGTAATCTTCCTCGGGGGCGCTTGTCAGGGTAAAGGGGTGGTATTGCCAAATAGACACCTCGGGACAGCATAGGAAAATGTATTGACCGGCTTTTGTAACCGTATGGTCCTTTTTGATTTGGATTTCGACGACGTTGCTCGGATGCTCAATAACCTTACTAATTGGCGTAACTTGGTTAGCATATTAAACTCATGACACAGATATGGCAGCCTGGGCAACTCACCTGATATATGTTTTGTGTTTGCCACGGATTTCACGAGCAAGTCTTTCACAGAGGTAGAGGAATCCACCAACCAACCAGTATTTCCAAAAGACACCGATTCCGACGCATTGTGGTTCTCTGTCATTTTTAATCATGCAGAAGGCACCATGGAACGACCAGAAAAAAAAGAATACGATAAAAAGATGATGGGTATACCAAAATCTCTCAAAATTCGCCCGACGATATTTCTCGACTGCAGTCCATGCCATAGCGATAAGGGCAACCAGCATTATGTAACCCGTCCATCCTGGACCTGTAAGGAAATTTGCCATCATGAAGCCCTTGAACCCAAGTCCAGTTTTCGCTGCCAATTGTGCAAAATTGTTCCAGTGAGCAAACGTGTGGAGAAGGGAGAAGAATACAATCGACCATGCCGTCACTAGCTCGTACAAGAAAGAGGTTAGGTGTGCAAGTTCCATGCGAAGCGGTGATATCGATGAACCTACACATGTGGAAGGTGATATTTTTATCAAATGGGATAATTGTATTCAGTGGTGTCCGGCGGAGTAGCGAGATGCAATTTCGGCAGACAGCTGAACATTCAATTAGCAAACTTCATGAATGGGCGTATATCATGGGTGGCCGGCTGGCCTGTTAGCTTACGAAGTAGGACTAACGCAACATCCACGTGCAAAACCAGCGCAGCAGATCTAGCAATTGGATAAGTGATACCGAATGTTGTTCTTGCTCCAACTAAGTTGTCCTAAGAAGTGATTTGGGTTAGGGGTTTCCATTTAATTCTGGTTTTCTTGGCTTCAAGCCTAAAATGTCGATATGAGCTAACCTTGACCGAAAAATTGACAAATGCGAATCCGAAAACCATTAAATGGAGTAGAATGAATGTGAATACAAATCTAAAAGAAAAAGTTTTTTTGGTCAGCTAAATAAAACTTCCTAAGTAATCAGGATCAACTCTGCACCAACATTCTTCTATGGCCCTCGTTGACCATCCTATTTGCCTCAGATGTTAGCATTAATTATGTGTTGAAATTGTTGCATTTATCTTCATACCATTTGTCGAATTTCTGTTTCAGGGTGAGGACTTTGGCGTCGTCCTTTGTGTGGAGGGTATAATTGCCCATGACCTTGGACAGCGCTGGCCATCTTGCCCGCTCCGACGAAATGGAACTTCTCACTGGCATTGCTTCTCAGTTTCGGGTCGTGCCTGTGCCTTCTTTTTTTGACCCCGAATTTTCGGTTCCAAGCTCACAACTGGGCCGGCCAGTTCAGCTATAGCTACTTCGAAACTTTCGGGCTTGTCGACTGTCTCTCTAATATCGATTGCTTTAGGTTTTAATACAATTGCATATGCAGTATAATTAATTATATATGTATCTAGAATCCGGAGATGTGCCTTCGGTATGTGAGGATGCTTTGGCCAAGCCAATGTATCGTCAAGGGAACGAATATGGGTGGGAACGACGATGACTGAAGAGCATGAAAGAGAGGAGAAGAGAAGACAAAGCTAGAAGACATCCAAGAAATCCAGACCTGAAGGGCGGATATGGGTTTTAAGGGATCACAGAGTATGAATCTAAATGTCATTATCAGGCCACGGCGGCGAGCGCCTGTTGAGGGGAATGAGGGGGGGTGTGGTGTTCATACCATCGTGAAACGACACCTGTTGCAGCTGGATGGCCCCCAATCCAGCTACGCCAAACGCTGAATTCGGACGAAACCAGCAATTAACCCGGCGGTTTGGGCAGTTACTTCAGATATTTGGTTAAATATGCATCCGAGAATTGATGGTGGAGTAGGTCTACTCGACCAGAACGGTTTGAGAGTATGTGCAGCCGAGGTGTTCTTTGGATACAGGCGCATCCACTCGCATTTGGGCGGGTGTATATGCCTTGATGGATAACACGCCAATAGTTTGACTTGGACTTGACATATTTCCTACCGACTAGCACCTCTTATTCAGGCTAGAGGTCCTGCTTAAGCATGCTTGTGTGTATATAATTTGTGTTCTTTATAAGTACTACTCGATTATTCGATAAATTTCAAATCCTCGGACATCGACTAGTCTCGAGGCCAGCGCCATGCCATGGCTATGCCGTGTACTTATACGTATGTAAGTACAGGTCGATGGCATGCACTTAAATTTACATGCTGGTATGATATGCCCCTGATACAGATGCGTAAGCACTCAGGCGCTGCTGTCAGCACAGGCAGACAGGATTTAATTACCTACTCAAGTACTTATTTGCACAGTATACTACGTACTTAAGTAAGTACACTTAAGCAGGTACCGGTAGTCGGGAGACAAGGCTGCCCCGTATTAATAGAAACGCTACCCCATTACCATCTCAACACTGCCAAGCCTCCTCGGCCCAGTGCGATACCTAAGCTCTAGGCTATGTTGCCTGGGTACCCTCAAAGCACTTTATCTTTATAACTCCCTTCGACTGCCCCGATTAATTTTAGGCGCTCTTAAACCTACTCAACTGAGCATGTCCCTATAATATCTCCTGATTAACTAGTTTCTACGTCTCCTGAGAAACTATCCACACGTCCCCGTTCCTCCGAAACAAGAACAAAACCCCATCCACTTCCCAACCCTGTTTCGAAACAGCCTTGAAACCTTGCCCGAGATTGTATCCCACACGACCCCACGTCAAGTCCGCCACCAACATCACCACCACCATCATCATCATCACCGTGTCGTCCTGGTCCCCAAAGCTTCGCTGACATCTCGTCATGTCTCAGGGCTACGGCTCTTACGACCCTCAAGGCCACAATAACTATGGCTATGACCAAAACTGGGGAGGACAAGCCGGTGGCTATCAAGACCAACCACAAAGTACATACGTACATAGATGCCGAATATCGCGTTTTTGAATTCGACGCTAACTACATGATGCCCTGGATCGATAGACTATCACCAATCTGTCCCATATAGTGGCGGCTTAGATCAGTCTGGTCTCCCAGTGATGCCGAGCATGAGCGCTACTTTCATTCCGGGTAAAGATGATGACTGGACGATGCCGGCCCCCGAGCTGATATCCCCAGCACCCCAGAGGTTTGAAGCGATCGCATATAAATCATTGCCGCTAATAAATACAAAGAGCTAATATCCGCGGTAGGCTTATGCCCGAAGTCCCTACAAATATTGCTGACTCGATCGGAACAATGGAAAGCAAGGCGACGACACATCTCGGTAACCAACATCCAGCGCCTGTCGAAGCTCCAACCCACCGCGATCTGTTTGAGGAACCTTCATGGACCCCGTTTCCGAAACTTGAAAACCCGGGCCCAAATATACCCCCTACAGATGATGAGAAAGAGCGGTATCTAGAATCCGCAAGACTAGCAGTTTTGGCTTCCGATGATCCCGACACTCAACTAGCCTGGGCCCAAGATTCTCTAAATTTTGTAGACACATCGTTACAGTATCTTGCTAGAACATCGGAGGATGGCCGGCCGCAGACCCCTGCCGTAGAATATCAGCTCAGAAGTGATGCCTTGAACATTGTCAACTTTCTTGCGGAGCAACACCACCCAAAAGCAGAATTTATGAAAGGTACATGGTTGGAATTTGGCAAATTAGGCTTCAGGGTGGACCGAAGAGAAGCATTTCGATGTTATTCACGGGCTGCTGACCGAGGCTATGCCCGAGCGGAGTATAGAATGGGAATGCAGTATGAGAATTCAAACGAGCCCATGAAGGCTATTAAACACTACACTCAAGGAGCAGCTCTTAACGACTCTGCCTCTAATTACGTTCGTCATCTTCCCAGTTTCTTTGTTGATCCATATAAGCTTCCAAGCTAACACTCTATTGAAGCGTCTTGGTATGATGACTTTGCTAGGTCAACATGGCCAAACCCAAGATTACAACCGTGGTATAATGCTTGTTAGGCAAGCTGCGGAAACTGCAGATGAAAACGCGCCGCAGGGAGCCTACGTTTACGGATTAATGCTTGCTAGAGACCTGCCAGGTCTTTCGATCCCAGAGATCTTCCTCAGCTTGGACGCCAACCAAGCCAAGGTAATGATTGAAAAGGCTGCTTTTCTGGGATTTGCAAAGGCTCAGGTCAAAATGGCCCAGGCGTATGAGCTATGTCAGCTAGGATGCTCATTTGATCCGGCACTATCTCTACACTACAATGCCTTAGCTTCGAGACAAGGTGAACCCGAAGCTGATATGGCAATTAGCAAATGGTTCCTTTGCGGACATGAGGGCGTTTTTGGCAAAAATGAAGAATTAGCATTTAAATATGCCAAACAAGCGGCGAAGAGTGGACTTCCTACTGCGGAGTTTGCTATGGGTAAGAAACGATGACACCAAAGAAGCCGAGGCTAGGTCTAATTTTTACATACGTAGGTTACTTCTACGAAATCGGGATGCAAGTCCCAGTCAATTTGGCGGAAGCTAGAAGCTGGTATAACAAGGTAGGATTTTGTGCAAACACTCTTATCAGATCTCGCAAACTGAGTATGTCACGCTTAGGCTGCTGCCCATGGTAACAAAGACGCGAAAGGCCGCCTGGATGGGATATCGAGATCGAGAACGCTCTCTCGTAACGACCACGAGCGGGTGGCACTACCAAGAATTCGCGCTAGCCGGTCAGTTCGGATACCAAACAGGCCGACTTCAACGGCGGTAGATATGCCCAACCCAGTTATACCACCCGCTGGGATGCCCCAACCTCAATTCAGTCACACCAATAACAACGCAATCCGTTCCTCTACCCCCGGCTTCATAAACCCAGCTACGGGAGGTATACAACCTTTCGTGACGGAGCCCAGTGCAGCAGCTCCGCTAAGAACAAGTTCGATAACCCCTTATCCGACAAGCCCAACGACAGGTAATTTTGGAGGTGGTCTTGGCCGGCCATCGAGTGCCATAGGGCCCTCGAATCGGCCAATGTCCGCAGCTCCCCATCTAGGGCATATGACACGCCCTCAGACTGCTGTTCCTTCCGGAGTTCTCGTTCCCGCTGGTACATATCCCACACAGGGCGGACGCGGTGGGCCAGTTCAGAGGCCGGCATCTGCCTTCTCAGCTCCAAATACCAATAAACCGGCATTCCCCACCAGCCAGCCTCTACGCCCTCATGGCCAAGGTCGCGGCGTTTCAATTGGGAGCATACCATACCCAGGCTTTGAAGCGCCTCTACCCGCTCCGAAGGTCGAAAAACCAATTCAAAAGCCAACCATTCCAAGTGACAAAGGGCGGAAACAATCTTTCACACCACAACCGCAAGCAATCGTGAGCCCACCAGGCTCACGCCCAAACCCGACCCCGACCCCGACCCCCAACCTTCCAGTGCAAACGTCCTTTTCCGCAGCCCAACAGACCAAACCCGCACCCCCACCCGCGCCTGTCCTACAAACTCCGGTCCAGCAGAAGCCTCTCGTTCCCATTCAAGCACCAACACCCCAAGCAAAACTGGACAATATCCCACCGCCTTCTCCAATCAGGCCCCAACGTACAGATTCCATTCCACCGAAGTCCCCAACTCTCTCGGGTAACAGCGTGAGTGGGAAGAAGCGATTTGAGGACTACGAGTGGCTCCCGCCCCCGCAAAAGGAGCAAGAATGCGTAAGAGTCCCTTACCCTTGATTATCATCAAATACTCAAAGCTAATATAGAAACCCATCTATAGGTTGTCATGTAGCCTTTGATCATCATCTAATCCCAGCCTATGAGATGCCATATAGTCTTTTGTATCTCATCCCTATAGCCTCCTTGATTTAATTGGCGTTTAATTTGGCGTAAATTTTCCATAGTTATTTCTAATATAAACATCAACATTAGACTTTTGAATGTCGGAATTTCCACGGAAAAAGATACCACGTTGTAATATTTAACAGCTTATGCAAACAAAATATTATCTTCCACCTTCATACTTCCTCCCGCGAAACCAATAACCAATGCCGCCCAATTTGAGGTAATATAGATTCGGTCCAGGCAGAAGCAGCTGATCGGTTCATCATCCTGGGGGGCCTACCCGCCAGACCTCAACCCCCAAGATGGTGAATTTGTCCCCTTCTTCAGATAGCGGTTCGTTTCCAAAGGTTGGGCAGGTGGATGAAACACCAGAATCCAAATTACCGTCAACCCAAAGACCATAGTGACCATCTCTGCAGCGAGTTATTGTTGAATAAGCAATTTTGTGTGTAATCAGAACAGGAGCAAACTTACCCTCCACCAAAAGATATGAAATCTCGGTCGCAAAGGATCATGTAATCATTCACTCCACTATATGGAAATGCTTTGAAGCGTATGTTATCGGAGGTTCTACTGGAAAACTGGTTCGAAATGGACAAAGATGAGGCGCTACTACTCGACAGTGTGGAGGCTTTCCATAGAAAACATTCCCCAGTTCCATAGTATCTTCCTGCAGATGGTTGTATAGACTCGTTCGCGAACGCACCGAAAATACCATCACTAGTATCTCTAACGACAAAAACAAAGGCACCTTTTCCGAGCCTCTGATATAGTGTTGATAGACTTACGCCATGTTCTTCGAGGCTGTACATTAGTGTCCATGTCTCGTGTAATTGTAACCGGGCCGGTATCAAAAGCCTTATCTCTTCCGCTATCGCCTCTGTGAGTAGCGATCTATTACTAGAGGACGACATGAGGATAAGAGACGACAAGGCTGGAGGCAAATAGGGAGACGGTTGTCTCGGGGGTGCTCTTGGCGCATTTGATCGGGGGTATGAATGATTTTTATCGCTGTTCTGAACATCCCGACGGTGGCTATTGAATTCATCTTCACCGGTAACCTCGGAAGACAGCCGCTGCAAAGTTCGGATTACAGAATTGGAGAGAAAAGACACCAACGAAGGTGCCGGGGACGAAGACCGAGAGTTAGGCGATGACGACATAGTTGCATGGTTCACCTCGAACGGCTGAGGTTGTACTGTTGAAACTACCTGTAAGTGTCTGTAAGCAATACGCTAGTAGAGGGATTTGGTCATAGGAGATAGGTAGTATCTCACAAAATCTGACTGTCGTACGTACGGGTAGAAGACAGGGAGTCAATATCGATTCACGCCCATGCCACTGTGGTTTATGCAGAAGATAGGCATACAGGCATCGGGTGCAAGCCTAAGGAATCAAGCAGCGACATCGACGAGCTTAAGATGCTACCGTGCAAGACGTCCTGGATGCATGCGTAGAGACGACTAGGTGTGTGGATATTATGCTTATCTACACCTACTAAAACAGCCGAAGCTTAGTTATAAGCGTGAGGATGGTTGGTTGTCGGTGGGGAATGTATGTTGTTGTGTATGATCTGGCCTGTCGCCTGGCCTGGCCTTAACTTGGGATTGGTCGGTTGAATTCGATTAAGCGTGAGCCCACCACAGAGAGTATTCTTTTATGGCTTTGGCGTTAGCTTTGCCATCTATTTATATTCACTTGAGATGTTGCTTTCCCGGCCTGAGGTCTAGGACTCGTCGAGGGATCTAGGTAAGAGGTGTGTACTTCGTATATGCGTGTTTACTGTACTTACGTCTGTATTAGGTACTTACCTAGGTCGACACTTGTCTACCACAGTCCGCATCAGTAAAGTATATGTTCTAATTGTATACTAGGCCCTTTCAAGGGAATATTTAATTACGTAGGTACCTAGCTAGGGGTGGTCTCTTTCACACATATATACGCGGTCTGAAGATATGGATGGGTAGACAAATCCGAGTACGCTGAGGTTCCAGAATCAAGAGTATAAGTGAAAGTCGCGGGAAGAGTCAGTCCTAAAACAAAGTGTATACATAGAGTATCTCCAGAACAATACGAGTCCATTTCCTTGCTTCGCCGCGACTTTTACGCTTAAGCATGGTGTGGAAACAAGCAAGAAAGCAGAGCAAAAAAACCAACAGTCTGGCTGTATCCATAGGCCTGTGAATTAACAGTACGAAATCTTGTTAAGACACGAGAGACGCAAGAAAGGAGAGAAGAGAGAAGACACTGGAAAGAACGCCGCCTGAATGATTGTGCCGAGGTCTTTAAATCTGACATCAAGGGTCGTTCTAGATAGCATACTTGCGGGTCCATTCCCTAGCGGTTGCTTCGTATCTAGCTCTGTCGGTCTTGTAAACATGAGCGATCTCTGGTACGAGAGGATCGTCCGGATTCGGGTCCGTGAGCATTGAGCATATGGATAAAAGGACTAGCAGTTATCACCGCAGAATTAGATTGTCGTACTAGCGATGGAATAAAGCTAAGAAAAATGGCATACCCTTTGAAATAGTTAATGCAGGAGACCACTGATCACGCAGAATATCAAGGCAGATGCTTCCGTTGGAATTGATATTTGGGTGGTAGATACGAGTTGTGAAGTTAACCTTTGGAGGTTTGAAGGGATAGTCGGTTGGGAAAGTAATAGCGAGGAAAAAGACGCCAGAGGCATATGGGCTATCGGCCTATTTAGGGTATTGAGTCAGCTCCGTATAGGTTTGGGTTTGAGTGCTGACAATGGAGCCTTACGGGACCCATTATTGTTGCTTGCCAGTGGAACTAAAAGACGGGATGGGTTATTAGTTGTGATTATTCTTCGAGAGAATGCAAGAAGCCGCTGCCAGCAGCAATCATATCGATTCTTGACTGGACTATATTTTATTGTATAGCTGGTAACTTACCAAATCATCGCCGATAGGACCAGCGCTGCAGGAGGAGGGCGGGTCACTTTAGGTGAGTGGGTTCAAGTTAGTCGAGGAACTAAGATCGAGGAATACAGCGATGCCATATGTAGAGAGGAGAGTGTTAGCTGCAAGTGCCAAGCAAGCAGTCTACATACCGTCCAAGATCCGTGAGTTCCTTGTTAATGCGTTTGAGAGCCATATCTGATTTGTTTGGTTGTATGGAGGCCTGTTTCCAAGGCGAGAGACGAGCGAAAGCACTAAAGTCTATACAAAGGTCTACCGAGAGGGAAAGGTAAGAGAGTGTGTGAGTATGCAGAGGTTAACTTTCTAGGGGCAGAAAGTTGATGAAAAAGTAACAGGATCGTGTGGGACAGGTCAGGCAACTGTGAGAACCTCCAAATGAGAGCTCGATCCAGAAGTGGGAACATACATGGCAGATGCGAGAGCAGAGGAATTAGCCCTAGATTACGATGATGACGATAACGCTGTGCAGATGGTACCTTGAAGTTGTCGGTATAAAAATATGGAGAGGGAGTATGATGACGAGAAGAGGAGGGAGGGGGGAAGATGGAGGAAGAAGAAGAAAGAGGCTCGGGATCAGTTGGTTCGTTCAGCAATCCTACTTTGTTTTGTCGAAGGCCAAAGAAGGCAATAGAACATCCGACAAACACAACACACTCATTGACTATATCCAACAAACACAACACATCGTCTATTTTTACGCTATTCTTAAGTATAAATTGCTCAAGTTCTTTTTTTTATTTTATAATTTATAGATACTAGATAAGCTCTTAACTACTAGGTACTTAAGTGGCTTAAGTGGTACATATACGCCGAGTAAACAGGTACTAAAGTAGGGACTAAGATAATTAAGAGCATACTGGTCTCGGGGAGCGAAGCTGCTAAAGCCATCAGCAAAACGCCTGGATCCCAGTGATAGCCCTCCCCAGTATTACTGTATGTATACCAGGCTTATGTTAGTACCAGTAGGGATGCACATCAAACTCAAGCTAGACTCAAGGGATATCGCTCTAAACTGAGGATTTCAAATGTGTATGTAAGGAGGTAAGTATGCACTCACGGCTGTGGATATCGCTTTGGCCCTCATAGGTCTGCGCGACGAATAAATTGGCTACGTGCCGCCCTATATGATACTCGTCTGCTACCGCATTCCCTCCGAAAATCTCCTGCAGACTATGTAGGTAAATTGTTATTTTCCCATTAGCCGTTGGTATTATAAACAGGGTTACAATTCTTACTCACTGTCGTGCATGAGCCAGCGATCGGTCACAATTCTGCCGCTTAATCATGGATATCATCTCCGGGGCTAGAAGCCCTTGCTCCTTAAGTCTCCCAACTTGGACGCACCTACGAAATATATTTGCCTGGTGTTATTATATCCGTCCTTTGTAACGTTTTTCATCATTGGGCTCGCTTACGCCAAAAGCCCGAATGTGGCATCCGTCACTGCATCGGCCAATTTCTTCTGAATAAGTTGGTATTTCGCCAATGGATTACCCTTGAATTGTTTCCGCGACAGTGAATAATCGCGGGCTCTTTCAATGCAATCTTCTAATGCCCCCATAGTTCCCCAAGCAATCCCATATCGAGCATTATTAAGGCAAGCGAATGGCCCTCTGAGTCCCTCAACGTCCGGAAACATGAATTCTTTGGGTACGGGTACGTTGTCCATATGGATCATCCCGGTAATCGATGCTCGGAGCCCTGTTTTATTCTTGATTGCCGGTGTTTCTAGAGTGCCAGGGGGGCATCTAGCTCTCTCAATGAGAAACCCCCGAACTTGACCATCAAGTTTGGCCCAGACGATGAGAACATCAGCTATTGTGGTTTTATAAAAAAGAATATATGTATTAGAGTATGTTTTTTAATTCTAGCTCTGAATCACACGGCATGGGGAGTAGCAAACCTATGGGTGAGTTCGTGATCCAGGTTTTTGAACCTGAAAGTAAATACATGCCTTCACGATCAGGATCAATTCTTGCGGTGGTTTCCATCCTGATTTATATCGCATTTTAGAGAATCGAATACAGCGTTAACCTGTCACTAAGCGTACGTCAAGGAACTTACGAGCCTGGATCAGAACCATGGTTCGCTAGAAGTGTTTATTAGCAACGCTGTCAATTATGGAATTGCGTCACTCATATGCCTCACGCTCTGTCAACCCAAAGCAACCGATTAAGGCTCCTTTTGCCATAGTGGGCAAGAACTGTTCTTTGAGCTCCTCAGTTCCAAAATCATGAATTGCCCCCATCGACAAGGAGCTCTGGACGGACAATGCACTCCGGTATCCACTGTCCACTCTATATCATCTTTTGCAACAAGATTGCAGCTAATTAGTATATTTGATTACGATTAGAGTAAAGGGATAGATTTTGTGACATGCCTTTCAACTGCCCTCGTTATTAACTTTTGCATCGTATCGGTTAGCAGCGTATTGGAATAATTTTCTTCTAGGGGGGAGGTATCTAACCCCCATGGCGACGTCGCTGACACCGGCGCAGCCATATCCCGTGATTGTTGCGCCGAGAAAACCTGCCTCCCCCATTTCCCTAAGGATACTCTTGTCGAAATTTTCATCCCGATATGCGGCTTCCCATGGGTAAGGTCCGAGTTAGCGGTATATATCTGCAATGGGTTCTCGCATACTCACCTAGCACTCGGGGGAGTAGCCTTTGCTGTGAATATTCTTCCGCAGTTGATGCAATTGCAATTTCTTCATCTTCTAATAGATTACGAAGTTGCAAAGAATCTTTGTAATCAAATGTCGAGGCCGCCCGACCTTGTGTTCGGAGCCGTTGATTTTCTATGCGGAGAATACTTGACCGCAAGCGTTTCGCCAGGTGGGAGCGTGGGTGCATGACAGTCCGGAACATTTTCGAAGGGTAAATACTCAAGTCGGTACTTAGAAGTATTTAAGTATATTTGTGATAATATTCAGGTGACCTGGCCAGTGGTAATAGCTATAATGTTAATGAGTTAACATAACAGGTACGTATATATACGTATACTATGGAGGAGGTAGTATACGTATTGACTTAAATTCGGTTATTCGCGTGTAGGTACCCACTTAAATTACGGTTACGATACCATATGATATCAATTATATGGGTTATGTTATTTCGATATTGTAGTATTCGGCTTGTAGGAATAGATCGAATTAGCTATATATAAAGCTATATAGCTAGCATATATACTTAAGTATATATATATATAAGGTACCGGTGTTCGACTTCGTACTTCGGCGGCTTAGCTTAGCTTAGAGCAAGTCACTATTGCCAATTGCATATGTTGATTGCTGAACGAGGGAGGATCTTAATCGAAGGGTGCACCGCAGTATATATAGGTACTTAGTCTACGTAGATATCGATACCTGTCCATGTATACGATATTTATATGAGTGTGGGCCGGGCCTCGGCCAGGGAGCTCGGCGATGGCTTGGTGGGGCCGGGAACCTGCCGCTGCTGAGATCCCGGGCTAATTGGCGGGGTGGGTTGACCGCGGCAGAATACACACCTCGCGTCGTCCACCTCGCGCCGTCCACCTCGCGCCGTCCACCTCCAACCTGTCGTCACGCGCCATCAACCACATAGCACTCAACAACAAGTCTTTCGCTAATACCGCAGCTAATACCTACCTTTCTTATCAAAATACACCCGGCCCCGAAGATGGGAATTAAACGTATGTATCTTTTCCTCTGTCGTAATATACCTAAGTCTATGCTTTGGAACTAATTTGGGCCATAGAGCTTTACCAGGTTATCTCGGAAGCAGCTCCCGATGCTATCAAGAATGGGGAGATCAAGAATCACTTTGGTCGCAAGGTCGCCATTGTAAGTAGATTCTGGTTGCAACTTCAACATCAGTCATCTAATATTTCCAGGATGCATCGATGAGTATCTATAGCTTCCTCATTGCTGTCAGGTCCGAGGGCCAAGTTCTCACATCCGAAACCGGAGAAACAACATCCCATCTTATGGGAATGTTTTACCGAACATTACGAATGGTCGATAACGGTATTAAGCCACTGTACGTCTTTGACGGCAAGCCACCGACTTTGAAATCTGGCGAGCTTGCAAAGCGTACAGCTCGAAAATTTGAGGCCCAGGAGGCTCACGAGGAGGCCAAAGAAGTCGGAACTGCCGAAGAGATTGAAAAATTCTCTCGAAGGACGGTTAGGGCAACGAGAGAACATAATGAAGAGTGTAAAAGGTTACTAAAACTTATGGGGATACCTTACCTCGACGCGCCTTGTGAAGCCGAAGCACAATGTGCTATTTTGGCTAAGTCAGGAAAGGTATTTACCACCCCTAGACGGAAAACTAAAATAAAAGAGTATCTTTGATATGGTGGTTTATACAGTGCTGTCTCTTAACAACCGCATCGTTTCTTCATCTAGGTTTACGCCGCTGCATCCGAAGACATGGATACCCTCTGTTTTGAGACACCCATCCTACTCCGCCATTTAACCTTTAGTGAGCAACGGAAACAGCCTATTCAAGAGATTCATCTGGACAGAGTTATGGCGGGACTTGACATGACCAGGGAACAGTTCATTGACCTTTGTATTCTCCTCGGGTGTGATTATTGCGATACCATACCCAAGGTCGGCCCTACAACTGCTTTGAAACTGATTCGCCAGTACAAATCAATCGAGGGTGTCATTGAGAACTTAGATAAGGACAAATATAAGGTCCCAGATTATTTTCCTTACCAAGATGCTCGGGAGTTATTGATGAATCCTGAGGTGGTACCCGCAGACGAATGCGATTTCAAATGGGATGCGCCAGATACAGAGGGCCTCGTGGACTTTCTAGTAGGGGGGAAAGGTTTCAATGAAGACCGCGTCAGAAGTGGTGCAGCAAGATTGTCAAAAAATCAGACAACTGCGCAGCAGTGTAAGGCTTTTCACAACCCTTCTAATTCACTAACTCAATCGATCACTAATTATTCATAGCGCGACTGGAGGGTTTTTTTAAAGTTATCCCCAAGACCGAAGAAGAACTAGCAAATCTGAAGCGTAAAAACGAAGAAAAGGTCGCCGAGAAAAAGAAAAGGGCGAAGCTTGATGCAAAAGCTAAGAAGGACTCTAAGAAAGCACCAAGAGGTGCAAATTAGGTAGTGACTGCTAGAGCTAATACTACGGAGTTCAAGTTGGTCTCTAGGCTTTGCAAGCGCAGGTCATTTCTTAAAGCGCTTTTGGAGTTTCTTTAGGGTCTTCTTTTTGGTATACTAATAACGAATCATGTAATATAATTGTCACTCTAGAGCTGGGGAATGCTATTGCTTAGGACCTTTCGTATAGTACGAATGATCAGTAACTAAGTCGTCATTCGTAGGCATTACAATACAACCCTCAAGGCATCCCAGAACGCCGTAGGAATGCAACTCATCGATAAAACAGCAAGATGAAACAGTTGACACAGAATCGCGAATGATCCGGTAGTTTTTTTTTTCTCCTTCCGAATTCTCGATAAATGAATATAAACATGAGAAGAAAGAGAACCTTTTTGTGAAATGATGAAAGAATTACTGTGCAGACTTGATCTCCGCGATCTTAGCCTTGACGTTCTCGACCTTCTCTTCCTTCGTCAGCTTCTTCTTCCTGTACTTCAAGCTCTCGGCCTTCCATTCTTCAGCGGTTTTAGTATCCTTGTCGGGATCCTCGAGGAAGGGATTCTCGCGAATCTTTGCGTGCGCCTCAGTGTAAAGGTCCTCCAATCCATCGGCTTCAATATCGTCATCAATATATTTCTGGAATTGTGACTTGTACCTCTCTTCATCGTCATCGGCGAGTGTCTCCATATACTCAGCAACGTGACCACCAAATATGTACTTCCTGAGAGTCTCGGCATCGAGTTCCTTGGTTTCGATATCGTAGCCGGGGAAACGGCTGGGGGAGTGAGGAATGTAAAGACCACCGTCCGAAGCTCCCTTCATAGCACCAAAAACACGGGCACCGGTGGAAGTCCGGGCGAGACCAACATCCAAGAAGCACTTGAATGGGCGACGGCTTTCACCGTCGTCGCCTTCAGCCGCTTCGGTGAGAGTAAACTCACCGCTGACATCCTCAACGCCAGCGAAAGTTTCGTCGAGGTCGAGCTTCTTCAAGGCGCGACGGGCGACGAGAAGACCAGTGGCATATGCGGCAGCCCAATTGGTTAGGCCGTGGTTAATGCCATATCTCTTCAATTCATGAGCATACGCAGCCACGAAGACTTTGTCACCGGTAAGCTCGGACTTAATGATCTGGCAGACGATATCTCGGTTGGTGACTATGAATTTGAGCAAAGGTAAGCAACACAGTTCCGCCTTGCAGAAGTCACGATTTTGGACTTACATCGAACAACGAGGCGGTATTTTGGGGCGGCATATTTGTTCTTGGCTTGGGTGATCAGCCGCTTACGAGCATAGTAATCGGTCTTTCCTTCGCGTCGTCGACGATACTTCGTCTGGAAACGGCTATGGTGTGGTTGGGAGAGTCAGTTTTACGTCGTGCCCTTCTGTGTACATATATCATGCCAGGATGTCGAATCCGATAGAGCGGGAAAATGCAGGCATAAGGACATAATCCTTATGAGATTTTGACCGAATGGTCCCTCGCCCTCTCTTCCTCTCAGAAGGGAGACATGCGGTTAGGGGACACCAAAACACACCTATAGTAGGCAGAGTTCTTGACAAGCTTCGTGAAAGGCTATGAAAAGTCAATATCAAGTTGAAAATCTTTAATCGGGGACAGCAAAGGTACCTACCATTTTTGCTGAGATATAGTTTTGATGACCTCTAAGTCTGAATTGTCGTTGCGATTTTGGCCGATGCTGGTGATGATGATATGAACTGTACAGAATTCTCGAAAATCAAAAGTAATTGTTGGGTTGGCGTGTTTGCAAAAGTAATGTGGGTTGCTGCGGGTAAACCCTAACCATACCCACGTGATAGAATGCTTATCTAATGGTGCCATCAATCGCAAGATCTAATCTGATCTAATCTGATATCTGATATCAATGCCAAGCCAAGTGCCGGGGCAGAAACAAATAAATTTTATTTGCGACAAGCGAGCAACCATCAAAGCTTCAAAAAGATCTTCCCTTTACTGCACTGTACGAAACCATGATTCGAAGAACTGCCCGTCAACGGAGAGAATATCTCTATCGGAAACAGCTCGCCGTTCAAGATGCCGCGGTTGCCGACCGACGAGCTAAGCTAAGGGCGTCCCTCGCATCAGGAAAACCTCTCTCGAAGGAAGTCGCCAATGATGATCAACTTCGCAAAGATTTCAAATTCGACGAGTCAAGAGAAGCCGGGCAACAGGGCGAAGAATCTCTCGTCGATGACGAATATGCCGCTCTCAGCGGAGTGGCCGAACCTAAACTCTTAATTACTACCAGTAGAGATCCCAGCAGCCGTCTCATGCAGTTTGCGAAAGTCTGTCATTCCCTCTTTTGATTATCAGAGCATTGTGACCGGTTTCGCTAATATTTGGACTCAATTTAGGAAATGAGACTATTATTCCCAACGTCAATAAGGCTCAATCGTGGTAACACTGTATTACCACAATTAGCCGCTTCATGTCTAGCGACTTCGATTTCAGACTTGCTCCTCCTTCACGAACACAGAGGTGTCCCCACCGCCTTGACGGTTTCACATTTCCCGCATGGGCCTACGGCTATGTTCTCTCTGCATAACGTCGTTTTACGGCATGACATCGATAACTCGGCCAGGGGTACTGTCTCCGAAGCCTACCCACATTTGATCTTTGAAGGATTCTCCACACCTCTCGGTAAACGAGTTGTCACTATTCTCAAACATTTATTTCCTCCGGGCGTCAAGAAAGATAGTGCAAGAGTTGTAACATTCGCCTTGACAGAAGGTGACTACATAAGCGTCCGCCATCACGTTTATGTTAAAACTGGGCCTAAGACTGTTGAACTTGCGGAAGTTGGTCCGAGAATGGAGATGAAGGTAGACATTCTGAAGCTGAGCACTCAACCATGGGAAACTTATACTAACTAGCCCGCAGTTATTCGAGATTAGATTAGGCACAGCGGATAATCGCGATGCGGATACAGAGTGGCGACTAAATCAATACACTCGGACGGCAAAAAAGAAAGATCTCTTGTAAGCGTCCGCTAGCATTCGCCACAGCAGGTGATGTTCGAAACCCGACAACCAAGCTCAAAACCCCCCTTCTTGAGGTACAACAATCTATATTACACATACCGCGATCCTACAAACTACACAATGGTACTGTGATCTTCGCGGGGCCCTTTTTTCCCTTTTCTTTTTTTGTACCAGAAGTTCTCTCAGGAGCAAATAGAACACTCTAGAACAACTGGGGGCGTGATTGGTTTTCATTTGCCGGAAGACTGGATGGGACGATGAACGATGAACTCCGACGAATAAGTAATAGAAATAGCAAAAACAAAAATACGCCGGTTTAACTCCATGAAGTGCAACATACATAACATATGGCGACAGAAAAAGAACACAGCGTCTATAACTACAGGACAGGGTATCTCGCAATCAACAAATAACAACTTTTTTTTGCACATGTTTAACTCCTCAACCAAAAAAAAAAAACCAGGTGATGCCTTGTATTGAAATATCACAATGCATCGGGGATATCGAAAGGTCGCTGAAATTCTTGGGAAACAACAGAAGAGAGGGGACGCATGAAAAAAAATCAAGAAGCAATAGGGGAAGAGGATATAGAGGTAAATGGGAGAGATTTCCCGGCGCAGGAAGAGATTGATCTTAGTTTTCATCGTACTCCTCTTCGTCCTCTTCGTCCTCTTCATCATCCGAATATTCTTTGAACTCGAAACTCTCCTCAAGCTTTAAACCCTTCCCCAAACCAAGGTAGCTTGAACAGAGCTCGTCCAGAGACCCACAATCAGTTGCAAGCTCCGGACAGTCATATAGCCCGAGCCCTTGCAATACTTCATCGGTGTCGTCTAAAGGATATTCAGTTCTGGCAGCAAAGCCCATCTTTTCCAAGTGCACCTCATATGGAGACGAGAGGGACGCCACAGAAGGCTCTGATGGTGACCAGGTAGTTGGTGGGTAAGGTGGGGTGTCAATGCTGCTGCAATTCGATGACGGACATTCGGTAGTAAAGTTGGGAAGAAGACCTGGGTTGATTGGGAGCCCGGTATTAAATTCGTATTCCATGGCATGATACCTTTTTGCCATGTAAACCGTGGCAGCTGCGTTATAAGAGTACCCGGTGGCATATTGCTCTTGGATTGCCTGATTATCGGCGAGATGATTTCCATCTGTTGTCAATTCCATCCAGTTCGAATATATATTTTCCGAGAAAGGTTCTAAGGGTTCTAAAGGTATGGGATGTGAACAGTTTTTTGGGAGGAGGGTTTGGTCGAAAGCATAGCCCGGATAAGCATCCTGATAAAAATATTCCGGATGTATAGACGGAAATCCATATGTTGTTTCTTCGTATCGATATGGTATCGACACCATTGCTCCTATGGGTTATAATGTGGAGTTGTAGATATCGAAAAGTTGAAAGTAAGCTCGAGTGTTCTTTTGTTTGGGGGGTAGGAGCAAGAGCAGAAGCGGGGAGTATGAGAAGCGTGGGAAGCAAAATTCGAAGTAGAAGAGGGTAGGTTGTGTATATAAGTTAAGTGAGTAATAGGTAAGTAAGTACTTAAGTAGAGCTTATCTGGAGGAAGAATGGGACTGGGGAATGGGAAAGAGCAAGATCAACTGCGCCTCCCTGCAACCTCTTGTAATTAGCACTTTAGGTACTTAGTATAAGTCAGCACGTCAGTTAAAAGCTTTGTGTATACCAGTAATATATACAAAGTTGTACAAGATACATGGACATGTACATATTTGCTTCCTTGGACCTATTTAGTTGGTACTTACATAGGTACTTGCTTGCTTGCAGACATATCTCGAACAATCATCCGAAGCCCAATGGATGGAAAAAAAAAAAAAAAGTATATTAGAAGGAAAGAAAGAGAGAACAGGAAAGGAAAAAGAAAAAAAAAGGGGGGGAAGAATTGTAGGGAAGACATAAGGGAAAAAGAAACATACATGCTACGATCCAACATGCACTGTACTTAGAAGTACTTACTTAAGTATGTCGGTGCTTAACTTCAACCTTAACTAATGCAGGCAATCATTGAATGATTTGCCTCTCATCGAAACCCTGGCGCTTCACGGATGATACGCAATGTACCCTTTTCTGCATGGCATCCCGACGACGGTACATACATACATTAGACACACACACACATACACATGCAGCAGGCAAGTACTTCGCATGCATACCTCAGCATGGTCTCGAGGCTACATGTACATGTACTACTGTGTAGGTACATACATACATCAGCAAGCCAGTACTTGCTAAAAAAACGACGTGCACAGCACTGCAGCTTGCAGGCGCCGGCGCCGTGATTGGCTGTGAAACAGTTGCTCGGGTCTCCGAACAGTTTCATGACCCAGAAGCATGGAATTAAGACAGCTACTATTGTACAGCAGCTTTCCCATTTGGAAACATTCTTACATTTGCCTGGCATGTTTGGTGAATCCGAGCATGACCATGCATGTGCGCCAAAATAATGGACCCCGAAAGCCATCTCTGCTGATTGGTTCGAGGGTACTGGGATCCGGGTTACTCGCTTCAAACGAGCATTTTAAGGCTTTAAACGAGAAGGAAAAAAAGAAAAAAGGAAGCACTGAGGGAAGATTGATGAAGGCACCCAGAACTTTGTGCATCCTCAGTATTTTTTTAAATTCCACCGAGCTCTCTTTCGAAAAACAAAGGAAAGGGAAGAAAAAGAAAAGAAAAGGGAAGAAAAAGAAAGAGAAGGAAAAAAGGGCTCTTACTTAACTACATTTGTCGACGATTCCCCAGGCTCCCATGTCTTCGAGATTGATGTTATTGTTTAACATTATACTACGTACTATGTACTTATGTATGTACATGTGCTTGTGCATGCATACCCCAGAACGCAGTTGTATCGTCTCATGTTGCCTACAAATCCATCCCTCGAGGACCCACAGGCTTGGGTGGGCATGGATACATGTCTTTACATGTACTGAAGCAAAAGAGTCGGTACATACGCATATACTTCTTACTATATATATAAAGCCACATCTGGAAGGACCGTTCAAATCCGCATATACGACTATACTGTGTATACATACATACATACGTAGTACATACATGTTTCCCATGTCCCGGAAAAGTAACCCTTGAACAATTTAGCGTATCGGTAGCACATACGAGCCGCTTAATTGGCTTATCCGCCCGAGGCATACTATAATTTTGACGATGGTGAGAGCGAAAGATCCTCGCCCAGCATGTCCTCCAGTTGCCGAACTGCATCTTGGGGATCATGAAGGGGGACCTTGATCGTTCTCAGGCCCATTTCCTTAGCCGTCCGCAGGTTCCCTCCGAGGTCATCCAGAAAAACCATTTGAGAGGGCTCCTCAACCCCCATGGTCTTGATTGCGTATTCAAAAATCCTAAAGGATCCTCTGTCAACCAACGTTTTCCTTCCCATCGCAAGGTGCTAGCTTACCGACGTTCCGGTTTCCTCATTCCTACTTCCACACTCGCAATGTATATATCGAAAAGAGCCTTGGTATTTCCATCGTCCCGATATGGGTGGTCTTCAGGGAACACATAGTTGTTCGTCAAGGCACCGATTTTATACCTTCCCGTTCGTCGCAATTTTTCGATTGCACCCACGATGGACGGGTTATATTCTCGGGAGGTCCTACCAATCATGATGATCGAATGCGTCACCGGTTAAGTTTTACCAGATCCACCATATACGAATTCTGTTCGAAGCGCTGCATGCAAGGAGTGAGGGGGAAAAAACAAAAACCCACCTCATCATCTCCCAAAAAAGCCACTTTCCATCTATCTGAGGTACGGGTGGCGGCACCAGACCTTTCTCCCCATGGTATCGTGCCCACATATTTGGCTCATTAAGCTCAGCCTGAAATCCATTGAAGAACCCATCATCCATTCTGATTTCGTTGCGCTCAAGTCTTTTCCAGGCTGAATTGGTTCCACCATGGTAGATGTTCCAGTTAATGTAGCCTAGGGGTATCCTGTGTTCAATTTCATAGGCCTCGACTGGTGGAGAACCGTCGGACTGTTACTCATTTTTCCTGATGCCCCCCGCAGCGTGGTGCGTTTTGTGAATAATTCTCGGGGTTTGCTTGCTTACTTGCGAGGAGTGGTGACCGTACCTTTTAATTGGGCACTGTCAGCTCTACGTAACTTAGGTAGGTAACTTGTGGATGAAGACAGGGAGCATATTACCACAACGCCCCCGATATCAAAGAGAACGGCAGTTATGGGGGAAGCCATATTATCGTGATTCTATTATAATGCTATTTTGAACTCGTGAATCATCAAATACTTACTTAAGTACTTTATATAATAGCCAAAGCAATTCTATGATGAGTTCCTGGCCGGCCGCGGATATTCTAACTAGCTTGTAATTGGTGCGTGAAAATTCGAAAAGAGGAGAGTGTCTTGCCGTAACCTCGGCAGAAATTAGATTCCAGCACACTAACTAAGTATCCAGATGCAGACTTGGATACAAATACGACTTAACTACCTGCGTACTTGTTAGTTAGAACTTAAGTGGTATTTATGTAGGTAGGTAAGTACTTAAGTAGGTACTTGGGTTAATATTCCGCGGCCCAGGTCGACTTAAGCTTTTGGTTTGTCTCGGTAGCACGGCACGCCGACCAGTGGCCACGAATTGACCATTTGAGATACATCGAGATACTAAGTATGGATGATGGGATTTGACTCGCTTGGCACGTTCTTACTATTACTTATCGCTCTGAGTCACCACACATACATACACACATACACACATGCATACATTGTACATACTACATTAGTATGTAAGTACTTACTTACTTAAGTATGTACTCTACTGCATGGGCGGCTGATGAAAAGGACAGGTGTGGCGGGGAGGGGCTGAACTTGAACTTGAACATGAACTCGAACGTTACATGGCCAATGCAAATTAATGCATCCATCGGGATCATGATACTGTTGTTGTATCAAAAATCCCAATTAGATGCCACTTCTCTCGGCCTCCTGTTCCGAGACGCCTTAGGGTCTGCCTTTCCACGTAATGTTCGAGAAGGACGAGAAGGGGAGGTTAGTTTGCAAGGCCAAGGCAATCGTCTGGATTCGATCCGTTTGGTTCGGTTGAGCTTAAAAAGGTTTAGTTTCGCCCACTCTGACGACGTTGGCGTGGGGTCGTTCGTCGTTCGTCTGCATGCTCACACCACCTCCTTCCCTTTCTCTCTTCCAGATTGGTCTTGGTCGTGTCGTCTGCTTTTTCGGCACGTCCAGCCCCCCGGACTACCCTCCCCTGTGACATTCTCGGAATTATATGCAACTGCCTTTCTGCTGACTGTGACGAGCTTAGCTCGAGCTGAGATCGTTGATTATCACTAAGTATGTATGTACTTGGTGATTCGCGGCCGACTTGGTTCGGGATGAATGGGCGATTGCCTCATAGGGACGGATGACTATATGTAGTACCCCTTCCAGTTCACACTAACGCTGTCCATCCATCACACAGGATACCTACCTACATACATACGTCCATACATCCCGTACACACTTAAGTAAAGTACTTAAGTACTTACTTACTTACTTACTTAAGTACATACGTGGATGCCTCGAGTATATATATCCATATAAGTATATATATATATATATATATAGATCCTGCTACCGGATAGCTCGCCGCGACCTAGGCCTCGCTCTTCTCAGTAAGACTGAAGAATAATCAACATGCTTCATACCCAACGCCCCGTCTCGGACGCGGCGGACTCTCATCTCAAGTGAGAGAGAGGACTGTGGCTAGCTCCAGCTCCAGCTCCACCGTACAGTTACATACATACATATTTTCTATAATCCATATTCGCGGTGTTCGACGGGCCGGCTTGGGTACATACACCTCCGGATATTTCATAATTTCATCCTTTTCAACCATCGTTTTCAATTGGCTATGAGATACCTCCGTCATCACTTTTCAATTGATCAATCAATTCTAAAATTGTACTAAGCTACGGTACATACTCCGCAAATATCAAATATCCGCTACTCCATAAACGGCCACTTGCAACACTAGATTCCGCCTACAACACGGCTAATAAATCATACATCGATATCATATTTGTCTCTGCGTGTGTGTGCGTGTGTTCGAGCAAACATCTTCCCGAGGTACGGTACAGTATAACTATATTAATATTATATAGTACTTAAGTACTTATATATAATATATCAATATCTCATGAAACGCATTTTGATATCGTCAGGAATCGTGCTAACAATTTTTCTGTAGTGCTCCTCATAAGTGCCAGTCGTTACTGTTCCTGTCGCTATCGCTATCACGAGTACTCTTCGAAGCAATCAATTGATATGAAATAAAAATAAAATCAAGAACAAGATCAAGAACAAGAATAAGATCAAGAATAAGATCAAGATAAAGAACAAGAAAAAGAACAAGAATCTAAATTGTCCTGGAGTCTCAATTACCCAAAACGGAAATATTTAGACAACGTTGTGGGGGTGGATACTCATTCTACCATGGAGGCGCACTTGCCCACCCCACGTGCGTCAATGATCATCGGATCCCCGCGATTTCCACCAAATACACAGCAACAATCTGCTCAGGGCGTTGCTTTGTCATCTGCTGCCATATCAACCGACAAGCCCGTCCAGGAGAAGCAAAAGGAGAAACAAAAAGAGAAACCGAAGGAGAAGTCTCAGGCTCGACCGCCGTCCGTCAACACGCCTCCAATATCATTGACGTCGAATGTGTCTGTTGAGCCCTTACGACCTCGGACATACTCTGCCCCCGTATTTTCGACTTTATCCCTTCCGCCTGGTACGAATGCTGTGAGCGATGTCTTAAACTCCAACGGCTCCCCGAGACCGAATATCATTCGCAGGCTCTCTCGTGGCGCTGCTAATAAACTCTCAAGACGCCGTTCAGGCTCCGTACACGAACGTGACGAGACTCACGGACCAGTTATCATGAGACACCGAAGTAGCAGCAACGCGAGTGAGTCGGATCCGTTTCTCTCCGATAAGGATCTGAATGAATATGCATTGTCGAACCCGCCTATCGAAGCTCCCGGCGAGCTACGTCATCGTAGATCTAGCAGCCTGGTAGACCTACTGGAAGCCGTACCACCGGATGAGGGACCGCCGGAAATACCGATGCTGTTGCAAACGGGCACGCCGATGACCCGTGTAACAAAAAGGAAGAAAACCTTACGATACTTTGTTTTAGAAGGCAATACAGCTCGGGTCACTTGGGATCCATTGAAGCCGTCGGCTAGGTTTTATTTGGATGACGTTAAAGAAATCAGGACAGGGGAAAACGCGAGGAATTATCGTGAAGGCTTCCAAGTTACTTCCGAGTTTGAAGATCGTTGGATCACCATAATATATTCGGAACATATTGAAAACGGGCGACTCAGGACTCTTCATCTGGTTGCTCCTACGAAGGAACTATTCCAACTCTGGACACAAACATTAGAGGCTTTGTTGAACTACAGAACAGCCCTGATGGCGGGAATTGCCACCCAAGGTGACAAAGTTTTGGGTACCCATTGGAAACGTGAGATATCGAGTCAATCGAATTCAGTCACAACTGATAGGAAAGACGAAAAACTTTCTTTTGAAGAAGTGGATCGGCTATGCCGGCGATTGCAGGTTAACTGCTCCAAACAATATCTCCGCGCTCGATTTGACCGTGCGGACGTGGAAAAGACCGGCTTTTTAACATTCCAACAATTCCAAAGCTTTGTGAGAATTCTAAAGGAAAGGACCGATATACGTCGTATCTGGGAGAGCGCCGTCGAAGACCCGATAGGGGGGATGCAAGAGGATGAGTTCCGAAAATTTATAAAAGAAGTGCAAAAGGAGTGTGGCGAGCAAGACGAACAACGTATCTCCGCAGTTTTCAAAAAGCTTGTTAAACGGTCATGGAACGCAAGTGAGAAGGCGGGAGATGCACTAGAACGTGATCGGATATCACTCTTGGGGTTCACTGACTATCTACAATCTCCGATATATAACTCCCCTTTAAACCCACCAACAGACCCGGAAACCCGCCTTGACAGGCCTCTGAACGAATATTTTATTTCGAGTTCCCATAATACATATCTTTTGGAACGCCAGGTTGCAGGGGAATCATCAATCGAAGGGTATATTCGCACACTTCAGCGTGGTTGTCGTTGTGTGGAGATTGACTGCTGGGATGGCGATGATGGAAAACCAGTTGTCACCCATGGGCGAACTCTAACATCCAAGGTGTTATTTTCAGACGTTGTTAAAACCATAGGGAAATATGCGTTTGTAGCCAGTCAGTACCCTGTTATTCTCTCACTCGAGGTGCATTGTGGAGTTGAGCAACAGATCATCATGGCAGAAACCCTCAAAATAATGTTGGGAGACAGGCTGGTGATTGCTCCATTGATTTCAAACTCAATGACCTTACCGTCGCCGCAAGAGTTGAAAAATAAGATCCTGATTAAGGTCAAGGGTCATGATGATCTGATTCTATTCAGCTCTGAGATATCCGATACAATGCTCGGGTCATCTTCAGTGCACCCAGCAGTGAAGGGCAGAGCACAAAAGGATGTAGGCGTTACAGGTACAGCAAGTAGCAGCAATTCTACAGAAGAAAGCGATGAGCTGGGGACAACATCGGGCGGGAGTCATCAGAATGATAAACTTGGAAAGGCGCCACGGGCAATCAGTAAAATTGCAAAGGAGCTAGGAGAGCTTGGTGTCTACACACGAGGGCAAAAGTTTAAAAACTTTTCACTGCCAGGTGCGAAATATCTCGAAGCGGGGGGGAGGCGTTTCCTATTCATGCTAACTTCATTCTAGAAAGCAAAAGTTTCAATCATGTGTTTTCTCTTGCTGAAAGAACCTTCATCAGTCTCTGTAAAGACAAAGAAAAAAAGGCCCAGCTAGAGAAACACAATCTGCGGTATCTTATGAGGGTTTATCCTTCTGGATGGCGCGTTACTTCTAGGAATTTTGACCCACTCACATTTTGGCGCCGCGGTGTTCAGATGGTAGCGTTGAATTGGCAGACATATGACACTGGTGTGCAGTTGAATGATGCCATGTTTGCTTCGGTATCTGACCGGGCAGGGTACGTCCTCAAGCCCTCGGAACTACGAAGCCACAGACTTGCTCCCGACTCCCTGTACCCTGACAACGCTGCTGCAAAGTTGGGCCGCAAGCTAGTTAGATTTTCGGTGGAGATTATTTCAGCACAGCAATTACCGAGGGTCGGCAAAGATCGTGACTGCCTTGATTCATATGTTGAGATTGAGGTTTTCAGTGCTGACGATAAGGCGCGAGGCTTGGTCACGGCGAATGGGGGCATTGATAAAAGTGGCTCTGGGGGGATGTCTGGCCTTGGCGCCCCTCAAAGACGCAGAACGAAAACAGTAAAAGGAAATTTGTTCGCACCTACATGGAATGAGCGTCTTACTTTTAGTGTCGAAACTCGTTTTGAGAGCTTGGTCTTTCTCCGGTTTGTCGTCTACAACGATGATGGGAACGGGGATAGGACATTGAAGGCTAGCTATTGTCTAAAGCTAGTCAATGCTGCACAAGGTAAGAATCCTTATTTTCCGTGGTATAGATCGGTTTGCTAATGATAGATTTGTAGGGTTTCGGCACCTGCCTTTATATGATACTGGGGGGGAACAATTTCTGTTTAGTAGTTTGTTTGTTAAGATAGACGTTGAGCCCATCCGCGCGGCTCTCCCTGCCGCTACTAAACAGTCAACTGTTGATGCGCTCAAGTCAGCAGCCAAAAATATGCTTCGAATTTCCTCAGATATTCTTCATGGCAGTGCCTCTGTGGATACACATAGCACTAGTGAAAAGGAGAGGTAATAGGTCGAGGGTCAAATGAAACTTTAACGGATGTCGGTTGGCGGGGTTTCTTCGTCTGTGTGTTTCTTTTTTGCACTATGTACTGTAATATACAAATATAATCCCCCTCGGGGCGAGCCTGAAATCGGCAACGATAACCCCGAAATACAACTAGTCCGAGGTTCTAAAATTGTACTGGGACCGATGCGCAGGAGCATGTAAATCTTTACACTACAACTAGGTTTCTTAAGGGGTGGTGTTCAGTTTGAGTATGGAGCAGAATAATTGAAAATTCTCAGGATTGCATTATATCGCTAAAATAAAAGTGATCTGGGCCCCTCTCTAATCCTCTTCGCCGTCAACTGATGCAATAAGCCTTTGTATCAACCTTGCTTGCATTCCGACCTTTGTAGAAAGCTTATTACTTCCGTCTTGTATATCTTGTAGCAGGGAGTCTTCCTCCACATTCGTAGCGACTAGGACTTTAGCTAACCATGCCTTGTGGCTGACGATCTGTTCGCAAGCAGTGTCAAGTGACCGTACCCTATTCATGAGTTCATCACCGGGCGATGATCCCATTTGATCTAGTAGGACTAGGATAGCTACTAGATCTGTCACCTCTTCCAAATGTGACAAAGCGACATACTCAGGCTTACTGAGATATGTAATTGTCGAAAGAATTTGCCTGTTGAATGATCGTAGAAACATGGCGATTTCCGGAGCGATACGCTTCTTGAGGGCAAAAAGAACATTCAAGAGCAACGGGAGAAACCCTTTAGCCCAAATATTATGCAGGCGGGGTGTAGTAGTTGGAAGTAATTGACCGGCTTGAATTTTCATCGCAAGGTCGCCTTCACTTAGAGAGTTAAACACGGAGTTCAAAGCAATCTGTTCAGCGAAAACCGGCAGTGCTGATACTTTTACGAGAAACATTATGCTAATTTCGCCGTATAAGGGGTCGGGTGTCGAATTGACATCCGCAGGCGTATCCACCAACTTCGAAGCCCACGTGAAAAGGATCGTGGCGACTCGGATCGTGCCGTGGTTGGCGATGTGACTAACAAGGTGCTCGTAAACCGGCTCAAGCCCATCAAATGAGAGAATCGTTTGTAAGATACCAATCACAACCAACATGTCCCCAGCGATGGACGGTGAGGAATTCTCGTAAGCTGCGTTGGCTAGAACCTTGAATGCCCTGGCGACAGCAACTTCAAAAATTCCAACCAGTAAATAAACCACTCGAGGAGAGGGGTCTTCTTTAGAATTCAAGCACATATTTAATGCCAAATAAAGGAGTCGGAGTAAGTTGCGAGAATTTTCGCTCCCACCATTGCTAAGTCCCGAAAGGAAATTAGATTCTGCGGCAGCAGCAACATCCCACGTCGTTTCCAGAATCTTGGAGAAAGACCCCTGTGCTTGGTTTTGGTTAAGGTTGATGGCTCCAAGTCGTCGGAAGAGCGAAAAGGCCAAACTAGTTCGCTTCGTATTCAGGATGGGCGAGATTGTGGGAGGTGTAGACTCCCCAATTGTAGCCTTCAAGGTATCAAGGCCTACTCTTGACAAAGTATTGAATCCATCGGCACTCTGGAAAAACTTATGACATGTTAACTCTAGGGCGAGATTCGCCCACATATCAAAGAGGAACTATAGGTGACCGGATCAGTCCTGACGCTCGATAAATATGGTCCTAACGAGAATTTCCTTACCACTTGAGAATCGATCAATGCTAGATTGAGATTTACTGCTTCAACATCAAGCTTAAAACCCGTTCTGATTTCAATGACCTTGTTGCTAGCACGCCGGGTTATTATGCTATTCCAACCACGATCCCATCTTAAAATATGCTCGGCTAGCTCAATGTCATAGAAATAATTAGTACCGTATCGTCTTTCCTGCATCGAACTCTTTCGGAAATTCTCAAGGTGGCAGTTGGGCCACTTGTTTTGGAGGTTCAGGGAGAGGAGCCCATGCATGCTTGCTTTGTAGCCTCGAATAACCGCGCCGTGGTCGATGTAGAACTTGAGCTTTGGGAGAAGAGATACGAGAAACTCCTTTGTTTTCGGGTCCGAGGATTTGGTTGCTCTTATTTGATAAAGGTGCATCGTAAGGATCTGTGCTATATAGGCCGCCGCCGCCGTTTTGTTGCAGCTTTCCGTGATCGCTGGCGGTGTCTTCGCTGAATAATTGACGACCACTTTCTCAATGTAAGATGTTATTGCTTTGAGAAACTCCGGATAATCCGGTAGATTGCTGATGATGGGACCCCAAAAGTCCTGCGCAATTGAAACAGCCTGTAGCGTCGATATTAGAAGCGAGCCGGGTAGTGACTCAATGTTAACAAGAGTTTCCAATGCCGATGCTAGCATAGACTTTGCACGTTTTGGTAGGCTCGCCGGCGTGCCCCGTGTCGGATTGGGCACCTCGAGGTTGTTACCGGTCACTAATTTGATAGATAAACCTTGTTGTTTATTCGCGATGACTGTACAAAAGAATTTCCAGATGGAGACCTCAAGTTCCTCGTCACCTAGTCTTCCACCAAGCCTCTGAATCAACTCCAGAAGGTGGTTTGCGCCAGATGAGCCTATATGCCCAAGAATCGAAGGCGGTTCTCCTACCCAAAGCCCGGAGCCATCAAGGAGGCTATCCAGTACTTCTATAACAGGGCGTCGGAAGGTTTCATCGACCTCGTAAAGCGCAATTAGATCTAAAGACCGCTCATAGAGTTTCCCTTCGAGATAACTTGGGGTTTTCTTCTGAAGGTGTTGCACTTTGAGAGCCGTAGAACTAAACTCTAAAGAAGCTACTATGCTGTCGATCCAATCTAAGATAAACAGATTGTTTATTGTAGAGTCTTTAGTTTCCAAGCCTTCATTGATAGCCAATAGGAGGGGGTCCACGGCCTGTGTGATAGCCGGGTTGAAAAAAGTGCTGCAGATTGTTGACACGGACGGAGCCAGCCCTTCAAATAAACCATAGCCCTGATTTTCATCAGAAGCAACCCCGTAAACCGTCTTGAGGACCCGAGAAAAGGTTGTACAGAGCTTAAAGTTAAGCATGAGCCGTTCATCAACGTGGAGGTATTTCCAGGTGGTAAAGCTTTCGAAGATAGAGCACCAGAATCTGGTCCAATCCTGGAGGATCGAGGCCTGCATCTCCTTACTGATTCCGGATCCCACGCCTGCCCCAGATACTATACTACCGGGGGAGCCGATAGTGCCGCTGAAGACTACACCGGCGATTGCATCCGATAGCAGTGCTTCATACATCGAAAATGTTGTTAGAAGGAACGTGTATTTCCCTTGGACGATCTCAACAGATTCCAAGATCTTGCCTAAGAGACCGCCTCGCCCATTTCTCTCTAGAAGGGATGAGCGGCCGAGCAAAGGCCATATCCTCCCAGGAACAATTGAGATAAGCGTGATGATAACACGAAGACAAGCTGAAGAGAGTTCGACTGATTTAAGCATGACGGACAATGGTAAAGATGCTTCAAATAGGTCCAAAATGACACTGATTATGTCGCTATTAGGGGCCAGAATATTGCTTGCGCCCTCCAAAAAGTTGGTTGCATTGAATCTGTCCTCAAAATCTCCCAAATTGTCTGGTTTGTCTCGATACGATACTAAAATGTTATCGAAGATACCCAAAATCTCAATGGCGAGAGAGGGCTCGTGTAGGGTACCACCGAGCAGTGTCCGTTCCAGAAGCCGCCCAAGAAATTCAACACCTGAGTAGCGATAATCCCACCGAACGATAGGAGGACTAACCCCACTGCTGATAATCCTTCCAAATATGCCGGCTGGTAGGATAAAGGCGCCGCCACTGTCCTCTCGTCGCCCCTCAACAACCATTAAGTCCTCAAGAAGGACAATTTTACCGGCGTCGTTCTCGTCCACTTCTGTACCACGGAAGTTCGGTGGTAGGGCATAGGTAAAGGACTCCATGTGGTCTTCTAGGTATTTGAATCCGAGGTTATACGGCTCGTCGACAATCTCTCGAGGTGTAGTAGCACCAAGGATAGCGCAAAATGGGATAGGCTCGTAGGGGAAACGGGCCCTCGCTATATGAATAGTTCTCTCGATGACCGTCCTATCCGCCCATACACCTCGAGAGAGGGCCGCCTCTGAACTTTTCGTGATATCTCGGTTTGCTGAAGGATCTTCTTCTTCGTCGGGATTCTCCTCCTCTCCATCTTCACCACCTAGTTTTTGAAATTTATTACGGATTCGCAACGGAGATAATGTTTTGTGTGTGGCGACGAAGGCTTCTATCGCTCCAAGATCCCAGTCGAGCAAATCCATTCCCATCCGCATCAACCCAGCAAGAATTTGCCTCATCTTTTCGCCATCTTCTTCCATCTGAAGTGACCACCCGCCCCCTCCTGGCAGCCCGTGGACGAGGTTTTCAACCGTCTTTAGAATATTAGCTTTTAGCGCCTTCTTCGCTAGATACAATGCTGGTCCTTCGGCCTGAGTTGAAGACGCCATTATATTTGCCATAATTTTGTGAATCCGCTGTAAGGGTGTCCCTGGCTGTTTTAGGTCCTTGTTTGAGAACTCAAATTCATCCTCCTGGATGTCATTATAAGTCCGCAGGATAATAGCCCACGCCCAACCCGCAAGGGATGCAGGTAAGTAACACCGTTCTCCTACATATTCGAGCAGAACCTCGTGAACTAGACCAACAGCTTCCGCTTCTTCGAGATACAATGAAGCTGATGGTTCGATTTCCTTCGCCAAGGATGTGAAGTTACCGGTAAGCCGTGCCTCTAATGAGTCCAGCGAAAGCATGGCGAAGGATACGATTGCTCCAAGTGGTATAATGGCATTGAGGAAATCCTGGAGGGTGGAATTGAGCGGTTTGCTTAACTAGAGGCCGCAAGATTAGCAAGCGGTCGACTTGGGGGGGGTTTGTGGGGGAAGACGAGGGAACTCTACAAATTTCAAGTCCGTTAGAAAGGCAGTCGAGCCCATGCACTGGAACCAAGCGGATACAATGGTGCCAGAAGGAGATATGGGCCCATAAATCAGAAGGAACAGGAATTTAAGGCAGTGGTATATATTCGCCAGAACCTAGGAGCATTGGCAGCGTTTGGTTAGCTAAAGTTGTCTGCAAAAAAAAATAATTTCTACCCCCAGTTTCGGGTTCAGCTTCATACCTGTCGTTCCCAGTGCCCACGGTTTTCGACAAATTTACTCTGCGGTCTATCTTCTGAAAATGCCCTGGGGACCTTGGCGGCACTGATAGAATTGCTGATGTCCGCGATAAGTTCTTCAACAAACCCGCTCTTGCCATCTTTTTTGCCTTCTCCAATCATCTTCCTGAGTATCTTTTTTGCAGTACCATAGAATGGGGTTTTCCTTGGGGCCTTTGCATCATAGTTGACTACATTTCGCACAAGTGAAGTTGCAACTTTTATTTTAAAACGTCTCTCAGAAAAATAAAGATTACGTTGTCTGTCCCTTCTTTGCGTTTCCGGGGTTTGGATATCGGATGCAGCATTCAGCCTGTTGGTGGATTTTGTAAACATCGACATCGATAGGAGAGCCTGTTGGTTATCAGTAGTATCATTAGATACAGAGGCAAGAGCGGGGCTCCTCTCCTGGTATTCTAGAATGCATATTCGGAGCGCTTCCAATTCATCTAGGTCTATGCTTTTGCTAAGATACAAAGCATCTTCTTTTATATCGGCTATGGGAATCAGGATATCGGCAGTGATATTGATCATGGATGTTTTAGTTTCGAAGGCCTGCTGGCTCGCAGCATTGGGTGGAGGGATAGCGGCATATGAGCTAGTCAGGGACGATAACTGGGGAGAGGAGAGGAGCCAGCTTTTCAGATTTCGAACTGCGACAGACGAGCGCGGCGTATCTAACCGATGCAAGGCAGACTTCCAGGATCTAGAAAAAGAAGAAGAAAAAGAAGGGCAAATTGTTAGCTGCGGATAGACAGAGTTATTATTGTGGAGGGGCGGTATGACGAACAATAGAGGGGTATTATTTCTAAGAGCATCTTCGAGCGCGGAATCGAAGGTTTTGCTAGACAATTGTCTGTTCGCTGAGGCCACACCGCTAGAAGCCATCTTGAGAATAAGATGGGCGGCGCCTATTAAAGGAAAAAGGTAAAGAAGAATTCAGAGGCGTCGTTATGATGAAGCTGAAGGAACCATATGTTACCAGGTAATTGGAGACTGGAGACTGGAGACGGAGATGTTGAAGACGCGTTGAGGATTGAAAATGGAGGATGGTGTTTGGTGTTGGTTGGTTATCAACACCAGACTAGAAACTGAAACTGGACTGGACTGGACTGGCAGGGGTTCGATTCTTCCTTGGCCCTGCATACGTACATGGAAGCAAGTAAGTATATCAATTTGAGTTTACTGAAGTACCTTTTTTTCTCTAACTTTTTCTTATTTATTTATTAAGATGTATAAGTAAGTAAAGTATCTATCTGGTGTTATATTCTAGGATATAATAAGTACCTAGATAAGAGGTAATTACTTAAGTAAGGAAATTAGTAAGTAGGTCAGTCAGTCAGGTTTGGAAATAGTTAGTAGCCTCCGGTCAGGCCTTCGATTCTACTACAGGTTATCCGGCTGGCGGTCCGAAATTTAGTTCAAAGAACAATTCAAGCTTCTTCCTCTTCTTGTTCTCCTTGTTCTTCTTATTCTTATTCTCGCTCCTATTCTTATTCTTATTCTTATTCTTCAGACTGTTCTTGTTCTTGTTCTTGTTCTTGTTCTTGTTCTGCTTGTTCTTCTTGTACTTACTTTCTCTCCGAGCGCATTCGGCCAGCCTTTGGACTGACTCAACGTTCGCCCGCCGATACATTCATACTTTCAAATCTCCCCTCTACACTACACCACCATCTTGATCTCGCCTAATAGTGAGGATACTTGGTAAGTAAGGAAATAAAAGAGCTTCAGAGATAAGTGATTTAGGTAAGCACTCAAGAAAGTCCCCAACTCTGAACTAGAAAGCCCTGATAGCTGATGCATGCACACCAAGTACGTATACATAGGTATACTATTTGGACTTCAATCAATATCCCTCATCATGCCTTCCTTTCAGGCCACCGTCCTTAGTCACGATGACCCACAGCCAAAACTTGACCATGCCTCAAACCTCATCCTCATCGACAATTATGACTCTTTTACATATAACGTATCCCAGTACCTTGTGCTCGAAGGTGCCACTGTCCAGGTCGTTCGCAATGACCAAATAACGCTTGATGATTTGATCAATCGAAACCCAACCCAGTTGGTCATATCGCCCGGACCAGGTCATCCGTTGACTGACTCCGGAGTCAGCAGCGAAGCCATCAAACACTTCACTGGCAAGATACCGATTCTCGGCGTATGTATGGGCCAGTGAGTTTACCCTCAATCGGTCTGTTTTTTTATAAAATAAAATAAAAAAAATAAAAAAAATTTGTCGCGAGGATTTGCAATGTTAACCAAACCAAATCTTTCTGTAACCATATAGGCAATGCATGTACACCACGTTTGGCGGAACCGTGGCCTCGGCCAATGAAATCCTCCATGGAAAGACCTCGGACATTCTCCACGACCGTATTGGCGTCTACAAGGATGTCGATCAATCCATCCCTGTTACCCGATACCATTCCCTTGCAGGCACATATGAGACCCTACCATCATGCCTCGAAGTTACATCCTGGACTGGAGACCGGGGCGTCATTATGGGTGTTCGTCATAAGGAATTCGTCGTAGAGGGCGTTCAGTACCATCCGGAGAGCATTCTGACTCTCGCTGGCCGTCAATTGTTCAGGAATTTCCTGAAATGGAAAGGAGGGAAATGGTCCGATAACGACCCAACGTTAATTGGCGATGTTGGACATAGCATTGCATATCAAGAATGGAGGAGAACACATCAAACCGCCATTTCCGCTAAACCATCAGAGCCATCCATCCTGGACAAGATATATGCAGATAGAAAGCGAAAGGTTGCAATCCAGAAGCAAATACCCGGCCAGCGGCCTGAGGATTTGCTACAAATCTCTGAAATGCAGCTGGCTCCTCCCCTAATAGACTTCCCCCAGAGGCTTAGAAACTCCCCATATCCACTCGCCCTGTTGGCAGAAGTCAAACGAGCCTCGCCATCCAAAGGTATCATCGACATTAACACTAATGCGGCAGTTCAAGCACGCCGGTATGCACTCTCTGGTGCCGCAGCTATATCGGTTCTTACCGAACCAGAGTGGTTCAAAGGCTCCCTCGAAGACATGAGAAATGCCCGAGCCGCTGTAGATGGCTTAACAAACCGACCTGCTATTCTACGCAAAGAGTTCATATTCGACGAATACCAAATTCTTGAAGCCCGTCTTGCCGGTGCTGATACTGTCCTCCTCATCGTTAAAATGTTATCTGACGATCTGCTTGAACGGCTTTATAAATATTCTTTAAGCCTATCCATGGAGCCTCTCGTCGAGGTTAGCAGCGCAGAAGAGATGACCAAGGCGCTCAAATTAAACGCCAAGGTTATCGGGGTCAACAACCGTGACCTCCATTCTTTCAATGTGGATCTCGGAACCACCAGTTCGTTGGTTTCCATGGTTCCTAAGGATACTATTCTCATAGCTCTGAGTGGGATCTCGGAGCGCAAGGACGTAGAAAGGTATGAAAGGGACGGAGCACATGCGGTACTGGTTGGGGAGAGCCTGATGAGGGCGGGGGAAAAACCTAAGCCATTCATTGAAAAGCTTATGTCCTCGGGTTCCTCGGGTGCCCCCGAAATCCCACAAAAGAAGCTCTTGGTCAAGATATGCGGGACAAGGACAACGGAGGCAGCCAAGATTGCAGCTGAACACGGCGCTGACCTTGTTGGAGTAATCCTTGTCGAAGGCTCCAAGAGATGTATTGATCTCGCAACAGCGTCTCAAATATCCGAAACTTTAAGAATAACAGAGAAAGGGGGGGCCTCTTCCACAGCGCAAGAGGTGGATTCCGGGGAAACTATTACGGAAGACTTCTTCAAACACCATCTTCGCAATACGCTATCACATCCAAGGCGGACCTTGTTGGTGGGTGTTTTCCAAAACCAACCGCTTTCATACATTCTCCAGGCCATCCGCATAGCTTCGCTAGACGTTGTACAACTGCACGGACAGGAGCCTATTGAATGGGCGAAACTAATCCCTGTGCCGGTTGTGCATGTGTTTAAACCTGGCGAAGCAGGCCTTGGGACCCGCGGTTATCACGTTGCCCCGTTATTGGATGCAGGTAGTGGTGGCTCAGGAAGTTCTCTTGATATCTCCGAGGTTCAAGCAACTCTAGATTCAGGGGTACCTGCGATGCTAGCAGGTGGTTTGTCTCCGGATAACGTCAAAGATCTCATCAATAGGCTTGGGGGCTTGGAAAGTAATTTAGGAGGGGTTGATGTCAGCAGCGGGGTAGAGACCAATGGCGAAAAAGACCCTGAAAAGATCAAAAGGTTCATAGCTGAAGCCAGGAGTGATTTAAGCTTACTTGGGAGTTGCTAAAAATGGAGAAAGAAGGAGGAAAGAAAGACAGAAATAGAAAACATACCGGTCACCGGTCACTCATATCCTCAACCAAGCTAAAGGGTACACCTTTTTTCTTCTCTAATATATGAATGGTCTCATCTAGTGATACCAAGGTTGTGCCAATTACCTAGGAACTAGCCTCTCAGTACCGAAATACATCAAAGGATGGAACGGTGTCAGGAAACTGAACGGCACGGCATTTTTAATCCCCAAGTACTGTAGGACAGTTTTGCATATAGAAATGTAGTAGAGACTATCTATTTTGGATTGGGAGTTAATCTAGAATCACATATCGTGTAATGTAACACCATGTAAATAAGGAAGCAACAGGACCCGGTTCAATCCCAAAACCTTTAGTTCCCATCAAGTATAAATATACTATGTTAAAAGAGCACGCTAGCGGGTGACGAAACAAACAAACAAAGTATCGAGAACAGCGAGGAAAAGCCGAGAAGATTCTGTAGGGATTGAGATTTTGATGTCTATATACAAGGGTATGTGTATGTCGGTAATTCGTCGCCTCTAGCAAATCTAGGGAATTCGGCGTTCCTAAACAACGGTACCGAACGCGGGTATCAAAGTTTGAGCGAGCCAAAATGAAAAGACTAGCTTAGGACCAGTCATCAGGAGCTTTGGGGTCAGGCCTTTGAAGAACGCCGTGGGACCTAGAACGATGAAATGTTAGCCTCCCGGATGCATATATTGTGTAGTTCCAACTTATGAGAGAAATCAAATTACCTTCGTTCTTGATCATGCTAGCTACGATTCTGAAACCACTTTCCGGGTTCTCAAAATTCCTATTCTGAATTCTGGTTTTGATAACATCAAGGGGAGCAGAAACGATGAGGGAAGCCGCAGCGCCGGATATCGAGGCGACGAAATTCTGTCCCCATGTCGCTTTATTGTAGTCTTTCAAGTCGAAGAGGAATTCTTTTGCAAACGCGCTACCACCAAACAGCTGTAAAAAATATTAGTGATAAGGTTGAGGTTTCCCACGTTCTAGATACCCTGACGTACCGCAAAGCTACCAGGTGCATTTCTGGCAGCAGTCCAACCCCAACCCCGGTAGAGACCGAAGCCCTCATCTTTGATGATTCGGAACAATCCTCGTCCGCGGAAGGCCTCAGGGTTTGTCTGTCGCTTAATCTTCAAGACATCGAGCGGCAGAAGTACAATTTCACCAATTCCAATTAAACTTTTTTTTTAGAAAAAAAAAAGGTAGTAGAGAGAAAGTTTTAGCAAAGCAACTGTGATAAGAAAATAGCGACGGGGAAGAGATTTTTTACCTTCCAGCCGTCGCATACATGATAGCCTTTCCGGTACCCTTGCCAAACGTCCTGTCGAATTTGTCGCCGTGGTGCTTTGAGAGATAATCTTTCATGTAGGGTTGGCCACCATATTTGTATATTCTTTGGGAGACCTTGTACCCAGCGGCGTATCCTAGACCTGGGAAAAGCGAGACTAGCTTTCGTCCAAAGGGAGCACTGGCGAAATCCCTAAATATAATGGTATTGAGTTGAGATGCCGACGAAACTTTGCCCTGGTTGGACATCAGACGTTTGGCAATGGTATCGACCTGTGCGATTCGAGTTTGTGAGTTTATTTGGACCATTGCAGGATAGTCTAATTTAGTGGATATGAGATACATACGGGATGGAAGATAGCCAATTCAGCAATTCCAGCAGTTCCTGTTCCATTGCCGATGGGTTTTTTGTTTTTAGTATTGTGCGATTATAGGATCAAGAGCGGTTTGGAAGTCTCGAAGGCTCACCAGACCCTAGGACACGGGCAGTGCCAGATTCTCGTTGAACCTTCTGGGCAGAGGTCCCGGTTGAGTGGAGAACTGGAGACATCGTTGGACTATGTTAATGAAGTTCTCGATAGCTTCGATTCGAGGAGTAAGCAGCAGTCAGCAATCGAGGTACCGTGCACCGGTATTATGTGTATTACTGCTGATTTTGGTTAATGAATAAGTATTGATCTATCGTTGCAGTGAATCTAAGTTTAATCAGGCGCTTTGGTCGGGTCTGTGGATTGAATTCAATGTGCAGTACTCGTCCAGTGGAAACAATTACCAATCGGTATAATTAGGTATATATAATTGTTCTTGGGAAAGATCGAAAGGAAGACAAAGCAAGACAAGACAAGGCAGGATAGGATCAGACACCGAAGGAAAAGAAAAAAGAAGGTCAAAAGGATTTTTGAATGGAAAGGTCAATGTCAATTGGAACTTAACAATTGATGGAGGGGTACCGCAAATGTCTGGTCTCTGGCTTTTTTTTTTTTTTTTTTTTTTTTCCTTCGAATTTTCCCAGCAGCGCGATCAGATGCACTGCGATTGGACCGATTTTTCCCGCGGTTTCCTTTCAAGGGCATTTCCCAGTCGAGAGCGGAATCGGATGGCTGCTGGTCCAAAGCAGGTTTAGCCGAAACTTACTTGACTTAATATCCACCACCAACGACGACGACTAATACTTACTTAAGTAAGTACCTAGTATACAACCATCAATGCAACCACGGTCAACCACAGTCAACCACCCTCCTCCCTCTCTCACGCCCTCATATACCCCCCGACCCCCAATACAATTCCCGAATCCCCTCCTCTTCTTTCATCACTCCTAGATTTACAGTTCAAAGATAAACCTCGTCGCGTCTTACTTCGGGAGTTTCCTTTACCCTGCTGACTTTGACAGGATCCAAAGATCGTTTACCCCATCTATCATCCCACGAGTATGACTTTATCCTCCTCCATTGTTTAGCTACTGACAAGGTGCCATATACTGATTTCATCTCTTTTGTCCAGAAACAAACTTTCGCCCGCAATATAGTCATTTTCGAGTCCCGTTGAGGTCTTACACCATACGATAGCACTTGCAGATATTTCTCGCCATCGAATACGAATCATTTTTTTGTATTTCCCGATACTCGATTTATTGGCTTCATATTTCCTCCCCTCATCGGAAGATACTGCTGATAGACTCTGTCGCGTCTTCTATCGCTTTTTACTTCGGGTGCATTTGCCCCCATCCAAAGGATATTACTTTTAGTCGGGGCCGTAGCTACATTGTCGTAAAGGAAGGGGGAGAAAAAAAGAAGAAAGAGGAGAAAGAAACGGGGAAAAAGATCCAAAGATACTGGGAAAGTATTGAAAGGCAACCATCGAACGCGGTTGCTTTCCCGTTACTCTGTTTTGGGCTTGAAATCTGTTCTTTCGTAGTGGCGTCTTGGAATCTCGATACTTTAGATAGTAGCTTTCTTATATGTTCTCTAATAACATCGTATCTTCCGCCTTCTGCCATCTGAAAGACTAATCAGTGAGCTGTCTCTTGCCATCGCGCGCGAAAAGGCCATAAGGGAAGAAGTCGCGAAAGAGGAGGACACCCGGAGGTCAAAGAAAATCCGAGAAAGCGAATATCCGTTTTAAAGGACAAAAAGAAAAAGAAAGAGAAAAAGAAGAGAAAAAGAGATACGGAAAAAGATCTAGAAAGAAAGCAAGAAAGAAAAAGAAAAAAAGAATCTAGAAAGGTAAAAAAAAAAGAAAGAAAGAAAGAAAATAAAGGAAAAGGAGAGAAAGAAAGACAAAAGTAACTGCTGACCATTGACCATATTGATCGCGGACCAGCACCAACAGAGATATTCCACAATTGCAAGAGACTGAGACTGACAGTCGGGAAGTCAGCCCGAAAGAGAACCGGCGTTTAAAGCCTGGACCGGCTGCAAAGATCTCGCCAGTGATATCCAAATCCAAAACCTGTCCTCGCAGTTATTTTCAGCAAACCACGCCAGTTCCCCGTACGGTCGTCGACCGAAGAGTGTCGCGGGAACTTGTCTAGCCCACGACCTTTTGATTGCCTTGGTGATACTATCCGCGGGACCCAGAACACGACAAGACTTACAAGCGATTGAGACTCCATCCTCGTTCTCTTCCCCTTCTTCCTCTCCCTATTCTCTCCCAAGTCAGCTGGAAAACAGAAAAAGAAAAATGTCCTTCAACGACGAGGTTCCCTCTCCTGAGGAACTTGCTGAAGATTATAGATCGTCCCTCGAGGACCTGTCTGTCAATTCGAGATGGGAGATTACGAATCTCACCGTCATCGCCAAAGAGAACATACATGCTGCCCAAGCCATATCTAAAGTGATCGAAGAGCATATTCAAAAGGTATGTATTACGGATAATATTTATCTAGATTATTGTAATAGAATTACCCTGACGTCACCGTTCTACCACATAAATTAGATTTCTCCATTGCGCAAGCTACCCGCATTATATCTCTTAGACTCGATTGCCAAGAACGTGGGGACACCTTATACATTGTTCTTTGGGCGGAATTTGTACAGGACATTCATGGATGCGTACAGTCTCGTGGAAGGTCCAGTCCGTCGAAAGCTTGAAGAAATGCTTCAGACATGGAAGCAGCCCGTTCCCGGCTCGACGTCTTCTAACCCACTGTTCCCTGCGGAGACGACAAGGAAAATAGACAATGCATTGATCAAAGCAAGAACAGCTGCAGTCCAGCGGCAGCAGGAACAGATGAAGCAAGATAATGCTAGGTTGGGAATAGGGCAACAGCCTAGTCAGGCTGCCGCAAACCCGGGCCCATATCGCTCTACCCCGACGCCGCCCACAAATGGACACGGCCACACGGGCCCATACAACCCCCCGCCATCTCAGAGTTTCGATGGGAGGGCGGAACAGCCTGGCAACAAGGTTATAGTGAGTTTTTTTTCTTCCTTTCTCTTCTGCTTCGTTGGATAAAATATGCCGTTAGGAGCTAACTTCCTCATCTAGCCTCAGCCCGCCACTACTCAAGATACGCCCTCACTCCAGGGGGCACAGCATTCTAAATACCAACAGTTGGCTGTGCAATTAGGCCTTGCTGCACCGAATTTGCTAGCAAATATTCCAACAACAGATGCTCTGTTGAATGATATCCGGCCCTTGATCGCAACTACCCAGGCAAGGTTTGCTGAGAATCCATGGGATACCGAGATTCAAAAAAGGCTCAAAGCATTGCTAGATCTACAAACAATTTTAAGCACCCAGCAGTTACCGACGGACCAACTCTCCCAGATTAGAGATCAACTTTCCAGAATCGCAATCTCGGTGCATGTGCCTGCCCCACCACAACCACAGGCGCACCAGCTACCAGCTCTCCAAACAGCACCGCCTCCACAACTAAATGCAAGTCAAGGCCCTAACTTGGCGAGTCTTTTGAGCCAATATTCCAATACTCAACCCCCTGCAGTAAACAATGCTAGGAGCCAAACCCCGCTGGGTGCCCCAGCATCTGCCCCTTCAGGATCAAAGAGCCTATTCGAGTCTTTGATATCCGCAGGTTTGCTAAAGACTGGCTCGACCCCCCCATCATCTTCGGGGACGAAACCAAGTACACCTCTTAACCAGGGCTATTACCAATCCGGATTGACAAAGGCGCCTACTCCGAGTGCGGTTTCCACAACGACAGGGTTCGCAGTACATTGGGAAACGCTGGGTATAGAACTTAACACCGCCGCGCTCAAGATGTAAGCATCCTAAAGATAGCCAATGGGTGCAGTGCTGACATAGAATTGAAACCAACAGACCTCGATTACATTTCGTCTCAATCCTGAACGATAGTCTCCCGAATAAGTGTGGATCATGCGCCCGACGCTTTACAAACAACGAGCAGGGAAAGAAGGACAAAGCTGCCCACTTGGATTGGCATTTCCGCGTCCACCAACGAATAGCTGACAGTTCAAAGCATGCACAGTTTAGAAGTTGGTACGTTGGTGAAGAGGTAAGATATAAAGTCTTTGCATTGCCGACCAAAAGGAAAAGAATAATGAGTCTAATGATTAGTTGTAAATTAGGAATGGATCAAATTCCGGGAAGACGAGGATGACTCCAATACAATGACATCTGGACAGCCCCAGCAAGGTGCAGATGTTGATACATCAACTCAGGAAGCTAGCAGCCAGAATTACATCCCCGCTCCCAACGACGCAGCGCTTTCCAACCTAACTTGCCCGGTCTGTAAAGAGAAGTTTAACACTGTATGGCATCCCGATGCGGAGGACTGGGTACTTATGGATGCGATACAATCCGGGAGCCGCATATATCATGCCAGCTGTTTTGCAGAAATCTCCAAAGAGAGTGCTGGAACAGCCAGCCGGGGTTCAACACCCGATACCTCAATTAGCAAGGGAAAACGAAAAGCGGACGTATGTACTCACTACCCTAATATGCGACATCACCAGGCGAGCTAACTCCTTCATAGCAGGATCTGGCTTCGATAATTAGCAAAATCAAGAAAGAAAAGTAAATATTTGCAGGGATGGGGATGGGATGCAATAGCTTCTCATAATGATAATCAGATGTATTAACTTAAAAGTGCAGCGTTACCGGAGTCAGGTCGTGGGAACTGCTGTGGTTCCTTTCATATACTTTCCCTTCCTTTTTCCCGTTTTCGACATTTTGGTCTCGCGTTTTAGCATTGCATCAGGTTGAGTGATCTTTCATGAAAAATACGATGCTGACTTTTTCAACGGGTGGCTGTCTACCTATGACTTGTGGAATAAACGTCGAATGATCCAAGATTTGCTGTTTCCATACACAAGGCCGTTCACTTTCCATGCTTGTATTCTCTTTTTTATTTTTCCCTGCGACAATTTACGAACGGGCAGTCATAGTTTTGTTGTGTATACTAGAGAGATGTCGCCACCAATTAGAGGAACCCGTAGCCCCCCTACTACGACGAAGCTTGGAATTAAATGCTTCAAAACGGCTAGCTCTATTGCGGGTATTAATACATGTTTTTTGTTCGGACACGACCTGTTTTTTAAGCTGAAGCACTTCGACCAATGAAGTTATACGTTATGGAAAGCAGTGGGGCCGTTTTCGCGATACAAACAAGTTCTAATTCGGTTTAATTGCATACCTATTTACATGGGCATTGGTTTCGAGGAAAGCATGTATGTGAGAATATATGTATATAGAGAAAGTGATTAGAAAGGTTCTGACAACCCTTTGCCAATATTTGTTTCTGTTTTTACAAAAGAGAGAGAGAGAGAGAGAGAGGGGGGGGGGGGGAGAGGGATAAATATTTCATACAGTGAACAGGGTGAAATGGCTATATAGAAAAAAGAGTCATCATATCGTCCTTCCATGATAAACGTCCTAAGGTATTCGGTGGAAACCCCCACCCGCTTCTCACCTCCTTCTTTCCTTGCCTAACCTACTTTGGGGAGATGCCGACCTGACTCAATATAGGACTCTTTGATTTATCTTCGTCAAAGATTCCCAAAAGTGTTTTCCAAACGGTAGATGGTGGCTGTGATGCATCAACACCGGTCCAGATTCCCTTCTTCTTATAATAATCGACGACCGGCGCCGTCTGAGCGTGGTAGGTTCCCAGTCTCTTCTTCAAGGTCTCTTCGTTGTCATCAGACCGTTGTATTAAAGGCTCACCGGTGACGTCATCAGTCATGGCGACTTTGGGAGGGTTGAAAATTTTGTGGTAGGAGCGGCCGGAGGCAGGATGGACGAGACGGCCGGTAATACGGGCAACCAATAGGGCATCATCGATTTCGAGTTGTACGGCATGGTTGAGCTTTTCTTTGCGGAATTCGAGCATCTGGTCGAGACGTTCGGCCTGTGGTACTGTGCGTGGGAAGCCGTCTAGGATGAACCTACAAGAGACGTTGGATTCAGTTACTTTCTCCTCTTTGTGGGTATACATATATATATATGCGTGTGTGTGTGTGTGTGTGTGGATGTATGTATAGAGAGAGAGAGAGAGAGAGAGAGAGAGAGAGAGAGAGA